GCTCTACTCAATTATACGTCTTTTGAAGGGGCTACAAAGAGGAATAGACCAAATGTCAAAGTCGGAGATCTTATTTATGGACAAATAATTTTAACTTCGAAACATTTTGAACCTGAGGTTTTTTAAGGTTTTTTGAATTTCATTAAATTATTTTAAGCTTTCCTGTGTCGATTCTGAATCCCGTGCTAGAGGAATGGGCGTTATTTCAACTCCAGGACTTGTCTTCTCAGTCACTCTATGTCATGCAAGAAATCTGCTTAAAGAGAATGATCAAATAATTCCTGCTTTAGGAAAAGAACTTAAATTTGAAATTACAATTGGAGTGAATGGAAGGATTTGGTAATTTAATAATTATATGAGATGGTAAATTTTATAAAACCTTGATTTTTATTTTTGATTTTGGTTGAGGCCAGATGGTTGGACACGGTTTCGTGCCAATCGGAAGCCAGATTCTTGACCCTGAGTCAATAAAAATCAAGGAACGCTGAAAAATGATGATTGATTTCAACTCTGGATCTAGGAACGGCCAATCTTTAATAATCATTTTATTTTTTATCTTCATTTCAAACCTATTCAAAATTTAAATTTTACACTTTCCAAAAATTATTTTTCATTGAAAAATATTTTTTTTATTTTTTAAGGGTCGGAGGTGAACATTCAGCTGTAATTACTGTCCAACGCGTAATTATTGATTCAGAAACTACATTTAGTTCAAATATCCCTTTACTCATCAAAAATGCTTTACATGGGGTTTTTACATATTCTGACGAGACAAACAAAAATTACAAAAAAGAAAACATTTCTATGGATATCTCTTGACTACGGTTTTATTATATTTTGTTTTTTATTTTTAATTTATGAAGGAGATAAATAATTTATAAAAATCAAACAGGAATTTAGTTTAAAAATTTTTTGAACATGCTTAGCGTACTTGGGGTTTTTAAGATTATTTGAACTTAAATTTTGTAGGTTAGATGTTTTCTAATTTATTACTAAAATTCTATATTAGACACATTTTTGACACATTTTTACTCCTATTTTTTATTTAATTACATCAAAAGTCCAAACAGATTACCAAAAATAAATTCATTTTTCAATCCCTTCTACTTTTCTCGCATTTTTCTAATTTTTCTCTCAAAATTTTTTTAGCTTTTCCATTTTAAAGGGACCGGTTTTCACCTAATTTCTGTCAATTTTTATATCGGCTGGTCAAAGCTTTAACGACCGGTCTTTGACCTAAATTTGAGAGATCTCCTTCTCCCTATTGATGCATGAGGATTTTCGATCGCTCTCCCGTCAAAATAAAAAAAGAACGTTCTCTTAGCGAGAAACAATTCCTTTACGTATTTTTAAATTTAAAATAAAATTTAAAAAAAAATGAAAAATAAAAAGGACGATGTCCATAAAGAAAAAGGAAAAAATTCTTCAAATTTTCGTGAAAAGGAATTCGTGGAAAGGCCATCATTGCTTGAGTAAGAAAATTTTAAAAATTTATTTTTAATTAATTTTTTTTATTTTTCAGAAAACATTTTAATGAAGAAAATGGACAATATCTTGAATTATACAATTTTTTCTTGGCAGTTTTTATTTTGGCTGTAATGGGAACTTGGTTGCATGATTTTTATATTTATGGAAAGTATGTTTGGTTAAATTTAATTTAACTTTTTTTACAAATCAGAAATTGTAAAAAATTAAATTATAGGGTAAATAAGGCTTAAATTAGAAATCAGAATAATATTTACAAGTTCATTATACTTTAATTTACAAATTCTGATTTATAAATTACAAATTCTTTTAAGTCGGTTAAAAATAAATAAAACCTTTTTTACAAATCAGAATTTGTAAAATAAATTATAGAGGTGTTTTGGTTAATAAACCTTACAAATTACATATCAGAATTTGTAATCTTAATTTACAAATTCTGATTTGTAAAAAATTAAAATTCTGGTATAATTCTGGTCCAGAATTTGTAATCTTAATTTACAAATTCCAGAATTTGTAATTTTAATTTACAAATTCTGATTTTTAAAAAAGTAAAATTCTGGTATTTTATTTAAAAATAAAACTTTTTTACAAATCAGAATTTGTAAAAATCAAATTATAATTAAACTTATTCTGATTTGTAAAATTAAAATTCTGATTCGCAACCTGGAATTATTCAATAATTTCTGGTTTAATTTCTGGTTCGTAAAAATTAAAGAAATTCTGAAATTGATTATTGATTTAAATAATTACTGTTCTGATTTGTAAAAAAAAATTAAATTCTGATTTTTTAAAGCTCATTCTCTCATTTCTATTAACTTAAAATTCTGATTTATTTAATTTAAATTCTGATTTGTAAAATCAATTTTAAAAATTAAATTCTGATTTTATTCTGATTTAAAACTTAATTCCATTCCCTTTCAGCCCCCTTCATCATTTATGGCTCTTCCGCTGGAATTTTACTCAATTCCCCCAGACAATGCTTGTATGGTTAATGATGGCTTTATTTACTTTGATTTTTCCTTTTTATTTATTCAATTTTAAAACTACATCTTTTATAAATCAGTGGATATTTATTTCTATTTATTGTCTATATCAAGTTGGCTTATTTTATTTTTCTTTGAAAGCTTTGTTTTGGTTAGAACTTCGTGGAGCGTGTAAAAATTTTGAATTTTGAATTTTTTAAAAATTAATTTTTATTTTTTCCTCTAAAAATTTTTATTTTCGTCAATTTTTTATATTTAAGGTTGCTTCATTATTACATGTGAAAACGTTTGTTTTGGATACTTTAAAAATTTTTTAATTCTTAAAAATTTTTTTTGCTCTATTTTAGACCAGAATTGCAATGAAAGTCCATTCTTTTGTGAGAGAGAATTTTTGTGCTAATCCGACAAAAATGTCTTCAAAAACATCAGAACAGAACTGTGATAATTTGAAAAATTCGGACGTTTCTGAAGGTGTAGCAGATCCTCAAAATTCAACAGAAACGCCTTCATTGACACATTTTGTCTATTTTATGTTCTGTCCAGCTTTGCTTTACAGGCATTCTTATCCCATGTATTTTTATTTAATTTTTTTTAATTTGAGGGGTAAATCTCCAAAGATCCGCTTGTCCATTTCTACTGCGGGGCTTATAACTAGGCTTATTAAAATCCGAAAAAATTTTTTGGCATCGTTAAGCTTCTCGGATAGTACCAGTCAACGATGGTTTGGATTATCCGAAACCTGATCCGATAAAATCTCTAAACCCTAAGACATGACTCGATTTTTTTTATCACTCACCCAGACCCAACTCTAGTACCAATCAACTTTCTCTGCCAATTTTACATTTTTAATTGATACGCTCGGTGGTAGTTTGGTAGATTGGACGCACACTGGCTCCTATTATTTAATTTATTTTCAGGTCTCAAACTCGAAGTTGGCGGAGAGTATTCAACCACTTCATTCATTGCCTAGCTTCCATTTATGCTGTTAATATTTCTTTTACACAAGTAGTTATTCCTCTGTTTAGTCGGATTCATTATGGTGAAGATGGTCTTTATTTGGTGTTATTTACAGCGATTTTTCCTTCAATTATTCCTGGTTCTGTTTGTCTATTTATTGGAATTTTTTATGGTTTGCTTCATTCATGTATGATTTTTCCATTAATTTTTTAAAAATTTAAATTTAAAATTGAAGGGCTTTCTATGTTTGCTGAAGCAATGTATTTTGCTGACCGACATTTTTATTCGGTGAATATTCTGGTTTTTCTTTTTGGGAATTTTAATTTTTTTCATCAACCTCCCAATATTATTTTTTTTATTTTGGAGTGGTGTAGTTACCCTCTTTAAGAATTTTCCTGAAATTCTCCCTTTGAAAAATTTTTAGATTTTCTTGTGAAAATTTTAGATTTTTGTTGAAAAATTTTCAACAACAATTTTACCCAAATTCTGACTTCACTAAAATATTCTTTTATAGAATTGGTGGAGCTCAAGAAACATGGCTTATTATTACCGTTCTTGGAATTTGGTGGTTCATGAATGGTTATATGCTTATATTTATAGAGATATTAGTAATCTGGTTGGTATTTCAATTTTTTTGAAAATTTTCAAGAAAATTTTTTTAAGCTTGGCTCCACCACTTTTGGCAATGCTTTAGCCCAAATGTCCGTATTTTTCGTTTCTGCCGTATTTCATGAATATTGGTTCACTGTCGGCTTAAGAATTTTTTACCCGATTATTTTCTTTCTTTATTTTGTAATTGGAGGTTTTTTTTAAATTTTGGATAGAAATCTTCTAAAAGATAATTTTAAGGTATTATCTTCCTCCTTTCCAATTTAATCAAAAAACCGTCTTCAACTTGGAATGTTGTTTTATGGTGGAATTTAATGTTAGGTAACTAGAAAATTTTTTGAAAAAAATTTTGGCGAAATTATTTTTATTTTATAGGAACTGGAATATTCTTTGCTTGTTATGCTTCAGGTAATCAAATTTAAACTGATAAAAAATTTAAAGAAAAAATAAAAATTTCAGAATGGTATGCAAGACAAAGATGTTCAAAAATTTATGAGAACGATTTGTTGGATTTGTTAATTCCAAGGGTTTGGGATTGCCAACATCGCTTAAAATAATTTTTAGAAGAGAGGTTTAAAATGGAATTGAAATAAAAATATTTTTATTTTTTTGGAGTGCGTTGTAATGCCAAAGCGTTGAAATACCAAACCCCCCAAAAGCCTTCGAAATACCACACATGTGAAACGACATTGATGACATCTTATAAAAAAATTATAGGATGTTTGATGATTTTTTTGGAATGTTTGGATGATATCTTTTGGGAGGTTTTTGGGGTACGTTTTGGCATTATAACAGCTTATAATTTTTTCTAATTTATTTTTAATTAATTCACAATTTATTATTTTACTTTAAAAAATTAAAAAAAATTTTTCTTCATCAGAAATAAATTTTGAAAAATTTTGAGAATATTTTTAATTTTATTAAAAAAATTTTTTTTTATTTTTATGTGCCTCCTAATTTAGTTAAGAAATGTCAACTACCCCTCTTAAATTTGCCTTAATTACTGGTGCTAATTCTGGTATTGGTTTACATTTGGCCAAGTCTCTTTTTGCGTCAGGCAACTTTTCTTCGATTGTATTGGCCTGTAGAGATGAGAAAGGGGCGAATTTGGCTATTGAAGAAATTAAAAAATCTGTCAAGGATGTGAAGGAATTGACTACTAATTTGAATTATTTACAGGTTTTTTTAAAATTATTTTTGAAAATTAAGTGTAGAGTAGGGGAAGTGATTTTTGGAAAGGGGAAATTTTTTTGAAATTTTTGGAAAAAGAGGCAAAAAATTTCAGAGTTTTCTGTTGCCTCTTTTGGCCTTCTCTTAATTTTTCCCTCCTAGCATCCTCACCAAATCACTGCCTTTAGGGATTTTCTTCTGGAATTGGATTTTATTGATTTTTTTGGAAAAATAGGCAAAATATTTGGAAAAATAAAGGCATTGATTTGGGGAGTCTGATCTTGGGTTTATTTTTTGAAAAAATTTATATCACAATGCAATTTCTTCGTGGCCTTTTTCAGTTTAGAACGTTCTATGTTCATTAATTTAAAAAATTTTTATAAAATTCATTTTTATTTTCCAGTTAGATTTGTCTAGCAAATCTTCAGTTGAACAATTTGTTAAAAATTTTTGTGAAGTTTGTCCCAAAAATTGTCTCAATTTGCTGGTTAACAATGCTGGAATTATGGGGCATCCTTACCAGGTATTTGGAATTTCTAATAATGCAAAAAAATTTCTTGAGATTTTTTGGACCCAATTTTGTGATATTAGTCATCAAAAATAATAGTCAAAATTCTCAAAATTTTTTTTTAATTTTAGTTGTCACCCGACGGCGTCGAACTTCATTATGCTACCAACCATTTGGGTCATTTTCTACTCACCAATTTATTGCTCAAATATCAAATGTTTGAACGATTTGCTCGTATTTTAATTTTGACCTCTTCTCTATATGAAAGGGTATTTTAATTTTTGCTCTATTATTCATTACAAAATTAAAATCCGCAAAATTTTTTTGTCCGCAAGTTTATTTGAGTCCGCAAATTTAATCCGCAAAAATTTTTTTAATAAAAAAAATTTCATTTTTCTTTTTCAGTTTCCTTATCTCTTAAACGTGGAAGATTTAAAATCTCCAACTCCATTATATTCATTAAATGATTATTATTCTCTTAGTAAATATGCAAATTTTTTGCACGCAGTTGGTTTAGCTAAACAATTTAAAGAAGACAGCGTAGAAATTAAAGTTGTAAGGTTTTAAATTTATTAAAATTATTTTTCGGACCTTTTTTCATTTAAGTAATCCTATTTTTAGAATTTTTTAGTATTTAAATCAAATCTAAAAATATTTACCCCTGAGCGGGTTCGAACTCACAACCCCCTATTTTCAGTATTTCCACTTAACCAAAAAGTTGGGATTTTAGATTTTTAATATTAAAAAGGGTAAAAAATAAAAAAATCATTTTAAGATAACCTCTATATTAGACATCCTCAATTTAAGATATCCTCTATTTTAAATACCCTCATTATAAGCGACCGATTTTTTAGCTTCAGGAGGTTTAATAATAATGTTAGACTATTTCCAATTTATTCAAAATTTTTAAACTCAATTTAAAATCAAAATTAAGGTATCGATCAGCCCCGGTTTTGTCCGTGGAACACAACTTGGAAGACATACAAATTATTTTTTGAGAACTTTGGCAACACCTTTAATTTGGTGGTTTTCAAAAAATTTGGACCAGGTTTTTTAATTTTGAATTTTTTAAGAAAGTTTAAAGGGTATTTCAACACTCCTTTATTGCATTAATTCTCCATATTCTGAACTTGAATCAGGCAAATTATATAAAAATTGTATGGTCAAAGAATTACCAGGTTTGGAATTTACTATGCATGAACTTGTGTCTAATGAATTGTTTGATATGGCTGAAAAATTGTTAAAAATTAATTAAAAAATTTTTATTTTTTGATTTTCTGCCTAAATTATTCCATTTTTAACGTTTAACTTAAATTTAAAAATGTTTGCTTCTGAGCGGGTTCGAACCCACAACCCCCCATTTTTTAATTATCCCACTTAACCAAAAGGTTGAGATTTTCATTTTTAAAATTTAAAATTGATTTTTTTGTCTAAATGATGCTATTTAGAGTTATTTTTGCCATTCACTTTAAATTTAAAAATTAATTGGCGCGGAGCGGGTTCGAACCCACGACCCCCTTAAATTTAATATTTATTTATTTATTTATTTTACTTATAAATATTAAAAAAATTTTTTTCATTTTCTATAATTTTTTTAAATTTTTAATATACTTTTTTATGTTTTCTATTTAATTAACAAAAATTTTTCTTTCAAATGGCCGATTTTTTAATTAGCAATTATGAAAAGAATTATATTATTGATGGAGTACAGGCTGGCATTAGATGTGATGGAAGACAGTAAATTTTATTTTTTTAATTTTTAAGTATTTTTTAAATTTAAAAATTTTCCATTTAAATAATCCTATTTTTAGACATTTTTGGGATTTAACTTAAAATTAAGAATATTTGCCCCTGAGCGGGTTCGAACCCACGACCCCCTATTTTTATTATTTCCACTTAACCAAAAGGTTGTGATTTTTTTTATCTTTATATTTTTTTAAATTAACATCCAGAATTATTAAAACATTAAATATTCAGGTTAACAGACTATCGCCCAATTTCCATCGAAACAGGCATTTTGGCCGGAGCTAATGGTTCAGCACGTATACAAATTGGTTCGACTGATGTCCTTTTATCTGTCAAGGTTCTTTTTTTTATTTTTTTCTTTTTATTTTTAAAAAAATTATTTTTTTAAATTAATTTTAAAGGCAGAATTAAATACAACAACAGACCCAGTTCTCTCAAATCGGTTAAAATTTTTTGTTGATTTGTCCGCCAACGCATCCCCCAAATTCGCTGGGAGAGGAGGTCAGGAACAGGCAGAGGAATGGGCAAAAACTTTGTATGCTGCTTATGATAATGATTATATTATGGGTATGTAGAGGTTTTTCAACGTTAAAAATTTTTAAATTAGGAAAAAATTGTATTAAAAAATGTTTGACCAGGAGCGGGTTCGAACCTACGACCCCCTCCGGTTAGCTTAAAAATTATTTTTTAAGCTTAGACAAATTTTTTAAATTTATTTAATATTTTTTAGTTGATTTTTAACATCTTCAACTTAAAAAATATTTTAAATTAGGAAAAAATTTAATTTAAAAATTATCTGCTCCCGAGCGGGCTCGAACCCACGACCCTCCCCCAGCTTGACTAATGTAGGAATTAATTCTTTTAACTTCAAAATCTTTATATTTTACTTTTTTTCAATATTTTTCAGTTGAAAGTATGAAACGCCTATTGTTAGCTCCACCTTTACATTATTGGACGTTATACGTTGATGCTATAGTACTTCAACATGATGGGAATATTATGGATGCACTTTCTTTGGGCGTAAAAATTTTTTTTATTTTTTTAGAAATTTTGAAAATATTTTCATGAAGATTTTTAATAAAAATAAAATTCAAAAATTCTTAGTTTACAAAAAAATTTCCTAAAAAAATTCTTTTCAAAGGTAAAAGCAGCTCTTTTCGATACACAAATATGCAATGTAATTGTACGTCCAGCTGATGAAGGAAAATTCCTTATTGATTTACCCGATGAAATTAGTACTTGGAAATTGGATGTTACAAGGTTTTATATTTCTTTTTAAAATTCTCCAAAAAAAAAGGAATTTATTTTTTAATTGAAGGATCCGGAGCGGGTTCGGACCCACGTCCCCTTCACAAGGGGACGTGGGGAGGGGGGGGGTCGCAGGTTCGAACCCGCTCAGGGTCAGATATTTTTAAATTTTTTTAGAGCCAGCTAGAAGGTAGGGGAGGGATGTAGGTCGAACCCGCTCAGTAAAAAATATTTTTAAGTTCAAATTTCTAAAAAAATCCATTTAAAGCGCCCCTTTAATTGTTGCTGTAACTCGTATTGGAAATCAAACAGTTTTCGATTTGGACCTCTCTGAAGAGTTGTGCTCTAATAATACTTTGTATGTTGGTATAAAACAAGGAGAAAATGAAGAGGATAATTCTGAGGTTTTTTAAATTGTTTTAAGTTTGAATTAAAAATTAATTCAAAAAATTTTTAAGGAGGGGAATATTTAGAATATGAGGCGTTTGTAGTGTATTGGTTAAGTTGGTTATTTTTGGGGGAGTGGAGGGTGAAGGTTCGATACCTCTTCAGGTCCAAATATTTTTCATGTTTAAAAGAAGCAAATATTTTAAATTTTTAAAAATTTAAAATGTGTATTTTTCAATATTTCGAATTTTTTGAGGATTAAAGGTATTTATGGTGTAGTGGTTAAGGTGGTTATTTTTTGGGGAGTGGAGGGTAAAGGTTCGATACCTCTTCATGCCCAAATTTTTTTTGGTGCTTAAATGCCGCAGATATTTTAAATTTTAAAAAATTTTAAAATATATATTTTTTAGGATTTCAATTTTTTGAGGATTTTGGGGGTATTTGTAGTGTAGTGGGTAAGGTGGTCGTTTTTAGGGGGTGGGTTCGATAACTTTTGAGTGCCCAAAGGTTTTTTGGGATTAAGAAAAGCAAATATTTTTATTTTTTTAAATTTTATTAGGTCTAAAAATTTTCTAAAAATTTTTTTCAGAGTTTAATAACTTGTATTAAAAAAGTTGGTGGAGGTGCAGTAGAAATTGATTCAATGGTGGAAATGTTAGAAAAAGCAACTCATATAGCAAGGAATTTAAACTTTGGATTAATGAACAAGTTAAAAAAAGATGAAGGAGGTTTGAAAGAAAAAAGAACTAATTTTCCAAGTATTTTTTGAAATTTTTTCGTTTTTAAAATTTTTTCTTGAAAAAAATTTAATTTTATTATTAAACCAGGAAAACGGAAAAAAAATAATTATAATTTCAACAGAAATTTCAAAAAAGGGGTCGGAATATTTTTAATTATATTCCACATTTTTACGACAAAATTTAAATATAATACTTAATTTAAATTTAATTTTTAATAGACTTGTTGGCGACCTGTTAATTTTTTTTCTTTACTTAACTACTCTCTTATTCTTCTCAAATTTCCTAGTATTTTTTGAAAATCAGAAACAGAAAAACCGTCAACCGTCACAGGGAAAAATTAACAGGAAAAAATTAACAGGTCGCCAATAACCCCAAATCTTAAATATATCATTTTAATTATCTCAAGTGAACCTTTGCCATTTTCTTTATTTTATATTCATCCTCTTCTCCATATATTTAGCACCCCTTTATTGAAGTCTCAAAGAGAAAACCATCAACAAAAAGTCCTCATAATGAATTTTAACGTAGCCATCCTGGTCAGTATCCTTCTCACGGAAAGCAGCCGTCAACGTCTGAAGGACAACACAGAGTTGAATAAAGTCGTCAAATTTGATATTTCCCGAGTGGCTACGGTCAAACTTTTGGATTGCCATATTGTAGAAACGGTCAGAAAGACGATAACCTTTGTAAGAAAAAATATTTAGTGAGGGGTGGGGATACAAAAAAAAATTTTAATTTAAAATTCGGGGGCTTTTTGAAATTAGACGTTGTGAGGAAAATTTTTATTAGAAAATTTTTCAACGAAATTTGATATTTCCCGAATGGCTCGAACTTCGGGAAAATTCAATACTGGGCCAGTCCGACTGAGAATTTGCAGCAGAAGCAGCAGCAAATTTTTAAAAATTTTATTAGAAAATTTTTTCCTCGCAACGTCCAATTTCAAAATCCCAACTTTTAAGTTAAAAAGTAGAAGTTCCGTCCCTTTCTTTTTTCTTCCCAGAAAATTTTTTAGACGGAGAAAAGAGAGTGGAAATTTCCAAGTTTTTAATTTTAAAATTGGATGGTTTGAAATAGAGATAGGAAATTTTGAAAAGCCTGGGCCTGTTCCTGCGTTCCTGGTTTGATTTATCGACCTAGGCCGGATCCTGGGCCTGTAGTCAAGGAAAACCCCAGGCCCAGGAAAAATCCAGGAAGGTCAGGAAAATGAACGGGCCGGGACTCTGGGTACAGGAAAAATCCAGGCCTCGGTCCAGACCCAAGCCAATCTCTAGTTTGAAATAGACATTTTTTAAATTTTAAATTTTCTTAAAAATTATTTAAAAAATTTATACCAAATTGAGTAAGCGCATTCTTCAACTCGCCCTTATCAATGCTTCCCGAATTATCGCGGTCATAACTACGAAAAGTGTTGCTCCAATCGTTGATGTACTGAAAACGAAATTATTTTATGGTTAAATTTTATTTTTTTAAGCCCTACCCTTCCAATTAACCTCCCAAAAATTTTTTCTTGCCCCCAAACGCCCTCTTATTCTTACCTCCCAGAATAGGGTTCCACCGGAAGTTCCGGTGTTTTTTAGTTTCGGTTCCGTAATCCGAAACTCAAATTGGACCCGGTTGAAACCTATCCCAGACCCCCCCCCCCTCTTATTGTTATCACACAAAAAAATTTCTTGACCTCCAACCCCCATCTAATCCCTACTCTGCAAAAATTTTTAACCCCCTCGAAAATTTCCTTTATCTCCCAAACTCCTCTCCCACTCCTTTTCTTAACCCCCCAAAAATCTTTTTTCAAAAAATCCCCAAACTAACCGCCCAAAGAGACTGAAATTCATTAAATCCAATCCCTCCATCATTGTCCTTGTCAAACATCGAAATCATCATTCGGCACGTTTCCTGATTAAATGGTCGCCAACTTCCATTAGACAAAGCACGTTGCAATTCATTTGTGCTAATCTTTCCAGATTTGTCTTGGTCGACAGCTTGGAAATAGCCGTAAAGGAGCGGGTTTTGAGCCATTTTTAGAGAAATTTTTCTTTAAGCGTTTTCTAGAAGGGGAAAATTAATTAAAAGAGAAGCACATTAAAAGAGCAAAAACTAAAAGGAAGAAAAATGCAAGGTCGACTAAACAAACAAACAATGACGCACTTCTTTAAATAACACGATGATTTTGTTTTTATAGGGGAGGGATCAAATGTCATTTTTATAATTAATTGAACACATCGCCAAGTTAGGGTTCGGAAACCAAGTTAAGGGGTCCGGAAATAATTTAAAGGGTTCAGGAAAAATTTCCGGATCCGGAAACCGGATTCTGGCCTTCTTTCCTCTTACAGGAAGACCCGGACCTGGCCGGGGTTTCTTGCTCAATCCGGCCCGTAAATCGGAAATCGCTAAAGAAAATGCAAAAGAAAGATGCAGATTTAGGACCTGAACTCCGAAAATTCCCCTCGGCTTTGTCCAACGTCAAACACTAATTTTTAATCTAATTAACTGATATTGAGAAAACCAGCCCGCTTTATAAAATGGTTAAATTAAAGGATGAGTCATCATTTAAAAAAATAAATAAAATTTCTCTCAAAGATATAGAGTTTTAAAAATAAACCACTAAAATATAAAAGGAATGACAAAGAAAAATAAAATAAAATTTTTATTCGTTAAAAAAATTTTTTTTGAAGTGAAAAATAAAAATGTAAATACACATAGTGAGTAAGGCAATAAATAAATAAGGGACACGTCGGCGCGCGGCTATAACGGCGCAAAGCCATAACTAGCAGGAAAATTTCTGGACCTTAACAATTTTGGTACCAATTTATTTAGCTCGATGAGAGGAATCGTTTAATATCAAATTTGCTAAGATTAGAAAGTCTTGAAGTAAGTTATGGCTCTGCGCCGTTATGGCCGCGCGCCGGGCTGTACCCATATAATAAATAAAATGAGCATGGTTGGTTGATTCACATGAAATAAAAAAATAAAATTCTTTTCTATTTTTCGTTGTTAAATTGAGAAGGGGGAAAGAGAAGAAGAGGAAAATAAATAAAATTTAAAAAAAAATAAAAATGAATACGAGTTAACATTTAAATGGTTGTTCCTCGTTAGACACGTTGTTGTTGTTATGTAGTTGATTTGAATATTTTAAATTGTTATACCTTACCTAGAAAAATTAAAAAAAATTTTTTTTAATTAAAAAAATGTTTAGAAATTGTGAAAATTTTCAAAAAAAAATTTTTTTGAAATTTGAAAAATTTTCTGAAAATTTTTCAAAAATTTTATAAAAAAATTTTTTTGAAAAAATTTCTAAAAAAAAAAAAAATTTCGAAAAATTTTTAAAAAAATTTCAGAAATTTTCAAAAAAATTTAAAAATTTTCAAAAAAAATTTCAAAATAAAAAAAAATTTTTTCTGAAATTTTAAAAATTTTTCTGAAAATTTTTTTTGAAAATTTTTCGAAAAATTTTCAAAATCAAAAAAATTAAAAAAAATTAAAAACAAACATGAGGCAATTGTTGATAATATTTTTCGTTGATATTAATCTCCCGAGAAAGCCTACGAGCTGCCAAGGTGCTTAACCAACAAAATATTGCACCATAATCGAAGGAAGGCATCTAAAAATTAAATTAAACTAATTTTCCAAAAGATGACATTTTATCCCAAAAAAATTTTTAACCGAAAGTTATAGGAAAAAGGGGTAAATCGACGAGTATTTATTTATTCTTAACCTCCAAATAAATTAAAAAAAATAAAAACTCAGAAAACCGACCAAAAATTATTAAAAACGACATTTTGTCCCACAAATGACATTTTGTCCCAAAAAAAATTTTTTTTACCGAAAATAGAAGCAAAAAGGGTATAACGACAATTATTTATTTATTTTTAACCTCCAAATAAATTTTTAAACATTTAAAAACCCAGACATTCGACCAAAAAACCAAAAAATATTAAAAACGACATTTTGTCCCACAGATGACATTTTGTCCCAAAAAAATTTTTTAACTAAAAATGCCCCTTAATAGGTTAAATAACCCTAATTTGTTTATTTCTAACCTCAAAATAAATTTTAAAAAATGAAAAAAAACCATTTTATTCAAGTAAAAGTGTAGTATAGCCCTTCCAATATGAGGCAAATCCTCCACTCCATAAACACAAACATCGTGTCTCAAGTAATCGCTCATACAACGATTGGTTTGTTTTCCATAAGTTCGCCATATTACATACCTTTTTTTATTAAAAAAAAATTTTTTTGGAAAAATTTTTTAAAAAATTTTCAAAAAAAATTTTTCAAAATTTTTTAAAAATTTTTCAAAATTTTTTAAAAATTTCAAAAAAAAATTTTTGAAAATTTTTTAAAAATTTTTAAAAATTTTTTGAAATTTCTGAAAATTTTTTGAAAATTTTTCAAAAAATTCAAAAATAAATTTCAATTACCTTCCCATACTGTTGGCAACTTTATTCTGATATTTTAGACAGTCCAAGGTAAATCCTCCTGGAAAATCGGGCAAATTGCTGTTTAGGGTGGAATAGAGGACCTTAAAATTTTATTAATTAAATGAAGGCGGTTGAAAAAAATTTTTTTGATTTTTAAAAAAATCATTGGATTTTGGGTCCTTGGAAAAATTTTAAATTTTTTTAAAAATTTCAAAATCCTTGGATTTTGTCTCCTATAGAATTTTTCTAGATTAAAAAACTAATCGCTTCCTTCCAACACGCTGACACGAGTTCAAATTAGAGACAGGCGCGGGACGGGATCCCGACGGGATTTTCCGGGATCCTGAAATACCGAATATTTTTGATTTTCGGGATCATTCGAGACCCGGAATTTTTTCGGGATTTATCTTGAAAAAACCCGTCCCGGCATCGGTTAAGAAAAAAATCCCGACTCGGGATCCCGGAAGTTCGATCTTGCCGGTCTCTAGTTCAAATATAATTTTTTGAAATATAAATTTTTCTAGAAGTTGAGCTTGGCCCCCTTATGATTTTTTTAATTTTTGGGATTGTATTTTCCGTTTCCTATAAAAAATTCTCATTCTAAATTAATCCCCATTTCTAATTTAAAAATTAAAAAAAAAATAAAAAAAAAACCTCGTCCATTCCATATCTACTCTTTTCCAACTGGTCAATAAACGGGTAAACATTCAACTGTTTAAGAGTAAAATTAACAGCAGCTCTGGACAAGACAATTAAATTTAAAGATTTTGTGTGGTTTAATTGTTTAATGTTTGGAGGGTAGGCATATTCTAAAATTTTGGAAAAATTATTTAATTTGATTTTTCCGATTTTTGGGATATTATGTCACCCTATATATAAATCAGAATTTTTTTCCACTATATAGAGACAACTAACGGACTTGTACTTAACTGCTAGGCTTGGGCCCTATGCCTAATGTCAATTGCGGAAATTGCCTTACAATTAGAATAGTCCATGTTTTTAGGGAAATCTGCCTTACAATTAGAATAGCCCATGTTTTTGGGGAAATCTGCCTTACAATTAGAGAGTCCGGCACCAGTTAGGGAAATTTGCCTTACAATTAGAGTAGTCCCAATAAAATTTTTTTTCGGCAAACTCCAGGTGCAGACAATCAAGCCGAGGGAGGCAATCGGTGCCAGATTTGGCTGTAACTCTCCAAGGGACAAGGTATTGCCTACCTACTACTTACAAGTATACCTTTTCCCCTCCATAAGTCCCCCCCCCCACCAAGATTTAAAATTAAAAAAACCCCAAACCGTTTCTGTAAAGCCGCAATCCTTTCAATGACCAATCCAGCGATTTAACAACCGTGTTTTTTACAATATTTTTTGTGGCAATATCGTTTGTTCCGTTGTATGCTTTAAATATGCGGACAAGTTCAGCGTTGGTACGTAGAGGTAAATCGTGATTCTGAAAAAAAAATTTTTAGAAAATTTTTTGAAAATTCTAAAAAAATTTTTTTTTAGAAAATTTTTTGAAAAATTTCTTAAAATTTTTGAAAATTTTTGAAAATTTTTTGAAATTTTTCAGAAAATTTTTTGAAAATTTTCCCAAAATTTTTCCTTCTAAAAATTTTTTCTAGAAGGCGACCGTCTCTTTAAGACTAAAAAATCACCAAAAAATTCATTTAAAAATTCATAACAAATTTTAACCCAAACCTAATCCCTTTAAACCTAATCTATCTTAAAGCCCTGATTTTTCTCTATCGTTTGATACTAAAATTAAATTCGTAACTCTATTAAAACTCGAGTTATGAATTTTTAAAAGTAGGCAACTTGAAGGGAATTAAAAATTTAATAAAATATAACTCGTCATTGACGCCCAATAATTAATTTTTAAATACTGGGCAACGCCTCTAGACGATTCTAATATTTTTTATCATCAAACAGGTAGTCATTAAACTTATTTAGAAGAAGCAAATGACTGTTTTTTGATGTTGGGAGGGTGGGGGAATCGAACCTTAAAGGGGGTGGTGAAGTGGAGGGGGTGAGACTAACACACTAACCACTCGACTATGGGTTGGTTGGGGAAGAAAATTAATTTAAAAGCTTTGGGTTGGGTTTAAGTGGGTAAAATAAATAGAAAAAAATTTCAGAAAAATTTTTAAAAATTCCAAAAAATTTTTTAAAAATTTTCTAGTAAATTTTTATAAATTTCAAAAATTTTTGAAATTTTTTTTGGAAAAAAATTTTTTTTGAATTTCTTAAAAAATTCCCAAAAATTTCAAAAAATCCCTAAAAATTTTCCAAAAAATTTTCGAAAATTTTCCAAAAATTTTTTAAAAATCAAACCTGCAGTAAAACAACATATTTCCAGTCTTCCTTTCTTTTATTCAATTTTTCAAGACACGATAAATGTGAGCGACTGACATTTTTCCCGCTGCTGTAGACATTGTATTCTTCATCGGAAACAAACACATTTTTAGAGAAGCAACGGGAGAGGGCTCGGATGCGTTCCTTGAATCTGTTAAAAAATTGAGGGATATTTAAGGAAAAATTTTTGGTGTTTTGAGATTTTGGCATTATGAAAATTTTGGCAAAATGAAAGTTGACATTTCGAAATTCGACATTTCGACACTTTGACATTTTGACTTTCGACATTCCGATTTTCGACATTTTGAAAATTTGACCTTTCGAAATTCGACATTATGAAATTTGACATTTTGACTTTCGACATTTTGAAACTATGACATTTAATCTTACGACATTTTGACATTGTTAAAAATTAAAATTTTAAAAATACTTTTTGTCAGCCTTTCTGTCCAAAGAATAACAATAAACATTATGGGGTGCATATTCAACAGACAACATTTGTTCAAGCATTAAATAATCCTTTTAAATAAATTTATAATAAATTTAATTCAAAATTTACCCTATAAACAGTCCTAGCAAAAGCTATAGGAAACCGTTTTTCCTCAACAGAAATTTCCTCAAATTTTTGAAAAAATTTCCACCGATTTTTAATCGAATTACAATCAATTTTCAAGTCGTTTAAATCCCTCTGGACAATTCTTTTGAGTTTTATTGAATTTATATATGATTTATCTTCATTCAAAATTAGGGAACAATTTAAGGAGTTTATTTGGTTAAAAATTTGTGGGCCTAAGGCGGATTGTAAATAATTGTTTGTTTTGGGATTTGTAGTTGTTGGTGTTGTTAATCTTTAATTTAAACGAGAAATTTAGTTGATTTTTTAATTTTAACTCCCAAGTTTTAATTGAAAAGGGATAGTTGGACTGGTGGTTTAGGGCACGAGTGCGCCTGCGCGGATGGCTATAAAACAGTCTAAAAAGTACCTAAAGACGTGAATTTTTGCATAGATATTCTGAATAATGTTAGCTAATAATTCTGAAAATTTCAGAATTTTTGATTAGGCATAAACTGAGTTATGGACAAAAATGTAAGGGACAATTGGACAGGTGGTTTCGCGCACGATGGCGCCTGCGCGGATGGTTATAAAATAGTCTAAAAAGTACCTAGAGATGTGAAATTTTGTCAGGATATCCTTGATACTGTTAACTAGTAATTCTGAAAATTTCAGAATTTCTGATTAGTTATAAACCGAGTTATGGACAAAAATGTAAGGGACAGTTGAACTGTGGTTTTAGGTTAGGGTTTCGCCGGAAGTTCCGGTTCCGGTTCCGGGTTCCGGAAGTTCCGGTGTTTTTTTGGTTCCGGTTCCGGTTCCGGGAACCGGAACTCAAATTGGTTCCGGTTCCGGCTCCGGTTTACAAATCGGTTCCGGCCAAACCGGAACTTTTTTACACCCCTAAGGATTAGTTTTTTTTAAAAAATATTAATAAAATACTAGTACTCTTATACTTGTAATAAAAAAATCGAAAGAAATATGTTTATTTTCTTTCAGTTGATTTCTGATGAGTGTGTGTCCGAGTGGTTAAGGGTTTGGGCTTCACTCAATGTGTTAATGATTTTAAGTTGGGTTCGCTTCCCAATCGTAGGAAAATAAATATTCAAATTTTTCTTTCAATAAATACATCATTTTATCAGTTTAATTTTGTTTTAAAAATTATTTTATTTTTACATGGAGTAATTAAGGTTTTTTGGCCCTCTAAAATTCTTAAAATATTTCGTATGATTTTTTTGCTTACAGCCTTCTTAAATTTTCAAAATTTTCGCCTGCGGCGCTGAAAAAGAAAGTTGAATGGTTAACGGATTATTTGGATGGATTAATGTGGATTTTGATGTGGACCCAATTACAATTCTGATTCCTTATATCGTCCGATATCAAACATTTATACCACCAAATCCGTTATACACCACTCTCTAACCCAAATATATCACTTATCGCCGACAAATTTTCGGTTCAGTTTTGGTTAATCAAAAGTCTCGGTTAGGTTCGGTTTTGGTTAACCGAAGAAGTTGGTGAACAGACAACCCTACTTAAACTACAAATTTTTTAAAATCTGCTAGCAAAAATTTTTTTAAAAGTTCCGGTTCCGGTTCCGGTTCCGGGCCGGAACTTTGAAAAGTTCCGGTTCCGGTTCCGGGAACCGGAACTCAAATTGGATCCGGTTCCGGTTCCGGTCAAAATTTCGGTTCCGGCGAAACCCTATTTTAGGTACGATTGCGCCTGCGCGGATGGCTATAAATCAGTCTAAAAAGTACCTAGAGATTTGAAATTTTGTCAGAATATCCTTGATACTGTTAACTAGTAATTCTGAAAATTTCAGAATTTTTGATTTAATATAAAATGAGTTATGGACAAAAATGTCAAAATGTCGAAAAAAGAGTTACTTTAGGTTTTTGACCATAACTTTTCTATTTTTGCACCTAAAATTTTGAAATTTAGAGGGATGATAGACAACACTATTGAGAATATCTGTGCAAAATTTTAAGGCTTTAGGTTCTCTCTAGGCGATTTTATAAGGTTTTATAGGGTCAAAAGTAGGCAAAAGAGGCTCTTAGATGTCCCTTTTCCACTTTAATTTTTTTTCTAAATTTTTTTAAAATTTACCTTAAATTCTTTTTCCATCTAAAATTAAAATTTGAACAATATAAATAAAAATAAATAAAAATAAAGATCAATAATATTGAGACTAGAAAATTTCTTTTCTTTGGGGTGAACATGCGCAACATAAAAAATAATATATTAATAGAAAATAAATAAAAATAAAAATGAAAAGGGAGAGAGAAAATATTTTTATTTTAAAAATATATGATGAAGTATTACTTACTTTTACGTCGAGATATTACTCTCGCGCAGTGAAAAAAATTTTTTTATTTTATTTTTAAAAAAAGAAGAGAGTAAATTGATTTAAAGTGAAATTTTTTTGTGAATTTAAAGAGCATTTTTAAAAAATAATTTTTTTGTTTACTAAAAATTAAAATAAATATTTTTTTGTGTGTTAAACAATGTAAACAAACTAACAACTTTTTTAAAAAAAATTTTTATGCAAATAAAAAAGAATAAAAATTCATTTAAAGTTGCGAAATATGTAAAGAAAGAGGGAGAGAGAGACACACTAACGCAGTTCACGTTTAATACACAAACTGATTAAATGGCTATTTTAAATGAATTTTTAAAAATTTTAACTGTGTAAACCATCTACTAAATTAAAAATTTTTTTTTAAATTTTCATATTTACTAAAAAAAGACGAAGATCAGTCCCACGTTGTCCATGAGACTCCCCTTCATTTTAAAATATAGGTGAACAAATATGCATACGAAATCGTGGAAAAAATTCCACAGAACCAGAAAGAGGTCCCAATTTACCTTTAAAGCAATTCAGTTTACTTCTGAGATCTGAAAAATGCTTTGGGACCCGACCGGGTTCGAACCTTCCACCTATAATTGAGAGCAAACCCACTTAACCACAGAAATTAAATTTTTGATTTTTTTATTTTTTATTTTTGGCATTCTGATTTTAGTTAAGGATGCTTGAGTCTCGCGATTTTTCTTCCTTCTTACCGCTCTCCCTCTTGCTTAAAAATTTAATGCTATGAAGAGAGAAAGAAAGTTCTCGATAAACTACACAAATTTTTGTGTCCCTATGCATACATTTTGCTAACCATCTAATAAATTAAATAAACAATTCCCTCCTTAATTTATAGAATTTTTTCTTTGGTAGACCAGGCGGGTTCGCTGGCCGCCGTTTCCCGTTTGATGAGCGGTTAGTACGACGAATTGCCTGTGGAAGGGTATGCTCTAGTTAGAGATTAAATTCGTTGTCTAGCTAATTGATCTCGTGGTTGCCCCATGAGTTGCGGTTAGTTAAGTGAAATTCCGGCCGTGGTAGCTTACAGTGGAGGATTCTCTTAGAGAACTACACGTTTGTTTACCTGGTGCACAAGGAGCAGACTATGTCTGTTCGAGTAGTGCCTCTAAAGACGGTTGTATTCGGATGGAGGGCTTCAGCTTGAATGACTCGCTAATTTTTTTCTAATTCAGACCTTCTTAGTACGAGAAAAATATTTGGGGACCCGACCGGGTTCGAACCCTAGACCCAAAATCAAACAGCAAACCCACTTAACCACAAAACAAATTTTATGATGATTAACGGTAAAATTTTTTACAAAATGACATTTAAAAATTAAAATCCAGTTAAATGTAAAAATAAATTTGCCGACCGGGTTCGAACCCTGGACCTATGTATTATTAAAAATAATCCCACTTAACCACAAAAAATAAATTTTTATTTTTAGGTAAATTTTGAAAAATTATTTTTAAATTTAAAATACAATTAAAAATAAATAGAAAAAATTCTAAATAAATCCAAATTTACTATCTCTTTCGTCATCAATAATCCTTTCTTTTTTAGAAAATATTTTTTCCAATAAAAAAACCAAAAACCACAAAATACCCAAAAATAGTAAAAATCCAAAAATACTTCCAAAGCTAAAAGCAATCAATTTAAATTGAAAATTAGTCAAAGAATTATTAAAACTTCCAATAATTTTATCAACATTATTTCCAATCTCACCAAAAGATGAGTCAAAATGTGTTACTGTTTGTTCCCCTCGAAGACCGACTTTTTGAACTCTTGAACCGACCTTTTAATTAATTTGTTTAAAAAATATTTTTGCTCAGAAAAATTCTTAAGAGGCATAAAAACCCCTAATTTCAACTTAAAATAATTTATTTTAGTCTTTAGAGCAGTAAAAAATATTCCGGGCCCCGAGCGGATTCGAACCCGCGTCCTCAATTTTCGTGTACCGACCTTTTATTTAATTTATTTTAGAAATATTTTTACTCAGAAAAATTCTAAGGGGCATAAAAACCCTCAATTTAACCTTAAAATAATTTATTTTTACCATAAGAAAATAAAAAAATATTCCGGGCATCGAACGGGTTCGAACCTTGGTCATTAGTTTTTCGCCTATAAAAAAGTCAAAAGGCTACCTAGAGCCATGAAATTTTGCAAGGATTTATTTATTAGTGTCATCTAACCTTCCTATAATTTTCAAAATTTTTGGTTAGGTTTGGCCTAAGTTGTGGGCAAAAAACTTTTTGGAGGCTTTTGCGTTTTTTGCGCACACTTGATTTTTAAAAATTATTTAAAGATTTTTATAAATGCAAATTTTCTAAAAAATTACCTCCTTGCCTAATTGGTGTATCTCACCAGCCAAACTTTGAATTTGTTCAATGACCGCATCAACCGAGGCAGGGGGTTTTTCAGAAGAAAAATTCATTGAAAAAATTTTTTTTATTTTTAAAAATTTTTTCAATTTTTAAAATTAAACAAAAATCGATTTTTGAGCAAAATTTGTTGTAAAATAATTTTGGAAAGGAGAGAATAAATTTTTTTTCGATTTTATTTTGCTCTTTAAACGAGAAAATATTTTTATTTTCTTTTATTTGCGAGCTGTTAAGTCAACAATGGGAGGAAGGCAAATAAAAATAAGATAAGAGAGGAAAGTATTTTGTTTGAACAATGAAATGACCAGAAAAGACAATTAATTGGTCAAATAATTGATTTAATTAATTATTAATTTTGTACTCATCCGGCCCTTTATTTGAGGCTTTTCTCTTTGATTGTGAACAGTAGAGACTCAGAAAAGTCTCAAAGTAGGGGTCGTTTGAAATTAATTATCTAGTCAACCGATTGTTCTTAAAAATTTAATTTTTATGTCAAAAGATAGAGCAGACTCAGAGCTACAAAATGAGCTAAAGAACGTGAAGATTGGATAAGGATATCAAAAGTTATGAATTTTTAAAGATGGGAGCAGTGGAGTCTCAGAATGAGGGTCGTTAAAAATTAATTATCTTTGTCATTCATTGTTGTTAAAAATTTGGTTTTTATGTTAAAAGATAGAGCAGATTCAGAGCTACAAAATGACGTAAAGAACGTGAAGATTGGATAGGAATTTTGAGAGTTATGAATTTTTAAAGTTTGCAGGGTTTTGGGGGGAATTTGAATTAATGGGTACAGTAGAGTCTCAAAGGAGGGGTCGTTTAAAATTAATTTTCTAGTTAATTGATTGTTCTTAAAAATTTAATTTTTATGTCAAAAGATAGAGCAGACTCAGAGCTACAAAATGACGTAAAGAGTGTGAAGATTGGATCAGAATTTCGAGAGTTATGAATTTTTAAAGATTTCAGGGTTTTGAGGGGAATTTGAATTAATTATAAAAATTAAAATTTTGGCGTTCTGTTTATTTTTTGTTTAATGTCCGCGTTGTAAAAATTTTTTTATTTTAACCAAGTTTGCTTGTTTTGGAAATTTGCTTTTTTTTACAATGGGTTAGTTTGTTGACTTTTTTGGTTGTTTAAATTGATTTTTAGGGGACCATGATGGGTACTACAATTATTTTGAAAAACCTCAAAATTCAAAACAAAGAGGACTTGAAGACGAGAATATTGTTTATGAACAGCTTTTGTATGGGGAAATTGTGATAAGAGAAAATGGACAAATTTGTGTGCAAGTACAAGGAGATGTGAAGGATTTGAGTTGGTTTTTTTTAATTTTTTTTGGTCTGTAAATAGGTTTAAAGAGGGGAAAGATTCTAGGTAGTTGACTAAAGCATTGGAAGCGCTTACAATTAGGAGGGGATTTAAGTTATAAGTGAATCAATTTCATTTTTCTGGTCGGTAAGGCATTTGAACAACGTAGCGAAGCATTTTCCAGAGTGTAAGGCATTTGCCCAAACTGGGACCGGCCCAGGCAATGTATTAATTTCGTATTTTTCCGGTATCATTCGATAAAGCATTGTAACTTTGTATAGTTAAAGGCCATCAAAATTTGGTATTATTGGAGAGGCTGGTGTTAGCGTAGCTTCCATGAGGTCGCAGGTTATCCCTGCCTGGGTTCTAAATTTTTACATAACTCTAAAGGGACGGGTATACGTGTTTTTATGTCCCCCTAGTCTTTAAAGAGCTGAAAATTTTTTCTAAAATTTTTATTCATCCTTTTTTAAGGCTTTAATGAATCCGATTCTATCAGACTTATTGAAAAGAACGGTCAACAAACCCTTTTAATTGAAAAGAGGACAGAACATGACTATTGTAAACAAAAAGGTTTTGTTGGAAAAGAAGGGAGACACACAGCAAAAGGTTTGAAATTTTAAGATGGTAGTGGGGCAAGCGGGCCAACATTACGTATCTCCCTCCCCGTAGTTCCTCAAATTTTGACCGCAAAAAATAAAATTTTAAAACCTTTAAGATCAGCCACAACAACGTGATGACCATCAACTCTCTGCTATTCAAAATCCAGATGGTCATGAAGAAGTAGTAGTGAATGCTGATGAGGAGGCTGTTGGTTTAGATGGTATTGATTTTACTGGATGTGGAGAAGAAATAGGTTTTTTTTATTTTCATATGGGATCTCATGGGCTTATTCAGAGTCGAATTTCAGTAGGCTATATGCGGGTGTATGCCAATGAAGTAACCGTAGGGTCGATTTCCAAGGGGCTAGCCCCCCTGGAAATGCTTTCTTTTACCTTCCTCCGGGTCAAGGGTGTTACGTGTTGTGAAAAACGTATCGAAAAATGTCAGGTTTTGTGTATAAGTTTTTGTATAACCCGTGACTTTGCTGCAGAATCCCTTTTATGTTATTTTATTTATTTTCCAAATTTTAAGTAGTCAGTACAACCCCAACAACAGAAAATATCAATTTAAACTCTACCAATCGTAAACAACTCAAAAGAGTTTTTGGTTCAAATAAATGTCAAGAGTGTGACCAAACATTTACTAACATGGCCCGTCTGGAAAGGCATTTAGCTGTTCATCAATGTTTTGGCGCTTATGTATGCCCTCTATGTGGAAAAACGTTTAAATACGAATATAATCTGTTTTATCATTGGAGAAGAACTTGCAGAGATTTGAATGAAATGATGACTATTGAAGAAAGAAAGGTTTGAGAAATTTTCTTGGAAATATTTATTTTTACGGATAAGATTTGCGGACAAAAATTTGTTTTTGCGGACATAAATTATTTGGTACTTTCCTGTTATCGGCCCTCCAGTTTTTCTTCCTTTTTTCTCAGTTTACTTCTGTACAGAATGGTCAGATTTTCTTTCTTTCTCAGATTCACTCCATTTCCCGGTAGCAACATTAACAAGGAAAAGATTCCCAAAAACGAAAAGAAAGTTACCACAACTGTTCAATTTTTTGTGTATTCGTCGTTTTTTAGAATTTTTCCTCCACTTTTCTTCATTGATGTCTCATTTGAATATGCCAATGGGAAATGGAGTGAATTTGAGAAAGAAAGAAAATCTGACCATTTTGTACAGAAGTAGACTGAGGAAAAAGGAAAAAAATGGAGGGCCGATAACAGGAAAGTACCAATTATTTTTGTGAATTTTACTTTTCCTGTGGATAGTTAGCGCTTATCCATCAGGGATGTCACGGGTTACCCGAAACCCGAAACCCGGCCTTTTTTTCGACCCGAAACCCGATCCGAGAAATTTTCTAAAACCCGACCCGAAACCCGACCCGAGTTTTTTCAAAATTTTCGCCCGCGTCGCAGAAAAAAGGAAGATTTTTAGCTTAATGACCTCCAAAATTCTGAAAATTTTCGCCTGCGGCGCTGAAAAAGGGACTTTTTTTCGACCCGAAACCCGATCCGAAGAAAATTTTGAAAACCCGATCCGAAACCCGACCCGACTTTTTGCTCAACCCGAAACCCGATCCGAGAAAAATTTTGGAAACCCGACCCGAAACCCGACCCGACATTTTTCTCAACCCGTGACATCCCTGTTATCCATAGGAAATGTTGATTTTATTGGTATTTATGATTTTTAATGGAAATAGCACTTGCGGACATAAATTTATTTTTTCGGACAAAAATTTATTTTTGCGGATTTTATTCTTTCGAGGTGTCACTGGTCATTTAATCCATCGGAGCTCTCATTTTTGGGGCATAATCAAGTTCTGACATTTATTTTAGTTGTTTGTGTTCAATTTAGTCCACAAAACTTGTCCGCAAATTTCAGACGAGCAATTAGAAATATTTAAAAATTTCAAAAATTTAGGCTATCGAGATTAACGCTCTTCGTCATTTAATTGAAGATATTTCCACAAAACACCCTCATAATCCTTTGAATTATTCTAAACAACAACAATCAACCAGTAATAATGTGGAAATGGATCAACAAAATTATGTGGTTATTCAAGATGGACATGATTATAATACTCCAAATTTACAATCCTTTGCTTCTAATTTGACTCAAACACAGTTTTCTGGAGAGAATTTGGAAGAAGTTTATAGGTTTTTTATTTTAATTGAGATAGGACTGTGAAGGCTTGACGGGAAAAATCAGTGTCTCGAAAACTGGATGGATTGATTGTCTTTGGGTTGGGAGACAGGCCCGTAGCCCCCGAAAAAAATCCTGGCTACGGGCCTGCTGGGAGAGATCGATATCTCTAATAAATATCAATCTTGATAGACAGGATTTTTGTTGAAGATCTCGTCTCGCTCCGATCTTTAGTTTTTTCGAATTTCAAAATTTTTTTTTGTTTTTAGAGAAAGAATAACCAATAATGAGGACACTTCCTTAACAGACCCATACAATTTTAACAACCAATTTAGTGATATAACTCAACCTAATCAAATTAACAAATCTACAAGAGCTTTACAATGCACTGAATGTCTTTGGTTTTTAATCAAAATTAAAATTTTTTCTTATTAAAAAATTTTTCTAGATCATTCTCCTCCCTTCAACGTCTACAAAAACACTTGATAGGTTCACACTATTCATCAGGCAGACACCCATGTCTATTTTGTGGAAACCGCTTCAAATACGAATATAATTTATTTTTTCATTATCGAAATGTTTGTCCTTATTCTTTGGATTTGTTAAAAGAAGAAACTAGGAGACGGGTATTTTTTTTTAGAAATTTTTTTGAAATTTTGGAAAAATATTTTTATTCAAGTTGGATGCCTCAAACCTCAAAAAATTAATTCGACAAATTGCTACAGATAAAGATTTTTATTTAAAATCTCCACCTTCTAGTAAACTTCAAAATGAAGAGAGTGATAGACCATGTAGTTCAACTTCGTTGTTAACCCCGTTGATTGAAAATCCTGCGGAAAATGGGGATTCTGCAATGAGACGGCAAATGATGAAAAATGTAAATTCTTTATATTTTGATGGGTAAAGTGGTTTTTTTGCGGATTCTATGGGGGATTTTCTGCTGATTTTTAGAGATCACTTATTCGGTAAAAATGAAACGTGGAAAGAAAACACCAAAATTATTTATATTTTTATCTGTCCACAAAAAAGGAAAAAATATCCGCAAGAACGGAACAAGTCCGCAAAAAATGTCCGCAAAAGAGTTAAAATCCGCAAAAGATCATTCTACTCTGTTTATTGTTTTTTATTTTCAATTAAATTTACTTTTGAACATTTTAACTTGTTTTTTAAAGATAATCCGCAAATATGTACCTAAATGTCGACAAAAATTGAATTCAATAAAAAATGCTAATAAAAATGTCGAAGAAATAGATGAGACAAATAATTCACAGAAAATTGGATTGCCTCGTGTGCTTCTTCAACCTACATATAGACCAGATTTGCCAGATGGAATTCATTGCCCGATATGTTGTTGGTTTTTGAATTTTTATTAGTTTGAAAAAAAGTCCGCAAAAATTTAAAAAATGTCCGCAAAATTTTAAAAGTCCGCAAAAATTTTTAAAAGTGTCCGCAAATGTGAAAATCTTTTTTTTTAATTTAGCTGTCGTCTTTTACGGTCTAAAAATACTTGTTCGTCATTTAAAAGCAGCACATCCAAAAGAATCTTCAGTTTGGGAAAAAACAATAAGAGGGCTTGATAATGCTTCAAATAAAAATTCCAAATTAATTTCTAAAGCAAGGATTAATCCAAAACGTTTTTTGGCGTCTAAAAAGAGTGGGAGGGAGGAAAGAAGTGTGAGAGGAGGTTTGAATTTTTTTAATAGTATTTATGATTTTTTTAATTTTTAGAACATTACAATTTTAACGAGGATACCCCTCCTTTGCTTGAAATCGAGCAATAATGATGGAAAAAATATTTATGAAAATTTTACATATTGCGGAAAATTTTTGCGGACACCTATTATTTACCTTCTTAATCCTTTAAATCCCTCGATATTTCTTTTAAAAAGTCGTAGGTTTTCAGAGTGTAGGCCTTCAGATCAATAGGTTTAGTCTTCGGGTTAGTTTTTCAGTATGGCTCTTAAACTCCAAAGAAAACGCCGAAATACCAAATCCTCGAGTGCCGTCGAAATGCCAAACTTGGGAAATGACGGGGAAATACCAATACTTAGTCAATAAGCTTCGTATTGTCCGTGATTAATTTTTTGGCAAAAATGTCCGTAAAAAATTTCTGATATTTTTTTTATTTTCATTTATTTTTCTGGTGTAAATAAAAGATTTTTTTGAATATTTTACACTTTTTTTCGACTTGTTTCTTTTCTTATTATATATTTTTTAATTTTTATTTTTGTCTAATTTTTCTTTCTTTTTGTATAATGCATGCTACACCTTCCCCAATTAAAAAGAATGGAAGTTTTACAAAATCTCCATCAAGGAAAAGCGATCACAAAAATGGTGGAGGACAAAACAAAGCGAAAGTCGAGGTTTGTAAATTATTTTTAAATCAACTTAAGTTGAGGGTTGGTTTTTGGGGTGTTTTCTGTGGTGGCTTGATTAGGGCGTTGACTAAGATTATGGAGGTTTTTTCCAGAAGTAAGCTTCATTTTTGGTCTTACTCGACTGAGGCCAATGGTCGTAGATAGAGTAGCTCATTGTTAGCTCAATTACTTAATTCCGGAGTCTAAATACTTACAGAATTTGAAAGGGTCTGGGCTTTTATCTTTGATATTTATTCGAGAAACTGTTATTGACAGTTTAAGACTTTAGAAAATTAAGAAAAATTAATTATTTCAGCTTTCCTCATCCAAAAATGATTCAAAATCACCTCCACATCTAAGGTGTTTGCCTCAAGCTCGTGTTAGACATATTATGGAATGTTCACCTGGAGGAGAAGATTTAAAAATGTCGGAGGATGGAGTGATAGCAATGGCTAAAGCTGCGGTTTTTTTTTTAAATTTTTATTTTAGATTTAAGAAAAAATTTTTTAAGGAAGGCTTTATTGAATTATTGGCACGAGGAGCATATGCGGAAACATCTGGTGTATCTGTCAATTACAATCATTTGTCAAACTATGTCCATTCTAGCGAGGAATTTGATTTTATACAAGGTTGGCGTAAATTTCAATTTTTTGAAATTTATTTTTCTGATAGGGTTTGGGATAGGGACATTTGTTTCTTACAATTAGGTTAAAAATCTGGTCGTGTTTAATTCTCTTACATTAATTTTTCTGTGAGGGATTTATGAGTTTGATGCCGTAATTTCAAACGCCGTAAAATCTGACCCTCTATAATACATGTCGAAATACCAAGATGTTAACAATTTACCAAATGGAGGTAGCAGACTTTTCATTTTTGTTGAAACTAACTTCCATCTGATTGGGATATATTTTCTAGTTTTTTACTTTTCCTTAGTTTGGTATTTCGACAGCTTTTGGGTTTGGTATTTCGACGTTTTTGGTATTGTGGGGGCTCCCTTGTTTACCCATTTGCTTTAAAAATATAATTAAATATTCAAAAATATTTCCCTTAAAGATATCCTTCCTCGAAAAGAACGTTTTTCCGAAATTATGAAATTAATGAAGAAACATAAAAATGCACAAATATAAAATTTATTTTTGAAAATTTTGTTCTCATATATTTTTCTCTTTTTTTTTTAAATTTATTCTCTATATTATTCTTTATTCAATGGTTAATATATTTTTGCTAGTTTTTCATTTTTCTCTCTTATCATTTTTACATATTTATGTTCGTTCGATAAATTTATGTATTTGCATAATGGCATGATTTGTTTATATTTTTTGGGTTTTCTTTCCCATTTTTAACGATTATTTTTTTTAATTTTTAGATTTTTTTAAATATAAATTTTATAGTTTTTAGCAATTTGGCGTTATTCTTTATTTTATACTAGAAAAGTTTCTACTTCTTTTAAAGGCTGTATTTTGTAAGTTTCTTTTAATTTTTTAGGTATTGAGTGGGGAAGGGTAAGGGTGGTTCGTTTATCTTTTCTAGGGCCCATCCTTTTTGGAGAATCAAACAATTTTCGTTAAAATACCGAAAGCTAGTGTAAAAGATTAAAAAACTTGGCTAAGAGTTCTGTCGCTAACTTATCCGCGAATCATAAATTTGCGGACATTCTGCAAATTAAGTGATTGTGGATGGGTCAGTAACTTAAGAAAATTTACGGATTGATCCGCAAATTAGGAAACTGTGGACAATCCACAAATCATAAAAGTGCATAAAACTTGTGTGAAAATATGCTGACCAAAATTGCAGAATTTCTTGTTCAATAATTTAAATAATTTATTTTTTAGAAGAAGTAATTTTTGTGACATAAAATATCTCAACAAAAACATCATGGAAGACCAAATTTCAAAAATTTCTGATGCTGCTAATCGAATGCGTATTTCTTCAATTGAACAAACTGCTAAAGCAAATTCTGGCCATCCAACAAGTAGTTGTAGTGCTGCTGAAATTGTTGCTACACTTTTCTTTTCTGAAATGCGTTATTCGGTTAAGGAACCTAAACATGCTTCTGCTGATCGTTTTGTTTTGTCTAAGGTTTGTTTTGTATATGGTGGGTGGTTTGGGGTTTTTAACTTTTGGGGAACTTAATTTGTGAGAAGCTTTTATTTAAGCTGTTGAGGGTAGTTTAAATTAAACTTTTAGGTTTTTGCGGATATTTGTTTTGCGGACTTTTTTTGCGGATTTATCGATTTCTTGGGCAATTTTCCCCAAATATTGTTTCCCTTGCTCGTAATCTTTCCCACATTTTTTTTCTTTAAGGGACATGCCTGTCCGATTCTCTACGCTGCTTGGGAAGAAGCAGGCCTGTTAACTCGAGAACAAGTTTTGACTCTTCGCAAATTAACTTCAGATATTGAGGGACATCCAACTCCGAGACTTTCATTTATTGATGTTGCTACAGGTTTCTTTAAATTGTAAAAAATAAAAAAATTTAACTCTAATTGTAAGGCTCTCTTGGACAAGGACTTTCTTGTGCTGCTGGAATGGCTTATACTGGAAAATATATTGACAACGCTTCATATCGAGTCTATTGCCTTTTGGGGGATAGTGAAAGTGCAGAAGGATCTGTTTGGGAAGCTGCAGGTTTCTTTTTAGTTTTTTTTTAGATTTTGATAAAAATTCTTTTAGCCTTCGCAAGTTATTACAAATTGGATAATCTCGTTACAATTGTTGATGTTAACCGACTTGGACAATCTCGAGAAACTATGCTTGGCCATGATTTGTTTACTTATGCTAAGCGTTTTGAAGCTTTTGGTTTTAATAGTATTATTGTTGATGGACACGATGTTGCTGATTTATTGAAAGGTTTTGATGAAGCAAGGTTTGTGTTTTTTAATATAATTTAGAATTGAATTTTTGCTAGTTTTGAGGGTAAACGGAATGATTTTCTCCCGTTATATTAGCCCCATTGGTTATTTCCCGTTTGTCTTTGTTATTATTTTTTGGTTCTTTTTTAGCTCTTCTACCGAGTTAGGACCAACTCCTTTCCTCATTTTTAAAGTTTTGGTTGCCATTTTATTTTTTTCCTTGCCTGGTCTAACAATAAGATGACCATTGATACCTCTTTTGCCCTCCTAGGAATATAGAGTAAAGAGCTAGTAGATGGCCTCACCCATTACAATACCAACGGTTGTCCCTGGAAATTGGACGCCTATGATTGAAAGGATTAAAATAAAAATTTTTCTCTTTTCCAGAAAAGTAACAGGCCAACCAACAGCAATTATTGCACGTACATTAAAAGGAAAAGGAATTGAAGGAGTTGAAGATAAAGATAATTGTCATGGAAAACCAGTAACTTTGGATAAAGCAGAAATTATTGCTTCAAAATTGGGAAATAAAACAACAAAAAATTCGTGGGAATTGGAAAATTTAATTGATGATGCTCCTGAAGTTGATTTTGAAATTGGAAAAATTAAAATGAGTTCGCCGCCAAATTATCAAATTGGGGAGAAGGTAGCTACTCGTTTAGCTTATGGAAATGCTCTTGTTAAATTGGCTGATACAAGCAAAAGGATTATTGCTTTGGATGGGTATATTTTTTTGAAAAATTTTTTGCGAAAATTTTTTAGAAATTTTTTGAAAATTTCTGAAATTTTTTTTAATTTTCGAAAATGTTTTTGAAAATTAAAAAAAATTAAAAAAATATATATGTATATTTTCTGAAAATTTTTTGAAAATTAAAAAAAAATTTAAAAAAAATCTAAAAAATTTTTTAGTGACGTGTCAAACTCCACCTTTTCTGATAAAGTTCTCAATAAATACCCTCAACAATTTGTCCAATGCTTCATTGCTGAACAAAACATGGTTGGCGTTGCTGTAGGGATGTCTTGTCGTGGACGAACTATTCCACATGCTAGGTTTATTTCTCTGGGTACTTCTTACTAAAATCTTATTTTAAAGTACCTTTGCTGTTTTCTTTACTCGTGCTGCTGACCAAATTCGAATGGGGGCAATATCCTTTGCCAATGTTAAATTTGCTGGTTCACATGCTGGTGTCTCTATTGGAGAGGATGGGTAGGAGATTTTTTAAATTTTTTAAATTTTCAAAAAATTACTTTAGGCCAAGCCAAATGGGACTTGAAGACCTCGCACTTTTCCGAGCAGTTCCTAATAGCATCGTTCTTTATCCGACTGATGCGGTTTCTACAGAATATGCAACTGAATTGGCTGCTAATTATAAAGGAATTACTTTTACGCGTACTGGACGTCCTAACACTCCGGTTATTTATCAAAATGATGAGAAATTTGAGATTGGAAAATGCAAGGTTTGATTGTAAAAATATTTTTATAGGATATTAATGAGGAGGGCTGGTTCAGTTTCTAGCGGTAGTCCAGAGGAGGTTTTGGAGATTCCGAAGCCTGCTGGCTTCTGGAGCCTGCCCTCATTTCTGAATTATTTAAAAAAATTTTCTATAGGTCATCCGCCAAACAAATGAAGACAAATATTTATTGGTAGGCGCGGGTGTAACACTCTACGAGTGTATTAAAGCTCATGATATTTTGAGTTCTGAAGGTATTCAAGTTGCTGTTATTGACATTTTCTCTGTCAAGGTTTTTTTAGTTTTTTGGTTAAATTATTTTTATTTCAAAGCCTTTGGACAACCAAACACTTATTGAGCAAGCTAAACGTGTTGGAGGGAAAGTTTTGACAGTAGAGGATCATTATCAGACTGGAGGTATTGGTGAAGCCGTAGCTTTGGCGTTAGGTGACGTTCCTAATGTTTGTGTTCGCAGTCTTTGTGTTAAAGGTTTTTTTAATTTTAATTTAGTATAGGAGAAAAAAATCTATTTTTTTATATTTCGTTTATAAATAGTTGAGTAATTCTGTGTTTAAAGGACAATATTGAGTGGGAGTTTAATGTAACTTTATCAAGAGTATTCCATAGTGAAGAGCTTCTATTAACAAAGGAATGAGCGTTTTTTGAGGATCTGCATTTAAACATAAGTCTATTAAATTGTTTATGAGATGGATGAGTAGAAAATCGGTATAGGTGAGTAGGATCTAAATGGGTAAACCCTTTAATAATTTTAAATGCAGTTACGAGGTCATAAATTTTTCTGCGGGTATTAAGAGATTGCAATCCAAAAAGTTTAAGTCTTTCAGGATAAGGAATTTTAGGTAACATGCATTTTTTGAGAGCAATAGATGTAAAGAATTTTTGGCATTTTTCAATTTGTATTATATTTTTTTTGAAATGAGGGTTCCAGATTTCGGGTGCATATTCAAGTATGGGTCTGATATAAGATTTATAGACTAATGTCCAAGTTCTAATGCTCCTAGATCTAATAGTTTTAAATAGAATTTTCATACGATAATAAGCATTTCGAACAATTGTGTCAAAATGTTTTTGAAAGGATAATTTATTATCAATTATAATTCCTAAATCTCTTATAGAATCTAAACCCATAATAATATTATCTCCAATTTTATATTTGTGCATTTGGTTATTTTTACCAAGATAGAGAACATAAGATTTATCTGAGGAAATATTAATACCCCATTGATCGCACCAAAGTTCAATATTAGTGATTGTTTCAGTTAGTATATTACATTGGTTTAATGAATCATGAATTAGATATATCTTAATATCATCAGCAAATAATTTAACAGATATGCCTTTTGGAATAATATCTGGAAGATCGTTTATATAAATGATAAATAATAATGGTCCAAGGACAGAGCCTTGTGGTACACCCAAAGGTGCACTGTAATAAGATGAAAAACTATCATTGATTTTTACACGGTATTTTCTATTTGTTAAAAATTCTTTAATCCAATTGTATATTTTACCCCTAACGCCAATTTTATAGAGTTTATATAAAAGTAAGTCATGTGGGATAGAATCAAAAGCTTTTCTGAGGTCTAAATAAATGCAATCTATGTTTTTATTAGAAAATATTCCATCAAACCAATCTTCTAAGGTAGTGATCAGTTGTGTAGTAGTGGATCTCCTTGGGAGAAATCCAAATTGATGAGGAGATATAATATTATTTTCTAAAAGAAATTCTAGGATTCCATTAAAGATAAATCTTTCCATTACTCTGCATAATGAGCAAGTAATAGAAATTGGACGATAGTTAGAAACTAGTTCCTTATTTCCTTTTTTAAAAAGTGGAATTATTATAGATTCCTTCCAGATATTTGGAAGTAGAGCAGAGTCAAGGGAAATTCTGAAAAGTTCAGATATATAAGAAACTAAAGAAACAGAACAATTCTTTAAAAATCTATAGGATATAAAATCAGGTGATAGACCTTCCTTGTTAGGGAGTGAATTTAACATTTTTAATAATTTACTAGAATCAATTTCAATATCATCGATAAATTTAGGATTAATATTAATGAGTTCAGGAATAATAAAGTTAGTATCAGAATCTAGAAAAAATGATCCAGCAAATATTTCACATTTGTATTTGTCATCATAAACATAATTACCATCTACCAATAAGGATGGAATGGTATTGTTGTTTTTAGAATGTCTATTAATATATTTAAAGATATTGAGTGGATCTTTTTCGATATAATTTTTTTCAAGTTTTGCATAAAATTTTCTTATTTGGATTTTAACATGAAGATTTAGACTATTGTAACGTGGTATTAAATCAGATTTACCTTTAGAGATAATTTTCCAGAGACGTGCTTTTTCTTTTATAGAAGCTTTAAGCGAGGCTGGATATCTAGGAGTGAATTTAGAAATATAGGTGCCAGGTAAAAATTGATCTCTAGCAGTTAGAATGTTGGAAATAAAAGAATTATATTTGTCCTCTATAGTATAATTGCTAATAGAAGTAGACGGTAATATAGAGGACAAATAGATATTTAATAGCTTTGTATTTGGTTTGTCATATGTTCTACAAAAGATCATAGGTTGTTTAGTCTTAGGTTTATTAATACATAGATCGAAGCAAATAGCAGCATGGTCAGACGAGAGAATGGAATCAGAAGTTTGGCAATTAGTAATACTGTCTTTACAATTAGACATTACGAGATCAAGCCATGAATGACCGCGAGTGGGTGAAGTAGTGTGTAATTTAAGACAGTTTTTATTGAAAAATGAGACAAAAGTAGAACATTACAATTTTAACGAGGATACCCCTCCTTTGCTTGAAATCGAGCAATAATGATGAAAAAAATATTTATGAAAATTTTACATATTTGCGGACAATTTTTGCGGACACCTATTATTTACCTTCTTAATCTCCTTAAATCCCTAGATATTTCTCTTGAAAGGTTGTAGGTTTTCAGAGTGTAGGCCTTCAGATCAATAGGTTTAGTCTTCGGGTTAGTTCTTCAGTATGGCTCTTAAACTCCAAAGAAAACACCGAAATACCAAACCCTCAAGGGCCGTCGAAATGTCAAACTTTGGAAATGACGGGGAAATACCAATAGCTACTATATCAATAAGCTTCGTTTTGTTTGTGATTAAGTTTTTGGGCTAAATTGTCCGTAAAAAATTTCTGATATTTTTTTCTTTATTGGTAATTATTTTGTGTGTAAATAAAGTATTTTTTAAAGATTACATTTTTTTTGACTTGTTTCTTTTCTGATTAATATTTTTTAATTTTTATTTTAGTTTAATTTTTCTTTCTTTTTGTATAATGCATGGCTACACCTTCCCCAATTAAAAAGAATGGAAGTTTTACAAAATCTCCATCAAGGAAAAGCGATCATAAAAATGTTGGAGGACAACACAAAGCGAAAGTTGAGGTTTGTAAATTATTTTTAAATCAACTTAAGTTGAGGGTTGGTTTTTGGGGTGTTTTCTGTGGTGGCTTGACTAAGATTATGGAGGTTTTTTCCAGAAGTAAGTTTCATTTTCGGTCTTACTCGACTGAGGGCAATGGTAGTAGATCGAGTAGTTAGCTCATTGTTAGCTCAATTACTTAATTCCGGAGTCTAAATACTTACAGAATTTGAAAGGGGCTGTGCTTTTGTCCTTGATATTTAGTCGAGAAACTGTTATTGACAGTTTAAGACTTTAGAAAATTAAGAAAAATTAATTATTTCAGCTTTCCTCATCCAAAAATGATTCAAAATCACCTCCACATCTAAGGTGTTTGCCTCAAGCTCGTGTTAGACATATTATGGAATGTTCACCTGGAGGAGAAGATTTAAAAATGTCGGAGGATGGAGTGATTGCAATGGCTAAAGCTGCGGTTCTTTTTTTTAAATTTTTTTAGATTTAAGAAAAAATTTTTAAAGGAAGGCTTTATTGAATTATTGGCACGAGGAGCATATGCGGAAACATCTGGAGTATCTGTCAATTACAATCATTTGTCAAACTATGTTCATTCTAGCGAGGAATTTGATTTTATACAAGGTTGGCGTAAATTTCAATTTTTTGAAATTTATTTTTCTGATAGGGTTTGGGATAGGGACATTTGTTTCTTACAATTAGGTTAAAAATCTGGTCGCGGAATTTCAAACGCCGTAAAATCTACCCTTTATAATACATGTCGAAATACCAAAATGTTAACAATTTACCAAATGGAGGTAGCAGACTTTTCATTTTTGTTTCAGACAAACTTCCATCTGAAACTTCCGTCTGACTAGTTTTTTTTAATTTTCCGAGGTTTGGTATTTTGACAGATTTTTTGGGGTTTGGCATTTCGACGTTTTTGGTATTGTGGGGGCGCTCTTTAAAAATTTTATTAGAAATTAAAAAAAAATATTTCCCTTAAAGATATCCTCCCTCGAAAGGAACGTTTTTCCGAAATTATGAAATTAATGAAGAAACATAAAAATGCACAAATATAAAATTTATTTTTGAATTTTGTTCTCATATATTTTTCTCTTTTTTTAAATTTATTCTCTATACATATTTGTTTTAATATTTGCTAGTTTTTCATTTTTCTCTCTTATCATTTTTACATATTTATGTTCGTTCGATAAATATATGTATTTACATAATGGCATGATTTGTTTTATTTTTTGGGTTTCTTTCCCATTTTTAACGATTATTTTTTTATTTTTTAGATTATTTTAATATAAATTTTATAGTTTTTAGCAATTTGGCGTTATTCTTTATTCTATACTAGAAAAGTTTCTACGTTATTTAAAGGCAGTCTTTTGTAAGTTTCTTTAATTTTTTTGGATTATTGGGTCGCCTCACTCTTTCCAGGCCCCACCCTTCCTTTCCTGGAAAATGCGAAACATTCGTGTAATTAAAGACCCGAAGGCTGCTGAAAAGATTAAAGAACGTCCGTGACCCTGTCGCCAATTTGTCCGCAAATCATGAAGTTGCGGACAAATCCGCAACTTATAAAATTGTGGATGCGATCCACATATCATAAATCCAGGGCCTATCCTTTCTGAAAAAGGAGAAACGTTTTTGTGATTAATGACCCGAAGCCTGCTGAGATTAAAGACCTGTCGCCAATTAGTCCGCAAATCATGAAATTGCGGACGAATCTGCAATTTATTAAAATTGTTGATAAATGGTCAACTAGTAAGATTCTTAAATCATTTCTCTCTTCTTCACGCTTTAATAGATTTATTTTTGAATAATTTAAAATTATTTTTTAGAAGAAAGGGTTATATTGATCTAAAATTTCTTACAAATAAAAACACCATGGAAGACCAAATTTCAAAAATTTCTGATGCTGCAAATCGAATGCGTATTTCTTCAATTGAACAAACTGCTAAAGCAAATTCTGGACACCCAACAAGTAGTTGTAGTGCTGCTGAAATTGTTGCGACACTTTTCTTTTCTGAAATGCGTTATTCGGTTAAGGAACCTAAACATGCTTCTGCTGATCGTTTTGTTTTGTCTAAGGTTTGTTTTTTGTATGTGATGGGTGGTTTGGGTTTTTATTAACTTTTGGGGTAATTTATTTGTGAGAAGCTTTTGTTTAAGCTGCTTGAATTGATTTTTTATATTTTTGCGGATTTATCGATTTCTTGGGCAATTTTTTCCCAAATATTGTTTCCCTTGCTCGTAATTTTCCCCATATTTCATTTTCAATTTTAATTTTATTTAAAAATTTTTTCTTTAAGGGACATGCCTGTCCAATTCTCTATGCTGCTTGGGAAGAAGCAGGCTTGTTAACTCGAGAGCAAGTTTTGACTCTTCGCAAATTAACTTCTGATATTGAAGGACATCCAACTCCGAGACTTTCATTTATTGATGTTGCTACAGGTTTTTTTTGAATTTTAAAAAATTAAAAATTTAACTCTAATTGTAAGGTTCTCTTGGACAAGGACTTTCTTGTGCTGCTGGAATGGCTTATACTGGAAAATATATTGACAACGCTTCATATCGAGTCTATTGCCTTTTGGGGGATAGTGAAAGTGCAGAAGGATCTGTTTGGGAGGCTGCAGGTTTCTTTAGTTTTTTTAGATTTTTTTGGTTGAAAGCATTTTTATTGGTAGCTTTCTTTTAGTCGGTGTATATCTATTCTGGTTAATTTGGTTAATAGTCTGGTTGAGGTAGTTGGAAAAATTCCAGTTCTGGGGAATGAAAGGTGGGAGTTAGAGTCCGTTTGTTAGTAAATGGTCTCTTTCGGACAACGTCTCTACATTTATTTTTTTTATTTTCATTCAATTTAAATTTTTTAGCATTCGCTAGCTATTATAAATTGGATAATCTCGTTACAATTGTTGATGTTAATCGACTTGGACAATCTCGTGAAACTATGCTTGGCCATGATTTGTTTACTTATGCTAAACGTTTTGAAGCTTTTGGTTTTAATAGTATTATTGTTGATGGACACGATGTTGCTGATTTATTGAAAGGTTTTGATGAAGCAAGGTGAGTGCTTTTGTTTAAAAAATTGGTTTTTGAATGTCTTGAGGGCAAATTGAATGATTTTCTCCCGTTAGATTATCCCCATTTTGTTATTTCCCTCTTGTCTTTCTTGGTATTTTTTGGTTCTTTTTTAGCTTTTCTACCGAATTAGGACCAGTCCCACTCCACATTTTTAATTTTTGTTGCCATTTTATTTTTTTCTTACCTGGTTTTTGATGTTGACCTAACAATAAGTTGAGTCTCTTGAACCCCTTTTTAGCCCTCCTAGGAATATTGAGTAAAGTGCTCCGTTGATGGCCTCACCCAGTACAATACCAAAGGTTGTCTCTGGAAATTAGACGAATAAGAAAAAAGATTAAAATTTTTCTCTTTCCAGAAAAGTAACAGGCCAACCAACAGCAATTATTGCACGTACATTAAAAGGGAAAGGAATTGAAGGAGTTGAAGATAAAGATAATTGTCATGGAAAGCCAGTAACTTTGGATAAAGCAGAAATTATTGCTTCAAAATTGGGAAATAAAACAACAAGAAATGCCTGGGAATTGGAAAATTTAATTGATGATGCTCCTGAAGTTGATTTTGAAATCGGAAAAATTAAAATGAGTTCGCCGCCAAATTATCAAATTGGAGAGAAGGTAGCTACTCGTTTAGCTTATGGAAATGCTCTTGTTAAATTGGCTGATACAAGCAAAAGGATTATTGCGTTGGATGGGTATATTTTTTTGAAAAATTTTTTGAAAAAGTTTCTTGAAATTTTTGAAAAAAAATTTTTTAGAAATTTTTAAAAATTTTTTTCAAAAATTTCTAAAAAATTTTTAAAAAAAATTTTTTTCAGTGACGTGTCAAACTCTACATTTTCTGATAAAGTTCTCAATAAATACCCTCAACAATTTGTCCAATGCTTTATTGCTGAACAAAACATGGTTGGCGTTGCTGTAGGGATGTCTTGTCGTGGACGAACTATCCCTCATGCTAGGTTTATTTCTCTAGATATTTATTACTAAAATTTAATTTTCAAGCACCTTTGCTGTTTTCTTTACTCGTGCTGCTGACCAAATTCGAATGGGGGCAATATCCTTTGCTAATGTTAAGTTTGCTGGTTCACATGCTGGTGTCTCTATTGGAGAAGATGGGTAGGAGATTTTTTTGAAATTTTTGTGATTAAAAAAATTTTTAGCCCAAGCCAAATGGGACTTGAAGACCTCGCACTTTTCCGAGCAGTTCCTAATAGTATCGTTCTTTATCCGACTGATGCGGTTTCTACAGAATATGCAACTGAATTGGCTGCTAATTATAAAGGAATTACTTTTACTCGTACTGGACGTCCTAACACTCCTGTTATTTATCCAAATGATGAGAAATTTGAGATTGGAAAATGCAAGGTTTGATTGTAAAAATATTTTTATAGGATATTAATGAGGAGGGCTGGTTCAGTTTCTAGCGGTAGTCCAGAGGAGGTTTTGGAGATTCCGAAGCCTGCTGGCTTCTGGAGCCTGCCCTCATTTCTGAATTATTTAAAAAAATTTTCTATAGGTCATCCGCCAAACAAATGAAGACAAATATTTATTGGTAGGCGCGGGTGTAACACTCTACGAGTGTATTAAAGCTCATGATATTTTGAGTTCTGAAGGTATTCAAGTTGCTGTTATTGACATTTTCTCTGTCAAGGTTTTTTTAGTTTTTTGGTTAAATTATTTTTATTTCAAAGCCTTTGGACAACCAAACACTTATTGAGCAAGCTAAACGTGTTGGAGGGAAAGTTTTGACAGTAGAGGATCATTATCAGACTGGAGGTATTGGTGAAGCCGTAGCTTTGGCGTTAGGTGACGTTCCTAATGTTTGTGTTCGCAGTCTTTGTGTTAAAGGTTTTTTTAATTTTAATTTAGTATAGGAGAAAAATAGGGGTCATATGGGAGGAAAAGATCGTATAGATCAACGCGTTTATTGTCTAGTTTTTTTCTAAACCTAGAGAACCTTTTATTGAACAAAATCTGTCTTGTGAATTTTTAAAAGAAGTGTTAAAGGTTTTTTTTAATTTTTTGTTTTAAATATAGGAGAAGAATAGGAGTTATACATATAAGAGAAAAAATATGGGACTTATTATCCAGTTTTTCGAAACATTTCAAATTATTGACCAAAATCTGGACATGTCAGTGAATTTTTTTAGAAAGATCCGACTTGGAAAATTCTTTTAAAAATCGACAAAAACACAAGAGATAAATTTAGTAGGATTTTATTTACCTTGCAGAGACGAAAAAAGAGCTAGATACTAATTATTTCTAAGGCTTTGGGGGTATTTTTCTTGGGGTCCTATTGCTCTCTATTTTAACAAGATCTGTCAGAACGATCTTAAAAAAGTTTTTATAAAGAATTTTTTCTTAGAAATTCCACGTTCTGGTACACCTGACGAGCTTATGGATTTGTATGGAATTTCTGCAAAGAAAATTATAGCTGCAGTGAAGAATTATTAATTATAGATAGACAAAAAATAAGCTTAAGGAGACCTATTTATAGAGTATAATTTTTCAAATTTAATTATATATTTTTTCAAAATTGTTAATTTGGCAGATTTTTTTTGCATATTTATAGACGTGCACTTATTTTAAAATTTTAATAATGATAAATGGTTGTTGGGTTTTTTAATTTTTATTTTAAAAATTGTGGTTATTGCAAGACCAAAAATATTCTATTTGTTCGTACTCTAGTGTCATAGCTCTTGAATTGATTTGTTAAGAGACTGTGAGGGAATGAGAGACGATTAGAGATATAAATTGACTAAAAGCGAGCTTGACAAATTTTGCCAATACACATTTTGCCAATGAAGCTAAAAAGTTACATTTTGACACTACATTTGTGACAAAATGTATAATTTTACCTTTATTGGCAAAATGTGTATTGGCAAATTGTGATATGGAGAGAATGTTAAATTAGAGATGATAACAAAAAAGCGGCATTTTTGTCTTTCAATTTTGTTTGATTTTTTAAAATTTTTTAAAATAATTTTAGATTTGATAAATTAATTTATTTATTTAAAAAATGCCTATTATCGCTGCTTATCGTTTGGCTAACGAGAGAAGGGAGTGGCTCAATAATCCTCTTCCTGGATTTACTGCAAGGCCGATTAAGGACGTTAATGGATTGAATTTGTAAGATTATCAAATAATTCTTACTAATTTAAGTTTTTAGGTACACATGGGAATGTGCCATTCCTGGACGAAGAGAGACTATTTGGGAAGGAGGATTGTTCAAACTTCGAATGATTTTCAAAGATGATTATCCGTTCATTCCTCCAAAATGTCAATTTGCGCCGCCACTTTTCCATCCAAACGTCTACCCGTCTGGGACGGTTTGTCTGAGTTTGTTGGACGAAGACAAAGACTGGTTTATTTTTAAATAGATTTTTTTATTAAATTTTCCCCATTAAAATCTAAGGCGGCCGTCAATGTCTGTCAAACAAATTTTGATCGCAGTTGAAGAATTGTTGGTTAATCCGAACGTGGCAGATCCTGCTCAGGCTGTTGCTTATCTAACTTATGTTCAAGATCGTCAAGAATATGATCGGCGTGTGCGCGAGCAAACTCAACTTTTTTCTCATGAAGTGGTTCAAATGGAAATGTTAAATCATTATTAAGTATTTTTTGATATCTTTCTTTTTTGTTTTGAGGGCAGAGCGAAACTTCAGGTCCTTTTTGTTTTAATTTTATAAATAAAGTCCCCATTTATCCATGGACATCTTTTCGAGTTGAAGTTTTGTTCCCCAAATATTTTTGTCAGCATTTTAAGTCAATTTATTTAAATGAATTTTTCTGGTCTCACAATCAGTTTATCAAAATTGTCTGTTATTTACAACAATAAATATAGTCTATTTATTTTTTTGAATTTTATTTTTGTTTTATTCAATTAATATTTTAGAATATTTTAAAATATTAAAATTTAAATTTTGATTTAGAAACCTTTTTAAATTTATTTCAAATAAAATGGCTGGAATCGCTGCTGGTCGTTTGCTATATGATAGAAGGGATTGGCTCAGAAATCCTCTTCCTGATTTTATTGCAAGACCGATTTTGGACGTTAACGGACTGAATTTGTAAGATTATCATATATTTATTGATTTAAATTTTAGATTCAATTGGGAATGTGCCATTCCTGGACCTAAAGACACACTTTGGGAAGGAGGATTGTTCAAACTTCGAATGCTCTTCAAGGATGATTTTCCTCTAATTCCTCCAAAATGTCGTTTTGAGCCGACAATCTTCCATCCAAACGTCTTTCCGAATGCTATCGCTTGTCTGAACATTTTGTACAATGACTGGTTTATTTTTAAATATTTAATTTTTTATTAAAATCTCCCAAAATTTAAGGCGTCCAACAGTCACTATCAAACAAGTGTTGTTGGCAATTCAAGATTTGTTGGTTAATCCAAACCTGGAGGAACCTGTTCAAGCTGAAGCCTATTTAATTTGTACCAAAAACCGGCAGGAATATGAACGTCGTGTGCGCGAACAAGCTCAACGTTTTTCTTGGGAAGTGGTTGAAATGGAAATGTTTGGTTAAATTATAAATTATTTTTTTTGTGTATTTTGTTTTGAGAGAGAGCGAAACTTCCCGGACCCCCTTCTTCATTTACTCTTGGGTGGAAAGGGGTGTGGGCATGGTTTTGACATTGGGTGGGCGAACAACAGATAGCTTACGTGACGCGGTTCCCTGGAAAGATTCACCGTTCAAGAATCGTTTAGGATTTTATATAGTTCCGAACACCAAAGGTTTTTGGCGTTGGGAGGGCTAACAATAAATTATAGCTCATTCGACATGGCTCGCCGTGAAGAGAATCATTTCAGGGTTCAGGATATCGTCCTGAAGTTTCGTTCCCAATTTTTTGGTTTAATGAATTTTTCGATCTCAATTTATCAAATTCAGTCACAAAAAATAAATCTATTTATTTTAATTTTTTTTAAATTTTCATATTTAATTGTTTTTTCAGTTAATATTTTATTCTATTATTTAAAAATTTACATTTTTATTTAGAGTTTTTTTTTAATTTTTATTTGAATAAAAAAATGGCTGGAATCGCTGCTGGTCGTTTAGCTGAAGAAAGGAAGGCTTGGCGCAAGGACCATCCTTTTGGATTTATTGCAAGGCCAGCAAAAAAGGATGACGGGACGTTGGATCTGTTAGTTTTTTATTTTAAATACGAGAGGAACAAGGTTTCATTTAAAACGCTTATTGTTAATAGGGGTTGGGTTTTAAGGTCTATTTAAAAAAAGTTATTAGCGCTCTTGTAGCTGTACGTGTATGTGTTGAGCGAAGCGTCTAGTAATAACTGAGGAGGTTCCAGTAGGAGGGCGAAACCCGAATATCCGGATCAGAAAAACCGGCTACCCGGAAATTTTCGGTTCGGATATCGGATACCTAGGGACTTCCCAGTATTCACTATTGTTGTTAGGTCGCAAGATCGATACTTGTTTCAAGGGGGATAAGCTTTTACCTCTCTTTTACTAATTAATTTGTTTTTTAGGTACGCTTGGGAATGTGCCATCCCTGGACCAAAAGGAACGATTTGGGAGGGAGGATTGTACAAGCTTCGTATGCTCTTTAAAGACGATTTTCCTTCAATCCCGCCAAAGTGTCAATTTGCACCTCCACTGTTCCATCCAAACGTCTACCCGTCTGGGACGGTTTGTCTGAGTTTGTTGGATGAAAACAAAGACTGGTTTATTTTTAAATTTAATTTTTTTAAATTTTCCCCTCAAATTCAAGGAGGCCATCAATCACTGTCAAACAATTGTTGATTGGAATTCAAGAATTACTGGTCAATCCAAACCCAGAGGATCCCGCGCAAGCTGATGCTTATCACATTTTTGTTCAAAATCGTCAGGAATATGAGCGCCGTGTTCGCAGACAGGCGCAACAATTTGCGGAAGAATTGGTTCAAAAAGAGATGTTGATGGGTGATTAATTGAATTTTTTTGGTATTTTTTGGTTGTTGAAGAATCTCTTTTGGTATTTATTTTTTCTTTCATTTTCAACAAGTATCTCAATACATCAGGGGATGTTACGGGTGTTGTGATAAAATGTCCGGGATGGGGTTTCAAAATTTTCTTAGGATCTGCGTTCGGGTCGAAAGAAGTCGCCGGGTCTCTGATCGGGTCAGAGATTAATTTTGGGGATTAATAGGGGAAAAATCGGATAGGGTTTTGTTTAACACATGACATCCCCCACGTCATTTTTTGCCTTTATTTTTGGTTAGTTAAATTTGTTTGGAGCTCTTGTCCAGTTTATGAGTCCCTTAAAGTTTATTTCTTCTATAAGATTTTTTTATTTGACTTTTTTTGATTTAAGCCAACACATAAACTGGACAAGAACCTATTGTTGAATAAAAAAATTTTTTTTTTTAATTTTTTTCAAGTTTTTTTCCTTTTTAATTTTTCATCCAAACACATTTAATCATGTCTATCTCCTGCTATGAAAATTAATCCCCCATTTCCACGATTAAAAATGATTTGGAAAGGTTAGAAATTACTAGAGATGTCCCCTAGACCCTTGGTCTTAGGTTGTTGACTCAAGACTTTTTTTGAGTTTTTCTTCAAGCTTGGTTCTTGGGTCGGTCTTTGCTGTTGATTTCGATTCTTTTGAGAGCTTTTTAGAAAGTCCACCCTAGTTAGGGTAAAAGTAAAAAAAAAATCGGCCTCGTTACAGAAAAGTGAAAATTTTCTTATAGGAAGAGTTTAGCAAAAGTTTAGCCACCAGGCAAAATTCGAACCTGCGCCTCCTTGTTTGATTGCTAAGGGCTTCCGTTCACCACATACAGGAGCTCTACCACTGAGCTATCGAGGCATCTTTTGCCCTACTTTAAGTGAAGAGGTGCCCAGACTTGGATGTCCAGACTCGTCTTACAGTGTCTTTTGTCTTACAGTAATACGTTTTTGTTTTTAAAATTACGCAAATTTGCTTTACATTGGCGAAGTGTTTTTTACTTTTTTTCTCTAATTCTCTCACACCTATAGTCTATAAATGTTGGTGATTATCGATTTTTGACTTGGCGAGGTTCTCTTCTGCTTCTTTCTTTGCTCATTTTCTTTTTTCTTTTTAAATTTGTTGGCTTTCGTGCTTTTTTTTGTATTTTTAGTGGCGCTTTTTGAAATTAAAAAGAACAATTTAAAAATGGCTGGAATCGCTGCAGGTCGTTTAGCCGAAGAAAGGAAGGCTTGGCGCAAGGACCACCCTTTTGGATTTATTGCAAGACCATCAAAAAACGAAGACGGGACGATGAATTTGTAGGTTATTTGGTTAACTAATGAATGTGTTTTTTAGGTACAATTGGGAATGTGCCATCCCTGGACCTAAAACAACAATTTGGGAAGGAGGATTGTTCAAACTTCGAATGATCTTCAAGGATGATTTTCCTTCGACTCCGCCAAAATGTCGTTTTGAGCCGCCACTGTTCCATCCAAATGTCTACCCGTCTGGGACGGTTTGTCTGAGTTTGCTGGACGAAAACAAAGACTGGTTTTGACTTGCTCACTCAGTGTGAGTTACTAATTCCCACTAAACTTTCAGGAGGCCATCAATCTCTGTCAAACAATTGTTGGTTGGAATTCAAGAATTGTTGGTCTCGCCAAACCCAGAGGATCCGGCGCAAGCTGAAGCTTATCAAATTTTTGTTCAAAATCGTCAGGAATATGAGCGCCGTGTTCGTAAACAGGCGCAGCAATTTGCGGAAGAATTGGTTCAGAAACAAATGTTGATGGAGTCTTGAATGATTTTTTGAGAGAAGAGAGGACCTACAAAAGTATATTGAAGATTAAATGGGGAAGAATATTTTCTGGTTTTTTTAAATTTAATTTTTTTGGTATCTGGTGGGGGGATAAGATCTCTCTTTGATGTATAGCCTTTTCGATGTTTAAAAGGGATGGGTTGGGGCTACTTGAAGTTTGGGGACATTTTCTGCCTGAAACACTGGTTGGATTATAGCATGAACCTCAAATCAGGACCGACCTTTTCCTAACCTGACCCATCCCTGATAGATGGTGGCAGGATTGGGGCCAGTCGACTTTTAAAACTCCAAAATCCTCTGAATATATTTTCGTAACCCCAGACTGGACCCGACTTCATTTTCATTCCCTGACCCCTCCCTTGATGGTAGTACTTGATTTATCATCTTTACTGACTTTTGAACTCAAAAATGACTCAAAAATTAAACCAAGTACTACCTCAACGACTCCATTCCCCTTCAAAAATATTTAAGAAATGTTGTCTAAATCTCTCGGTTGTTTTGTTTCATCTAACAAATACACAAATGTATGGCTATTTATCGTCCTAATTATATGTAATACAACCACTTTTGACCTTATAAATTTTCTATTTTGATTTTTGGTTGATTGGTATTGATCCAAATTTTCATTATTTTTAATTGAAATTGAGAGTAATTAAATTTGATTTTTTAGATTTTAATTTTATTTACAGTCGTGGAAAAAAGTATGGAAGCGCTAGAAAATTTTTTCTTAATTCTTAATTTTTCATTCAAAAAATACGTTCTATATAACAATCGAAAGCTCTATTCGTATCTCAGTTGACATGTTTCTGCATTTTTCATGAAAATAAAAATTGGCCGAGATAATCCGGATATAGCGGATATACCAAATCCCATTTTTTCGGAAAAATTTTTCGGAAGAAATTTAACAAACCCATTTGATAAAGCATATTTTTCTGAGTATTTTCCACAAAACCGCTTAAAAAAATCTTTTTCCGGAGCAGAGATATGATTTTTTGAAAATCGTATTTTTCCCTTAAAAATCGAATTTTTTGCAAAAATTGACGAAAAATACGATTTTCAAAAAATCATATCTCTGCTCCGGAAAAAGATTTTTTTAAGCGGTTTTGTGGAAAATACTCAGAAAAATATGCTTTATCAAATGGGTTTGTTAAATTTCTTCCGAAAAATTTTTCCGAAAAAATGGGATTTGGTATATCCGCTATATCCGGATTATCTCGGCCAATTTTTATTTTCATGAAAAATGCAGAAACATGTCAACTGAGATACGAATAGAGCTTTCGATTGTTATATAGAACGTATTTTTTGAATGAAAAATTAAGAATTAAGAAAAAATTTTCTAGCGCTTCCATACTTTTTTCGGCAATCCCGGAGAATTGGGGTCCCAACGAAAAAAAAGTTTAAAAATAAGAAAAAGGTATTTTCTAGGATAAAAAAATATGCTGATTACGAATCCGAGCTCAGATTTTGAAAAAGTCGAATCCCGAACCCGAATCAAATTTCGAACCCTGAACCCGAATTTCGAATATGCAAATGATAGCTCTTTCGAAAGAGCTCGTCGAGCTGCATCGAATGACACCAAAATCAACGTGATTGGACAAGTTTAGACAAAGTTATGACATAAAGTATACCTATGGGAGTACTGTAGGAGTCGGCGACTTATGTCATAACTTTGTCAAAACTTGATCAATCATTGTAATTTTGGCGTCATTCGATTCAGCTCGACGAGCTCTTTCGAATGAGCTATCATTTGTAAAAACTTTTTTTTACTCCAAAAAATCACCCATGTGGTTTTTCAATATTTAGGGGTCTGTATCTCGGTTCAATCCGGTCGGATTTCATTGATTTTGGTGTCATTCGACACAGCTCGATGAGTTCTATGATTCTATTGAAAGACTGGCCATTTTGTACAATGTCTGTAATGTTAGGGGTCAAAAATCCTGTTCGGGATCAAAAGTCCGAATTCGGGTTCGGGATTCGACTTTTTCAAAATCTGAGCTCGGATTCGTAATCAGCATATTTTTTTACCCTAGAAAAATCCTTTTTCTTATTTTTAAGATTTTTTTCCGCAGGGACCCCAATTCTCCGGGATTGCCCTTTTTTCCACGACTGTAATTCTATAATTATGTCAAAAGCAACGTATGGACCAAAACCCGAGTCTTTTGTGTTGGATGATGGACAGCGGTATTATGTTGGTATGTTTTGGTGTTTGTTCGAATTGGGGGGATTTTTAAGTCTTTTTTCTGATCGGGTAATTATGGATGGTTTTTGGTGTATTGGTATCGTCCTCACCTTGTCCCGTTGAGGGGTGAGGTTCGATTCCTCTTGAGTGACAGCATTTTTCGGCGCTTTCCAATCAACTTTTTTTGACATAAGACATTAACGGGATGTTCTTACCTATCATTTTTATTTTTTAATTCAGGTGCTGATGTTGGAATGTACCTTAAATATCATCGCGGAACCCTTTACAAACGCTATCCTCAGCTTTGGAAAAGAATGGCTTCAGTAGATGAAAAGAAGAAAATCCAAGAATTGGGATGCGCAACTTCCTACATCAATTCTAACATTATGCTGGTTAAAGCTAGTGAAGTTGAAGAAATATTTGAAGGTCAAGAAGAGAAATATCGCTCTGGAGGTGTTGGATCTGGCAATTATAGCCGTTCAGATGCCGCAAATATTAAAAATCGTGGAGGTCCAGCCCCTTGGCTTACACAACAGGTTTTTGTTTGTTTTTCTATTTTACCCTCTTTATAAACTTTTGAGGTCACCAGTGGCTCTCACCATCTCGAATCTGTCCCTTGCTCTACTCCTTCGGCCCATAGACGTGGACATTTTCGAAATCGCGATTATGCTTATGCTGCCGATGATTTGGAAAATTATAAACGTGTTTTGCAAAATGCAGAGACTGCTGAATCCTTGGTTCCGATTAGGCTTGATATGGAGTTGGACAATAGTTTGTTTTATATATTTTAGATTGTTAAAAAGTTGTTGCTTTATACTGGGGGGGAGGGCGGGTACACTAGATCAATTTTTGGTACAAACCTGATCCAGAAATTTTCGGAAAACCCGGATCTTAAGTCGGACTCTACATTTCTCTTGTGGTATCTGTCTTTATTCTCCCAAATTTCAGGTACTGACCTATCCGGAAACTCGACTTTTTTTTCCTCGGCCTGTGACTTCCCTGGTTTGTACGTTATTAGAGTGGTTCTATCCCTGTCCGATTGTCCTTTCCCTTTTTCTAAATTTCCTTTTTATAGTTAAACTTCGTGACTATTTTTGCTACAACAAAAACGACAAATTAATGACCCCTGAAATGATTGCTGAAGTTCTTTGTGAAGGTTTTTTCGAATTAATAAAATTTTAAGAAATTTTTAGACCTGGATTTGCCCTTAAACACATTTTTGCCTGCAATAGCCCAATCTATACATCAACAAATTGAAGCACATTCTGAAGCTGTACCTGTAGATGAACAAACTACTGATCAACGAGCTCTTTTAAAATTAAATATACATGTTGGGAATCAATCGCTGGTAGATCAATTTGAATGGGATATGAGCGATCCAAAAAATAGTCCTGAAGAATTTGGTCAAAAATTGTCTGCAGAATTGGGTTTGGGTGGAGAATTTGTTGCTGCTATTGCTTATTCTATTAGAGGTTTTTTTTTTAATTGTGAAGTTTTTTGGTCCCTTGGGTATAATGTAGTGATGTCAAGTGCTATAATATTAAAAAATCTAAAACAAAACTCAAGGGTGAACTCGAAATCCGTGTTACATTGGGGCCAGGGGTGAGCGCATTGCGTTTTGCGTTATTTGCGTTAAATTTTGGCCTTGCGTTGCGTTTTGCGTCTTGTGTTATTTTCGATGGAATTAACGCAAAAAATAACCCAATCTGAGGACAAAATTGGAGAAATCTGGCTTATTGGCCTTCCAAAATTTTAAAAAATTTCGCCTGCGGCGCTAAAAAAGGAAGAAATTTTGCTTTCTGGCCTTCCAAAATTCTCAAAATTTTCGCTTACGGTGCAGAAAATTGAGGAGGGATAAAGTGGCTAAGTGGAAAATATCAGAGGAACTGAGGTGATAGAAGACTATCGGTCGATTTACTGCGAATAAGGTTGATTTAAAAAGATATCAGGGGTTTGTAGGGATATCCTGCTATATCTCTGCAACCCCTGATAACTACTATATGCTCAAATCCCTGTTATTATTCTAATCTGTTATTATTCTAATCCCATCCAACTTACATGTACCACAAACTTAATTAGGACTCGCTAACTTATAGTAATACATCAATTTTTAACCGAAAAATGGCTAATACTTAATTAAAAAAAATTTTTTCCCAATTTTGCGTTCTTGCGTTTTGCGTTTTGCGTCTTGCGTTATTTGCGTTAAATTTTGGCCTTGCGTTGCGTTTTGCGTCTTGCGTTTTTTGAGATTGTCTCTTGCGCTCACCCCTGATTGGGGCCATGTTTCGGTTATCTAACTAGAGCGTGAAAATTGAAAAGTCATCGGGGAGTCATCATCCTGGAGATCCAATAAGGGGGTTTTTAAATTGAGAACGGGACAAGCTATCAATTCCGTAAAGGGTCTACCTAAAGAACACGGGATTTAAGGACAGTCTGTTCGGAAAACTGACTCTTCCACACTTTAGTTTCAACTGCTTGGAGGATTTTGTATTATAACGCATTTTCTCCTTGTGGCTGTGGGGTCTTTTTTAATTTTCTGAAATTTTTTTTTTATTTTTAAGGTCAATTATCTTGGAATCAACGTACTTATGCATTTAGTGAATCTCCATTGCCAACAGTAGAATGTCCATTTCGTAACCCTAGCGATGCTGAACAATGGGGGCCATTTTTGGAAACATTAACTAGCGCAGAAATTGAAAAGAAAATGCGTGATCAGGACAGAAATACTCGAAGAATGCGTCGTTTAGTTAATGCAATTCCTTATATTCCTTGAACTAAAGGAAAAAAATTTTTCTTTGAATTTTTTAAATTTGGATAAAGGTTTAATTAATTTAAATTTTTGATTCTAAAAAGGATTTTAATATCCAATTAATTTATTTTTGTGAAGGATTGAGGATGGGGGTATTTTTTGATTTTATTAATATTTTTTTTAGATTTTATTTATTTTGTTTAAAAAACTTTAAATTGATTTTAAAAAAGAGAAGGGAGGATGAAGATTACTGATGAAAATGTGGTTAGTTTGTTTTTGATTTTTGTTTTTTTGGAGAGGGTTTTTTCGGTATTAGGGAAAGTGCTACGCTTTCGGGGCGGAAGTGGGGAGTTCTGCTTCCATTAGAAGTTGGGTTGTCAGCCTGGGAAATTTTTTCGATATCTAAGGGAAGGTTAGGCTTTTTGTGAATCAGAACTCCCCCGCGGTGAAGTTGGGAAGTTCTGTTTCCTTTAAGGGTTGGGTTGTCAGCCCGGGGATCCTTGGATTTTTTGTCATGTTATAGAGAGTTTGGAGGGACTTTTGCTGTTTTTCTTTTCTCAAGGTATCTTTGAAGTAGTCCTTTGTTTGTAACAAATAGAGGCCAGGTTGAGAAGTCGGGGTGGGGCCTTGTTGAGAAATAGATTCAGAGGTTTCAAGTTGGGAAAGTATCGAGTAACCCCTCTGATTTGTAGCATTATTTTTGGTTAGTAGGGTAAACTCAAATCTAATTCCTTTATCAATTTTGTGATAATTTCCTAGAATATTTTATATATTTTTTTAAATTTTAAACAGAAGTCGATGGTCTGTGCCAAAAATTTTACTGAAAATCAGGATGTTATAAATCATATCAATTTTACGCCTGATGGGTATTTTTTTTTATTTTTTAATTAAAAAAATTTTTTTCTTTAAAAGAACACTTCTCGTAACTTCCTCAAATGACGATTCAATTACTGTTTATGATTGTGCTAATGGAACAAAACAGCGTTCAGTTAATTCTAAAAAATATGGAGTTGATTTGATTCATTTTGCACATACTCATAATGATGCTATTCATGCGTCTACTAAAGTTGATAGTTTGTTTTTGAATTTTTTTTTATTTTTGGAATTGGTTCCTTTGAGTTAAAGGAATTTTTTAAAAGTTTTGTTAAGGGATTCTTTAGTGTTAGGATTATTTGAAAAAAATTTTTGGCATGGGGTTCCTTGTGTTAGATGAAAATTTTTTTATATTTAGAAAATGGATGTCTTTGAGTTAACAATTCTTTAAATTTTTTGGGAAGGGATCCTTTAGGATTATTTGAAAAAAAATTTTGCCAATGGGTTTCCTTGTGTTAGCTAGAAAAAAATTTTTTTCTTGATAATGAGTTTCCTTTATGTTACCAGGAAATTTTTTCTGGGAATGGGCCTTTGGATCCTAGAAATTTTTTAGTTTTCATTTTTTGGCTGTGGGTCACTTTTGATTACATGAAAATTTTTTGGAGAGTTAATATAATAAGTAATTCCCTATAAAAATATGGAATGGCTTCCTTTGAGTACTAGAAATTTTTCTAAATTATTTTGCTATGCATACCTTGAGATTGTCTGAACTTTTTAATTATTCAATCCAATTAAAATTTATTTTCATTTTTAAGATACCATTCGCTATCTTTCACTTTATGACAACAAATATTTGCGTTACTTTCAAGGACATACTAAAAAGTTTTTTAACTTCTTTTTCACCTTAAAAAAATTTTTTTCAGAGTTGTGACTCTTTGTATGTCCCCTGTAGATGATATGTTTCTGTCTGGTTCTCTGGATAAAACTATTCGTCTTTGGGATTTGAAAAGTTCGAATTGTCAGGTTTTTTCCCTCCTTTTTAATTTTTATAAAAATTATTTTTATTTTAAGGGTTTAATGCAACTTTCGTCTCGACCTATTGCTGCCTTTGGTATTTTTTTTAATATTTTAGAGAATTGTTCATCGATTGGGGATTGCCATTTCGATGGCAATTGCCACCGGGATTGCCCATCCCACTTTCGTCTCCAACCTTTCGAAACCCTTTAGAACGTTTAGCCATCTGTGATGGGACTTGTTGCCCAAAAATCGACCCAAAATCCGAACCCGAATTCCGGCACAACTTTTTCTCAATCCGTCCTATTTCCTCATGTTTAACCCAGAGCCATGAGAAATTTAAAAAGTTGAGCTAGGTTATGGATTATTTTAAAATTTTCTCGGAATCATACCCAGTATAGCTTGTAAACTTTTTTTTCAGATCCTGAAGGTCTTATTTTTGGTGCTGGAATTGGTAACGAAGTTATTAAACTTTATGACCTGCGTTCTTTTGACAAGGTTTTCCTTTTAAAATTTTATGGGAAACTTTCAAAAAAATTTTTGTAGGGTCCTTTCAACACCTTCAATATTGGATGTAAAGATACTGGTTATGAATGGACTGGAATGAAATTTTCCCCTGATGGAAAGTCCATTCTTATAATGACAAATGGTCCAATTATGCGAATGGTTGATGCTTACAATGGTTTTTTTTGAAAATTTTTTTTGGAAAATTATTCTGAAATTTTTTATAGGAAATCTAACTCATACTCTTAGTAGGGAGAATGAACAGGTTTTTTTTCGAATTTTATTTTTAAATTTATTTTTTTAATTTTTAAAGAAGGCCAATTTTGTTGCTACATTTTCGCCGGATGCTAAATATGTGTTTTGTGGAACTTCTAAAGGAGAAATTAATTGTTGGTCTGCTGTGGGTTTTTTTAAAATTATTATAAATAATTGGGAGACTCAGGAAGATTTTTAGGGAGAGACTTGGAAAGTTTTTTAGGAAGTTAAGGAAAATTTTCAAATACAATAAATTGGGGCTGACTTTTAAAAGAAAATCCAGGAAGAAATCAATGACTAGGAAAATCTAACAAGGAACCATCGTTTACTGTGACTGCGAATTTGATATATTTTTTGGTACCATTCGATAGAGGACCCTCGACTTAGTATTGTGGCATAAAAAATACCTAGGCTCTTTCCTGGGAATGTAATTATAAAACCCCCATATCAAGAGAAATTAGACAAAATCGGGAAAGAAGCCTAGGCCTGGCATTAAAGTTTAAGAATAACCCCTACATGATGGTCTAGTCCGAGCTCAAAGTCTTTAGGAATTTTACTGATTTTGGGTGGTCTTGTCCTTGGATTCTTAGAAATCTTGGGGATGTTAATTCCTTAGGAAATTTTTATTTGAATTTTTTTGAGATTTTTATTTAAGGAATCTGGTCGTCTTGTTCATACTCTCCAAACAGACCATCCTAATACAATTGAACAAGTGACATTTAATCCCAAATATTTTATGTTGGCATCGGCTTGCAAACAATTGGTAAAAAATTGAAGAAATTTCTTCTGAAAATAAAATTTAATTTTTAGAAATTCTGGATTCCATCGGCGGATGAGTAAAATTAATTTTGGAAAATATTTTAAAAAGAATTTAAAGAAAATTTTAATATTATTTGTTAATTTTGGATCTCAATTCGATGCATTGTTTGAAATTATTGATTATAATTTAGTTCAAAGACTTGAATTTTTTGAGTAAAATTTTAAAATAAAATGCTTAATTATTAACATAGATCTTAACAAATCTGGTATTGACAATTCTAGAAAATTTTAAATTAAAAATTCCCAATTTTCCCCCTCATCTTTCCCCATCTTACCTATTCTTCCCTTTTCTTTCTAAATTTTTTATTCGACCCAATAATCCGACTCAATATTTTCTGGGCTTATAACCTAATAATTCTCCCGCCCTTCATTATCTCAAAATCCTCCTTTCCCCTCATTTCTTTCCATTCCTTATCTATTCCTCTTTTTAAATTTTATAACAAAAAAATTTTATTTAAACTAAATAATAACAATAAAAAACCTTAAAACAACTTTACTCCCTCTCATCCGTCAAAATTCTTCGTTTTCGATTTATATGGCTACGAAGAGCCCATTCAGTTTCGCTAGAATCAGCATTGTCTATTGTGCCAAGAATTAAGCAATAAGCTTTAAAAATTAAATTAATTTTCGATTCAATAAAAATCAAAACAAACGTCTCATTTCAAATCTCGGCCCCAATTCAGTCAATTCAATATCCCCATGTTCATCTTTTTTGAATGTGTGTTGACGAAAGGAAATAAAATCGTCTTCATTAGCAAAAGTAACAACTCGATTAGAATCCTTTTTGGGCACAGGAAATAAATATTTTAATATATTTGTTAACTGAAAATTGAAGATTTTATAGAAAATTTAATTTAAAAATAAAAAAAGAAAAAAATATAGAGGAAGACAAAACAAGTTAATAAATATTAGGAACAAGAAGACCTTTAAAAACCCATAACAATTTCAAATTCTAAATTGATATCAAGTTCATGCTGAGAATTAAGAACAGGTTAAGGACCGAGGAAATACGAGGAGAAAATAAAAATTGTAAAGTCTTTTGCCCAAATTGAACCTCGGAATTTTTGATTATGAGCTGAAAAGCATTAAAATGAGTAAAAAAATTTTTGAAAACTTGAAAAGTCGAAAAAAAATATTTAAAAAAGTGAGGGGAAACCCCAAAAATATTTTTAAATTCCTCTCTATTCAATTAAATTTAAAAAATACCCTATTCCCGAGCGGAGAAGTAATATTGTGAAAAATAAGATGTGGATATTGCTCTGACATATGTGGCATGTTTGGAATATCATGTCGCATCACAACGTTTGACAAACTTTAAAAATAAAAATTTATTTTAAATTTTATTTTTTAACAAAATTTGTGTTTTTAGTTTGAAAATGTGAGTAATTTGTAAAAAATTTTAAATAATGTTTAGAATAAATAAAAATTAATTTTTTGTAAGAATAAAAATGATTTTCAATAATGGGATTCGAACCCACGACCAGAAAAAATGGAAGCCCAGAGTCTTAACCAATAGACCAAAGAGAACCTTAATATTCGTTAATAAAAACTACCTATAAATAAAGAAAAATAGGAAAGGGGAAGAACTTTAGCACTAATTGTAAACTGATTTTTTTGAAAAAATCACCGCAACAGATAAAACAAAATCTAACCTAAAATAAGCTGTTGGCCCATGCGGGAAATGCGAGACAATCATTGAATCGGGCACTCCTCGCGTTTCACTCAACAAAATTAAATCGGTTACTCCATGAGCTGTACAAGCCTCCACAATACTTTTCATATCATGTCCTCCTCTATTAATACGGCGAGAATTTGGGAGAAGCAATTTAATTTCCTGAAAAGGTTTTGGATTAGAAAAATTTTTTTTTGGGAATTTCGACCTTTTAGGAGGCATTTGGCTCTATCTGAAAGGAGGCTCTATCCTAAATCGATCAAAAGGTATGGACAGAACTAAAAATAACTGGTAGAAGGGGACGGGTAACGATGAATGACTTGAAGAACTTGGACATCGACCTGACAGAAATTTGAAAGGCTTGATTGGCTTAGAACAGACACCAACCTAATTCCATTTGCTATAGTTAGTTGGCAGTTAAAAATTTTTTATGGTAAAGTGTAGAAAAAGAACCCTTTAAGGGTTCATAATTCCCTTTTTAATATTTAAAAAAACCTTTGCAAACATTTTCAGTCGACTAGAAGGATCCCGACTTGTAGTCACAACGAGATTAGGATCTTCACAACCAGCCCATCTATATTCATCATCCACTAAATCCACTTGCCCGCCCCAAGCCAAATCCCCAACCATTTCTGCCGCGTCCTTTCTCAAGTCTGTTGGAATCATTGTACTGGTATCCAGAGCATGTTTAAGCACATCTCTACGTTGTTGAGTAGCTCGTTGTTTTGCTTCCAGATTTTTTCGGTAAAGATATTCTCGACGTTCTCTTACTTGTTTTCGAATCATTATTGAAATAAATTTGAAGAAAATGGGATTGATTATCTAAAAATTAATAAAAGATTTAAGAAGACAAAAAAATAGAAATTTAATCAAAAATAATTTATGAGAAAACAAAGACTTTGTAAAATAAAGAGAGACAAGTTAGAGAAAAAGATAAAAAGTGAATGGGATAAACTGTCATTTTTGAAAAACATTTCGCCAAGGTAAAACATTTAAAAAAAAATTTTTCAATTTTTCTCAATGTAATTTGTTAAAATTTTATCAAATTAAAATATTTTTGCTTCCTTTGGATTAACTAATTTAATTTCTCTTAGCATTTTTTCAGTTAATCTTTGTATTACAAATTATTAAATTTCCAAAAATGCTTTTTTCTCTACCAACTGAGGTTCAACTTGATATTTTTAAATTGTTCAATTACGAAGAATTATGCTCATTCAGAAACACAAATTTATATTTTCGAAATTTTATTAATAAATTTGAAGGAGAACTTGCTCGAGAAAAATTTGAAACTTTTTCAATTGTGAAGATTTAATTAATTTAATTTTTAAAAATTTATTTTAGGAGTATTTCGATAATACGTTAAGCAAACGAATTTCATATAAATTATTTAACTCTAGAGATTTTGACTTTGCCTTTTTTGCTGAGCGACATAAAGAAGTAAATGAACAAATTGAGCAAAAGGTTTCCTTTTTTTATTATTACCCAAGTTTCATTTATTTTTTAGTGGAGCGAGGGACTACAAAATCCGATTAGTTTGTATTTGTCTGATGAAGGATTAGAAAGTTCTAATGCTGTCATTTGCATAGATAAAGGTAATCTATTTTTCGTTAAGAAATTCTGGATGATGTTCAAAGATAAGTGATACTTTTCCCTTTTCTTCTTGTACGGCTCCCAATTTGCCTTGGGTTTCGAACTGAATAAAAATAATCTAAAAATAATTAAAGGTCAATAAATCTGGTAATACCAAGGCTGGTCCCCCCATTTTTTCTGTTCCCTTGACCATTTTGAGCTTTTTTGCTCGACATATTACTATATTTACAATATATCAGTCGAAAGAGCTGTTCGAGCTGTGTAAAATGATACGATCGGTTAGATTTTGGCGATTCTGAATAAAATTATGAGGCTAAATCCTTGATAGACGTACTTTTTGTGATGTTGAAAGGGATTAAATCAAATGCTCATAACTATGTTTATTTAAGTCGGATTTCGATGAATTTAGTACCATTCGACTCGACTCAAAGAGCTGAGTCGAATGATATATAATTTGCCATAAAAAGTTTTAAAAATCGAAAAAAATAGGGAAAAAGAGGGACCAGCCATGGTATTAACATAACATTTTTAGATGACGACAATAAAACCCCTAGAATTGTACTTGAATTGCCAACAATTATTAAATGCAAAAAGGATATCAAAATCGTCTATTATTATTTAAATAAATTATTTAATTGTTCTTTCTACTCTGGATTTCTCCGTAAATTTACATTTAATTTGGAATTGATTGAACTATTATTTGGGAAAACCCCTAAACTATTCTTTTATGGATCGATGTTTAAGGCTTACAACACTGAAAATTTATTAAAATTTGTTTCAAATTCTTTAATCAGCGGCATTGTTGACATTAAATTTCCACATGTAAATAACACAGAGGAATACAAAAAAATTTTATATAAAATTTTTTTGAATGGAGACAAGTTTGGAGGAGTTAGTTTATCTTTCGATGAAATGCCAGAACTTTTCGATTTTGTTATAAATGTAAGTTTTTTTGTGTGTTAAATTATTATTTTATTGGCACATTTCTAGCTTATTTTTGGTCCTTCCGTTTGCGTTTTTTTCTTCCACTTTTAAAAATTTGACAGAGCCCACCTTCAATGTTATATGCAGTGCTTTGAAGCTCGTACCAAAATTCGTACCTCGTACTCGTACCTGGTACGAAGTACGAGGCCAAAAATGTTAAAAGTACGAGGCCCAAATACGAGTTTGTACTTGGTAGTACGAGGCCAAAAATAAGGGTAGTACGAGGTACGAGGCCTAAAAAAGAGATTGTACAAAGTACGAGCAGAATTCGAAATTTCGAAGCACTGGTGGGGTTATATGCCTTTTGATTTTAGATACCTTTACTAGCAAAAAGGCTAGTAACTTTAATTTTTTAAATTATAAAAAATTTTACTTCCAACTTTAGCTTCTTAAAACTGCATCAGATTGTTCAAAACTTGTGACTTTTATTGAAATGGATGCTCTGCTTGTTAATGTTACTAGTTTAAATGAAAAAGCTGAAAAAATTAAAGAGGAACGTGATCGCTATAATTATTTGGAAACAAAACACCATCTTTCCAACATTTTTAATCCAGAAATGAAGTTTTCAATTTGTATTAGAGGAAAAAATTCTTTATGGTGTATAATTAGAAAAATCGATTGACTAATTTTTATTTCAAAAGTAAAAATACATGATTTAAATCTACATTAATTTAACTTTTTGATAAAAATTTTTTTATTTTTTTTTCATCATTTTTGAAAGTCTGGTGAAAGTTTAAAAAACCAATATTTTTTAAATTAATAATTACATATACCTTCCTTAACACTACCTCCTTAATCCCGCCAAATCCATCATAATCCGCACTAATCCTTTATCCGCCTAAATATCTGAGGTTGACCTTCTGGGCCAGTTGACCTCGTCGGTGTTGACCTTCTGGGTTGACTCCGTCGAGTGATACGTGTTCCCAAAATATAAGCTCTAGAGTTCCTTACCCTTTTAAAGTCTCGAAAGTTAATTATTTTAATTTTTTTCATTCTTTCAGTTTTAACAATCTTAAAATCAATTCAAACTGGTATGTTTTACAATTAGAATTTTAATAATTTTTTCAATTTTCTAGTCGGCCATATTTAATTTGCAAAGTTTAATTACTGTTTTGTTACTTTTAATTTGTGCTTGTACTTATTTGAGAGCTATATTGCCAGCATTGATTGATAGAAATAAGCAAGGGTTTGTTATTTTACTTTTTTAAATATTTACGGAACCTTAGGGGACTAAAACTGATAAGACTTTGGTTTTTGTGTACTTTAGTTGAGTGGGAAAATTTTTGGTTTTTATCGTAAGGGGTCCAAGGTTCGAATCCCACTAGGTGAAATTAATTTTTATTGGAGTCGTTTAGGCTCTAAATTATATTCCGAGTTTTGTATGCTTTGGTTAAGTGGGAAAATTTTTTGTTTGTCGGCCTTTAAGATTTTAAGAAAATTTTTAAAAATTTTCAAGGCCCTAAAAATTTTCAAAAATCTTGCCATTTCATCAAATCCTCCCTTTTAAAGCATTCCTGGTCTATTTTGGAAGTGTGCTCGAATTGGTGAACGTTTAAGTCTTTGGGTTTCTTTTGGTTGTTTTTGTATGGCAGCATTCCTTCTTTTCTTTTAAAAATGGGAAATAAACGTAAAAATCAAACAGAAATTGAAGAGGAAACAAAAAAGCTGAAAATTTGTGAAAACAAAATAGAAAATGTAGAAATTTGTAAAAGAGTGCCTCCACATCCAATTTGGGCTGGAAATGATGTTTGTGTGACAAGGTTTGACATTTTAATGTTTTGAAATTATATGTGTACTTTGATGTAGTGGGAAAAGGTACTTGTGGGTTATCTCATACCAGTTTTTGCGGACAAATTTATGCGGACATTTTTGTAAAAAATGGTCAGTCTTTCTTCGGTTTCACTCAATTTTCTCTGTGGCAATATTCAATGAGTGACACAACCAGGAAAAGATTAGTTTTTCTTTCCAATGTAACTTTAACAACTCGTTCAGCCATTTAAATAAATTCAGAGAGTAAAGAAATAAAAGAGAGTGAGGACATCTCTAAATTACAGGGGTCAAAAATGTTTAAAAATGTACCCACCCAGCTCTGTATTTTAGAACCCATGCCGATGTTGGGTGGTTAATTTTATTCACAAGAGAGTTCTGTACACAAGCACGATGCCGGACCATTGATTCTAAAACGAAAAGCTTGGTATCGCCATAGAAAGGAATGTAACACACATTAAGACTGACCATTTTTGCATCTCTTGGAACAAAAGGGAGGATGGGGTACGAAGTTCAACGTTTTGATAAAAATTTGACCGATCATTAGTTCTAAAACGCAGACTCAGGTACTTATTGCCATTTATATAACTGAACTAAATACAAATAAAATTGTGCATTGATTTAAATGTTAATTTATATTTTGGTAAGATTGGGAACGAAAATTAATCTTCTCTTTGTTGATGTGTTTTATTGAAAGAGGGAAAAATTGTTGATCTGTTTCTCATTGAATATTGCCACAGAGAAAATTGAGTGAAACCGAAGAAAGACTGACCATTCTTTACAAAAATGTCCGCATAAATTTGTCCGCAAAAACTGGTATGAGATAACCCACAAGTACCTGGGAAAATTTTTGGTTGTTAACCTTGGGGGTCGAAGGTTCGAATCCGCTCGGGGAAATTAATTTTTATAGGAATCATTTTTTAATTCACCCGACTTTGGGTTTTGTATAGTTTGGTTTAGTGGGTAAATTTTTGCTTGAGGGAGGGAGGTTCAAGGTTCGAACCTGCTCGGGGAAATTAATTTTTTAAGTTAATTTTTTTTAGAAAAACCCATATAATTGCTCAATTCAAAAAATGCAAACATTTATTGGACAGAAAATTCGATTTTGTAAAAATCCATGCATTAGGCAAAGCTATCAACCAAGCATTATGTTTAGCTCTAAAAATTGAGGAAGAAATGCATAATTCAATTAGTGTTAATATTTTGACTGGGACTGTTGAGGTTTTTTATTATTTTAATTGAATATGACTGGTTAAGAGACCAAGTGGAGTTTTTGTATAGTTTGGTGTAGTGGGTTAATTTTTGGATTTTAGTGGGAAGGGTCGAGGGTTCGAACCCCACTAGGGGAAGTTATTTTTTTGGGGTCCCAATTTTTTGTTTAGCTTCAAATTTAAGCTTTCTGGCAATTTTTCTCGTTATTTTATTTTTCGTGGACATTTTATCCTAGGAAAATAGACATTTTATCCCTTCTCCCAGTAAAACTCGTTCTTAAGGTTTTTTAAGAAGAGGGATGTTTTTTAATTAAAAATAAATTCATTTTTCATTTAAAAAGGTAACTGACGATTTAATTTCCTTGTTGGATGCGGATGATATGAATATTAAACAACGTCAAGTTTCTGCTGTTAAAATTTTGTTAACTCGTCTTTGAGTGATTTTTTCCAAAATTTTTCTAATTTATATTTTTAAAAAATAAAATTTCTGTTGGATTTTTGAATTAGTTTTATTTTTTGTTAAAATTTACATTTAAAATTCTTTCTTAATTTTCATTTATTTTTATTAATTTTTTATTTAAATTTCAAAGCAAAGCTTTTAATAAGACGACAACATTTGTGAACCAACTTTGGTCCTTTCCTGTGATTGATGTTATTAATTCGCCAATTGCTCAACTACAACAACGGGTTTATTTTTGTATTTTTTTTTATTTAAATAGGCCCAGCATGATGAAAGAGTCCCCCAGAAAAAATTGATTTTGTATTTTTTGGTTTAGTTGGTTAATTTTTGGTTTCTAGCGGGGGGGGGGGGGGGGGGGGTAAGGGTTCGAATCCCGCTCGGGTTTTTTTTATTTTTTTCTTCCTTACCCTCTGTTCTTATTCTGGAGATTTAATTGACCAAAAAAGTATTTTTGTATGTTTTGGTGTAGTGGGTAAATTTTTGTTTCTTGACAAAAAAGAGTCAGGGTTCGAACCCCGCTGGGTAATTTTCGAATTTTTTCTGTTTGTTTTTAATTTAGACAATTAATTAGACGATTTTTGTGACTTTTAACAAAATTTTTTAGGTCATTTATCCGCCTTTCTCTTCAACATTTTACAAGAACAAAATCCACCTTTTCATCCTCAGCGCCACAAATAGCAATTATTGGCTCTGGACCTTCAGGCCTTTATGTTTGTTCAAGATTACTTCAAAGATTTGAAAATTGTTTTATTGATATTTTTGACAAAGCACAAGCACCTTTTGGATTGATATATTATGGAGTAAGGTTTTTTGAAAATTTTTTATGAAGGAAATTATATAAAAATTTACCAGTATTGGGCATCACAAAAAAAATTTTTCCCTCTAAAGTGGCATTAGTGTTTCAGATATTTCATAGGATCAATCTCTAAATTTAAAAAATTTGTCAGAATGACTTTGTGATATATATGATCTAACATGCAAGGTCACTTCCAACCTCTAGTTGAAATTGGAGACCGGAATGGATTTGTCATACGAGAATCGATCTCGATAAACTATCATTTCGATCGTCTAAATTTTTGTTCTTGAGGTCTCTAGTTGAGGTAATCTCGTCTTTCTCTCATTTTTGTTATTTTTCCTTTAAGAGCCAGCCCCTTTTTTATTTAAAAAAATTTTAAAAATTAATTTTTAAAGGTAGCCCCAGACCACTTTGATATGAAAAAAAGTATGACTGGATTTGAAAAAATGTTTGAAGAAAATAGGGAAAGATTGGAACTTTTTTGTAATGTTGATGCTAATAAAGATATTAATTTTGAGGTTTTTTTTTAATTTAAGAGAAAAAAAATTTTTAAAAAGGAATTATGTTCTACTTATGATGCAGTTGTTTTAGCCTATGGGGCTAATAAACCGAGAAAATTGGGATTGGAAAATGAATATGGAAATAATTGCTTTTCTGGGGGAGAATTTGTTTCATGGTTTATTTTTAAATTTTATTTCTAAATTTTTTGTTTCTGAGACATTTCGTCAATTAAAGCAAAAATGGACATTTGGTCGTTTATGGCAAAAATAACCATTTTGTCATTAGTCCAGAAATGAACACTTGATCAATTAAGGCAGCAAGGGATTTTTGTAACGAAAAGGACATTTGGTCGTTTAGTGCAAAAATAAGACATTTGGTCATTTAGGGAAAAATATGACATTTGACCGTTAGGGCCAAAATGGACATTTTGTCTCAAATTTTAAAAATATTTAATTTTCTCAATTTCTCTTTTCTAAAGGTACAATGGAATGTCCCAACAATACATAAAAAATATACCAAAATTGGATACAGGAAGTAATGCAGTAGTCATTGGAAATGGCAATGTAGCAATTGATTGTTCTCGAATTTTGCTTTCTTCTCCAGAAAGATTAAAACAAACAGATATTACAGAAAATGCATTAAATGCTTTGAAAAAGTCAAAAATTAAAAATGTTTATATTATTGGAAGAAGAGGGCCTAAAGAGGTTTTTTTGAAAATAAAAAAATTTTTTCTGAAGGGGGGAGGTATATTTTGTTAGGCGTTGATAGATAGAAGACCGGAAGAGGTTAGTTCAGCAAAAAGCTTGGAGTATAAGAACTCTCTAAAATATTTTTCTTAGATATTGGGGAGGGGGAGATTGATAGGGCCAAATCATTCCAAGTCTGGTGAAACTCAGAAAACACAAAAATAACCGAATCTGGGCTATGTAGACGAACTAGAGATTTAGTCCTATCTAGTCATTTTATTAAAAGACTTTTTAATTGAATTCGGCAGCCCTTCTTAATAATTTTGACTTTTAATTTTTTTTATATTTTTTCTTTTTTCAGATTTCCTTTACAATAAAAGAATTGAGAGAATTATTAAATTTAGAAGGTGTCAATTCTCATTGTTTAATAGATTCCAATTTAAAAGAAAAATTGGAACAAGAATTAAATTTAATGGAAAGACCTAGAAGAAGAATTGTTGAATTAATGCTGAATTTTGCTGAAGAAAAAAGGTTTTTTTAACTTATTCAAGGGATAAAGAGCCTGGGATATCTGAGAAAGACATAAGGATATTTTCTGGCATAGTGCTACTTCTGAAATTTTCATAGGACGGTAGTAGAGGTCGGCACGGGGCGGGATCCTGCACGGGATTTTGCGGGATACCGCTCCCGCATTTTTTTCGATTTGCGGGATTATTCCCGCGGGATCCCGTTCCGCATTTGTTTTTAAAAGTTATTCCCGCATGCGGGATCCCGCAAATACGTTTTTTCCAACCTCTAGACTGTAGGCTTTAAAATGCGTATTTCTGAAATGTTTTTTATTTAAATGCTCGAAATGTCCAAATTTCAAAATGTCCATTTTCTTTAACTTTAACAATTTTTTGGTAATGCTTTGGAAGTCGCCCTTCCATTTTTCCTTATTTTCCTGACCATTATGAGTTTTTTGCTTAATATATAATTTATTATAGCTCTTCGAGCCGGGTCAAATGATACCATTTTTTGTATAATTGATACCATTATCGGTTTGATTTGACCATCTTGAACAAAGAAATCAGGGAAAAAGGGGGCGACTTCCGAAGGATTACCGTTTTTTAAAATAATTTTCAGGTCCTCTCCAAACCAAAAATCATTAAAATTATTATTCAATTCTCGTCCAACAAAAATAGAATTAAATAACAAAAATGACTCAATAAATGCTTTATATATTCAAAATAATTTGGATAATTTAATAGAAAAAATTGAATGTTCTCTATTAATTGTAGCTATTGGATTCGAAAATATTTTATTAAATGGATTACCTAAAAATGAAAATGGACAATTAAAAATGATTGATTGGTGTAGAGTACCTAATGAAAATTCTTTGGTTAGTTGAAAAAAAAATTTTTGAAAATTTTTTTGGGGATTTTTTCGGCTATTTGCCCTCAGGCAAAATTTGCCAAAAATGCTCAAAAAAGTCTCTACCTTCAATTTTATTTTTTGATAGTTTTCTAAATTAAATTTTCGACTCCTAACAAAATTTTTTAAAGTCATATTGAACAATTAGCGCTTCTCCTCTTGTCATTTTCCCCAAATTTTCGTCGTTTGCCCTTAGGCTATTTTCTCATAAGCTTGGCTAATTTATATTTTTTTGCAGTTTTTTTATTTTTGAGGGTCAAATAGACTAGGAAAAATGACCTTTTCTTTCATCCTTTATTTATTATTTGAAAATTTTTTTGAGACATTTGATCCCATTATCCCCACATATTATTTTTACAGGTTTATGCAACCGGTTGGTGTTCCCACGCCGCTAGAGGCCTAATTGCTGATAGTCAACAACAGGCATATTCTGTAGCTGACCAAATCTATGAAGATTTAAATAAAATAAATTCTACAAAAAATTCTATCAAAAAAATATCTGCTAGAATTCAAATTCAACAGAAACTTTCTTCTAGAGGCGTAGAATTTATTAATTGGTAAATAATTAAAATTATAATAAACTTCTAGTTGAAATAAAAGTTCAGTCTATCAGATGGTCCTATAGTGTAGCGGTTAGCACTCTGGACTTTGAAGGGTGCAGTAGTAATCCAGCAGCGGCGGTTCGAATCCGCCTAGGACCTACTTCTTTTTAAACAATTTTTTTCAACTTTTTATTAATTTAAGGGATGATTGGAAGTATATAGATGAATGTGAAAGAAGAATGGGTGCCATATTGGGCAAGACGAGAGAAAAAATGTCAGAAATTTCTTCAATTTTGAGAATAATGAGAAATAAAGGAATAAAAGATTAGGAAAAAATTTTTTGAGAATTTTTAAAAAATTTTTGAAAAATTTTTAAATATTTTAAAATATTTTTAAAATCATTTTTTAATTATTTAAAACATTTGTTTAAAGAAATAATGTCAATTGAAACAGTTCCAACCGATTTGCGCAACCTCCGTGCTTGCTTAGTCTGTTCACTTGTATGATTTTTATAAGGAGAAAAAATTAAAAATAATTTATTTTTAAGGTAAAAACTCTTCATCAATTCGAAATGGATGGGTGTGATAATTGTGATAGATTTTTGGGAATAAAAGGAGATATTGAGAAATGTGTTGAATGTACAAGGTTTTTTTCTTATTTTTTTGAAAATTTATTTTTAGTGCTAATTTTGATGGGATGATTGCCGTTTGTGATCATAATGATTCTTGGGTTAGCAAGTGGCAGGTTTGAAGAATTTTTTTATTTATGACTGGGTTCCTTACCTTTATGCTCCCATTAATCTGCAAGTTTTGTCCGCAATTATCTTGCGGATAAAACGAGGACTTTGAAAAATATGAGGACCTGTTGTAAAGCTTATGGGCTTTTTGAAAAATTTTCGCATTTTTTATCGTAAAATTTTTTACAGAAAATTAACAAAAAGTGTCCGGGAGTGTATGCAATTTCTGTATCTGGTACCCTCCCAAAGATAGTCGTTCAAGAATTGAAGCAGCTTGGAATTAAATACAAAACTGGGCAACGAGATAAGTCGATTAAATAAAAGAGGATTTGTATTTGTTTGTTGGTATTCTTTTTTGTAAACTTGTTTAAATTTTCGTCGTTTAGATGTTACGCGTTATTTTGGGATCATAAGCTCATACTTTCAATAGCATTTCTCAGAGCTTTGTCCGCAAATTATCTTACGGATAAAATTTGCGGACTTTTTGGGAATGCGGTTCTTTTTGGAAAACTCTTAAAAATTCTTAAGTAAATTATCTTTTACAATTTTTGGACATTTATCACAATAAAATTACCAGTTTACAAATAAACGATTTTAATATTTTTCGATTTATATTAACCTTAAAAAAATTTTTTTGAAAGTAGAAAGCAAAATAAAAAAATGCTGAGAGAGGTTTTTTAAGTTTTTCCGTCACCTTTAATTGAAAAAATCTTGTAACAACGTTCGCCTTTTTAATTCTGCAACATGCATTTGATTTTCGAGTTCAGCCCGGTCTGTGTGCTCTGCCCTTTCTACTTTCCAAGAAAGTTCTTCAATTTCTTTTTCAAGTTGGGCTTGTTGATACTCTGGGAAAATTATTTGATTTTTATTTAAAAATGTCCAGTTAAAAAACGGTCAAAATCCAAAAGGTCTAAGTTCAAAATGCCCAAATCTCAAAATTCCCCATTTTCCTAAATCCTAATCCTGAAAACCTCCAAATCCCAAAACGTCCAAAAACCCACCAAAAAGTTCCTTTCTAGAAGAGCTTTCCATATAATAAGCAAACGGATAAGTATACTGCAAAGTATAGCGACACTTTGTTAAGAGAGTAGCAGCATCGTGTAAATATTGCCAATCAATCCAAGTCCCTTCATGATTATGCACTTTTTCATCAATTTTTGTTTTTATTCTTAAACGTAATTCCTCTTCCATTTTTAAAGATTTTTGGTGGTTTTCGAATCGTTCATAATAATGTAGATAACGTTCCAATGCGCGGCGTGCTTAAATTTTAAAAATTAGAGACTGGTTTGAGATCAGAAAAAATTCAATTCCCTGACCGGGTTCGAACCCACGACCTCCCAACCCTGACCCCTGATCGAGAATTGAATATAGGATTAGTTAAAGGCCAGAAAATTTTAATTCCCCACATGATTCGAACCCAGGACTTCCGAAATTGAACATGGGATTAGTTTAAGGTCAGAAAAAAATTAAAATTCCACGACCGGATTCGAACCCACGACCCCTAAAATTACAACCAATTCATGTTAACTTCGATATTCCCTCAAAAATAATTTTCCTACCCATTAAAATAAAAAAAACCTTTAAGATGGTTAGCCTCTTGAGCAATTTGTGGATTTTCTTTATAACGAGAACATTCATAATATTCACTTCCGTGCGTCTTCCAATCTTTAAAAAATCATTTTAAAAAAATTTTAAATTAAAAAAAACCTCTAAAACACATCCAACAAAAATGATGTCTACATTTTGAGCATTGCATATGATTACCTAAATAATTTTTTTTGAAAAAAAATTTTTTTAAGAAAATTACTAACATCCTCCATTCTTTTCAATACAGCTATTACAATTTGGGCAATCTTTTGTATGGGCACTAAAAAATAATTTTATAAAGGAAAAAGAAAATATTTAAAAAAATTGCTTCCAAAAGGTCCTCAAGTTTCCTCTGCATTTTTATAAAATAAATTCTGTAAATGCTCTAAAGCTTATAATTTCAACCTTTCAGAAGGATGTGCTTTCTTACAAATTAGAGTGTGGTTCTTAATTAGAGCATCTACGATATTTATTTTGTAAAAATGCGGATAAAACTTGAGGTTTTATGGAAGCAAGAAAACACAAATTGAAAAATTTTCCTTGTAATATAAATTGGTTGGCCCCGACTCATCGGGATCGTGAAGTTCTGGCTCACCGTTATAGCCAAAAAAGGAAGTGTTCCGGGATCCGGGTTCAAAAAAGTTTTGCTTCCAAAAATCCAAAACTTCTCTTAACCATAAAATAAACCTTATATAATTTGCAGTTTCACTATCATCTGCACATTTAACCAACCATTTTTTAATTATTTCACAACTTGCTGGTGCATGGTAATCACTTCCACATTTAAAACTTTAAAAAGAAAATTTATTAAAAAATAAAAAGAAATTTTTCTTACCAAAATTTAATATTACAATTTGAGCAAATAACTCTATGTGCTTTTGAGGTATTACAAAAAATAATTTTGTCACAATCAGAACCAAGGCAAAGGCGTAAGTAAGGGTGGGAAGAGACAAAATCACGAAAAAGCTGAAAGAAATTTTTAGAAAAATTTTTGAAAAAAAACCGTTTGTTCATATTTAGAAATAATTTCACAAGGTTGATTTTTAAGTAGATCAAGCACAAAATCTTTTTGGCAAATAAGTGAACAATTAGTGTTCATACAAGTAATATGAGAAGAGACACCTTTTTAAAAATAAAAAACATTTTTATAATTAAAATAATAGCTCCAAAAATAATTTGGGTAATACTTTTAAACCCCAGAAATTTTAAAATAGATTGGAGTTAAAAATAAGGAATTTTCTTTACTTGAGTTGGACAGAAAAATTCAAAATTTGTTAAAATAATACAAGTATATTTTAAAAAATGCCCTATTGGAGGTTGGACAAAGACTGGACAGTATGCGATGGTGATGGAACGGGTTACAACTATCCGAAGAAAATTTTGAAACTGTGATCCGAAACCCGAAACGATTTTCTGTAGACTTATTTAGTAACTAGATCCTTTAAAATTAAAAAGAAAACCATTCTGTAATTGTGTTTCTATATGCATTTGCCAACAAGATTTACAAAATCCATGTCCACAGTCTAAATGAAGCAATGGGGAAGAATTTGACAATTCAAAGCAAACTGTGCATTCAATTGAAGAAGTGCCAGGAATTTGATTTTTGGGTAAATAATTATTGTTGGTAATTTTTGGTTTGCGAAATTGTAGAGGATTAGAATGATCGTTGATAATGTGATTCTGAAAAAAAATTTGGTAACTTAAAAAAAATTTTTTTTTAATTTTTTTTGGAAATTCTTCGGATATCCGAAACTGAACCGAAAGAAAAATCCTCGGTTCTTCGGTTCGGTTCAGAACCGACAATCCTACTCCCTTTTTATTAAGAAACAAAAAAATTCTGTGAGGTTCCCTAATAATTTAAAAAATTTTCAAATAAAATTTAAAAAAAATCTCCAAACCTCAATCAAAAACTGTTTGCTATCATTCATCAAGGATATCCTAACTTGTTCAACATCCCATTTATTTAAATGTAACAAAAGTTTAGCCAATTCAGGTTTCAAATTTAGTTGTTGAGGAATTGATTCAATTAATTCTTTTACAATTTTATCAAACAAATCTTCAACTTGTTGTTGGTCTAAACAAGAATATTCAACATATTCAGGATCACAGAGAATTGAACCGGGAGCTGGACTTTGGTCAAAATGATCTCCTCCATCAGCATCGTAATAATAATCTGTGAGATAAAATTAGAATTAAACCTCATTATAAGACACTCAATTGGGGTGGAAAAATGTGCCTAATAATGAGATGTAGCTTAAATAGAGGGTAAGGTGTATTTTAAAAAATAGAAGGCATCGCTTAGATAGCTTCCGCCTCTCAAGGACAAACGAATCGTATTCCCTAAATTGAGTGGTATTTTACAGTGGAATTCAACTATTCTCTTAGTAAATCCTTCTAAAAATCGTTTTGGCTAGCGAAAACAATTTTTGTGAAATTCGAAATTTTTTTAAACAACCACCAAATTGTAAGGAATTTACCACAAGAAAATTTTTAAAACTAACCAAAATCTTCACATCCAATTTCTGAACAAGAATCAGATGCTGATGCACCTATCGACATTTGTTTGTCCTGACTAAAAGCATATAGGAATTAAAAAATAATTTCGCAAAAAAAAATATTTGATCGAATTGATCAACGAAACAAAATAACAAAAAATTTAAATATTAAAAATTTATTTGCAAATAAATTTGAAAAAAAGGTGACATAAATTAAGAGTCTAAATTGGAGGTTTAAATGGCAAAAAATTTAATTCAGAGTTGGATTTACAAGCAAAAAATTTAAAATCTTGGAATTTTATCAAAAAAAAGAAACGACTAAAAAATTTTCCAAACCTGATAAAACCTCCAAAAATATTTTTAAAAATAAATAAACTTTTTATTCAAATTGTGTCTCCTCTTTATCACTTTTCCTCTCCAAAAGCCGTCTACTTTGCCTCAAAAACTTTATCCATTGAAGATTTTTTCTAGCCTCTTCAATTTCTTTTTTATGCAAAAGTGAGTTCATTGGAGCCAAAAATTTGTCAATTTTTGAATCAATTTCTTCAATTTTCTGCTTAATTTGGTCAGGGTTTTCCAACATTTCAATTTCTTCGTTCAACTCCATTATTTCCAAAACTAGCTCATCGTCAGCTTTTTCAAACTCGATGGATATGGGGTCGTTAAGGTCTTCGTCTAAAATTGAAAAATAAAAAAAATTTACGGGGATCTGAGTTTTATGCGTTTTAAAACATAAAATCCTCGAGACCCTCATTCACTAACAAAGACTCCCACAATCCCCAAGACCCCCCACCCACTTATTCTAACAAGGCCCCCAACAACTCTCATAGACCCTAACCCGCTCAGCAGAAACATAATCTACTCCCTAACACCCTCACTCCCTAACTAACAATATGTAAGACTCATCAACAAGGCCCCCACCAACTCCCAAAGACCCTCACCCACTCATTGTCAGCAAAACCCTAATCTACCCCGCAACACCCTCACTCACTAATTAACAATAAGGCTTAACAATCTCCAAGACCCTCACCTGATCCCCACGACATATTATTGTTAAAATAAAAAAGGTTTACCTAATTCCTCAATAAGTCGAAGAAGATAATTTGCCCTCCTAAACGGATCACGCAATGTCCGGTAGGCGTCATTCAAAAATGTTGAGTGTTGCTGTGAATGTTGTAACTTTAATAAATTTAAAATAATTTTTTAAAAAATTTTAAAAATCAACCTCATCTTTGCTTCTCATTGCAAACTTGTCAGGATGTACAATTGCCTGTTTCCCTCTGAATTTCTTTCCCAATTCATCATGATCCAAATTGAAAGCTAATGGGACACCCAAATAAGTGAAAAAATTAGCTTCCTTGTCTAACGGTTGAATAATTCCACATTCAGAACAGTTGACTCTTTCTGCATTTGAATCAAATTCGGCACCACATTTCCAACATAGAATCTTTTGAGACTGTAAGGGAGAAAGGTCGCTACAGAAACGTGAAAAAGATGGGAGAGAAACAGGTGAAGAGAACCTAAATTGTAAGAATTTTGATTTAAAGAAAATTTTCTTACCTGAAACTGTCAGTAAATACTCGCCTTCTAAACAGCAACTTGCTGATTGTATGAGGAACATCAGCAAAACAACGATTCAACGGAAACTTAATCAAAATGCACGCAGAACGATTCATTTTTAAAAACCCTGAAGGTCAATTAAGGTAGAAAACTAGAACATTCTAAATAAAGAAAAGATAACAGAAAAATAAAATAGAGAAATAAAGAAATTTCAAAATGTAAACTTTTTAATATCAAATAATTAAAATTTTAATATGGTCACAACGGGACATTTTTAAATTGTGCATTATAAATTCGACATTTTGAAAAGTTAAAAGAAACTTTTTAGACATTTTTTAATAATCAGGACTGGTAGACGTTTCGTAAAGTTACACTTTGTAATTATTCCAATTTTTTTAATATAAAAGCGAAGAGATAGTTTTAAGGAGAGATTTCCTTTTACAAGATTAATTTGGAATGTGATCTCTTTTTTTCGTGCCCGCTCAAAGGATAGATGAATCAAAGGATAGATACGGCTAAAATCGATCAAAGGATAGACGCGGCCAAAATCTGCTAAAGGATAGATAAGGGAAAAACGATTAAAGGATAGATGCATCAAAGGATAGATGCGCCAAAGGATAGATAGGGGTAAAATCCATTAAAGTATAGACACGTCTAAAATTGGGTAAAACATAGATAAAGTTTGGAGTCCAGTTGAGTACCGACTGTTGAGTGCCTGATCTTTGTTTTTTTCTGATCTTTGTTCTGATTTCATGTTTCTGTTCTGATTTTTATTTTATTCGTACTTTAGTATATTCACGGTAAAAAGTTTTTGCCGCTGCGGAGGAAGCCGGGCATGTCGAGCGGAACGACGGCCGCCGCTTCGCTATGGTCGCCGCGAGCGAAGCGCACCGCAGCGAAGCACGGCCATCGTGTAGCGAAGACCATGCCCGGCCTACCCTCCGTAGCAGCACAAAAACAGTTTTTCCAAGGAAGATTCAGATTGTTAAATATTTTTGTCCAGACTCAAACGACCTATTCAGCTGTCTATCCTTTGCGGTGGGGTATCATTCAGCGCCCACGATTCAGCGCACACGTTTCAGCGCACACGATTCAGCGCACACGATTCAGCACCACCACGATTCAGCGCACACGATTCAGCGCACACGGTTCAGCGCCAGTTATAGAAGGCACGTTTCAGCGCCCATCAATTCATTTGCATGAGTTCGACGAACAGAGTCAAATTACCGAGACCAAGTTGATTTGTAATTATGCACAAACCTATGACCAACAGAATCTTCGCTGGAAAAACTGTTTTTGTGCTGCTACGGAGGGTAGGCCGGGCATGGTCTTCGCTACACGATGGCCGTGCTTCGCTGCGGTCGTGCTCGCTTCGCTCGCGGCGACCGTAGCGAAGCGGCGGCCGTCGTTCCGCTCGACATGCCCGGCTTCCTCCGCAGCGGCAAAAACTTTTTTCCGCGTAAATTTTTTGAAATGAAAAGAAAAATATTGAAGCAAAGTTGATAAGTTGATAAAAAAATATGAGAACTTTTAAAAAAAGTTGATAAAAATAAAAAGTTAATAAAAAAAGCTGATAAAAAAAAGTTAATAAAAAAACGAGAACAATGATTTTTACTTATTTTTTGCTAAATAAATGGCGCTGAACTATAACTGGCGCTGAACCGTGTGCGCTGAATCGTGTGCGCTGAATCGTGGTGGTGCTGAATCGTGTGCGCTGAATCGTGTGCGCTGAATCGTGTGCGCTGAATCGTGGGCGCTGAATCGTGTCTAACCGATCCTTTGATCGCTTTTGGCTGTATCTATCCTTTAGCGCATCTATCCTTTGATGCATCTATCCTTTGATAGTTTTTGGGCGTATCTATCCTTTAGTGCATCTATCCTTTAATTCATCTATCCTTTGTAGGGGAGCCCTTTTTTTATTTACGTTTATTGATGAATTTTTGAGAGTTAGTTTCTTTGTGTAACCATTTTCTCTCCTTTCTCGTTTCCGTTAGTACATTGAAAATGAACGTAGAAGTGCTAACTTTTAGATGATTTGAAGGTTGCAAATACTGAAACGGCTCTTAAATCATTTAAAATCTTTAATTATCATTCTGATTTTTAAGTTTACACCTTTAAAAATAACCTAAAATTTCAGAGTTTTATTCAAATCTTTTGCTTTGCTTCTTTGTTTTTTGCGAATTTATAAAGATGGTTGAGAAAGTCAATGACGTAGTTACCCAAGTTGTTTCGGCCAAATCTTCGGATAATAATAATAACGTTTCTGAGGCCGTTGCTGCCAATTCGCCGTCGAACAAGAACTCGCCTAACAAGTCTGACTTGCTTAAAGGTTTTTTAAACTTTTATCTTTTCCTTATTTTAATTTGACATTCTTATAGTTTTGGCTTTCCAATTCTTCGAAGCTTATTACACCAAGCTGAGTGACCATCCGGATGACATTGGTACTTTCTATGGAGATGATTCTAGCTTTGTTTTGGGTGATGTTGAGGAGACGGGCCGTGAGGTTTAACTTATATTTTCTTATTTTGTTAACTTTTTCATTTAACAGAACATCCAACGCGCCATTGAGAAGATGAATTTTGGAGCTTGTAAGTCGCGCTTTTATTCGGTCAAAGCTGCGCCGGAGATGGGTGACAACTGCAAGGTCTTCCAAGTTTGTGGTGAGCTAACGCTTAAAGGACAGCCGGCTCCACGTCGCTTCTGTCAAACGATCGTCCTTTCTTGTGTGCCGCCTAACGTACTTTATGTTAAGAGCAACATCTTTCAGGTAAAGTCTTAAAATTGTCCTGAGTGTCCGCATTTTTTTGTCCGCAAATGTTTGCGGACAAAATATTACCAACCTCTCTCATGGTTGATTTCCAACATTTTATATTCTTCACTTTTTATAGTGGTTGGACATTGCTTTTCCTATGAATAGCAGCGAAAAGGTTTATTTCATCTCTGCTCCGGCAACTATTCCGGCACCTGCGTCGATCACTCCTGTCGAAAATGGGACTTGCAACATCAACAAATCTATTGAGAAGGATGTTGTTGTTACCACTAGTGTTGAGCCAATTCTTAATGGAGGGGTTATTTTGACCAATGGAGGAAGTACTCATCAATCACCAAAGCCGGCTGCTAATTTGGCTATTGTCTCTATGACTACTGGTTTTTTTGGTTTACGAAAATTTTTTAATTTTATTTCCAGAGGCGTTAATTGCTCCTCCTCCTGGGTTGGAAAAGGTGAACGAGAATGTCTTGCCTCTTCAAACAAACAAGTCTCCGCTTCCGATTCATTCGGTGAGCGGAACGCCTAGTCCGCATCAAAACGAAGTTGTTGAAGTTGACAAAGGACAATTTACGGTTATTTTTCTTTGCTTTTTATTTAATTAATTTTTTTTAATGAAGATTCCAACTTCGGATTCCACCAACAAGATTGTCACCACTCCTTCGCCAACTCTCAACAACAATATTACTGACGATCAAAAGATGAAGCGCCCATCTCCAATGAAACAACAGCAACAACAACATTCGAATGTCAAATCTGAGCCAAAGTCGTGGAATAAAGTTGTTAGTGGTGGACAAAATAAAATGCCAAATATTCAACCAAATGTTACTACTACAACAACTGTTCCAATAAAATCTTCGATTGATGTTAAAAAGACTATGCAATCTCAAGATATTGGTCCAGTTAATAATACACAAAAGCAACGTCAATCTCCTCCACAAAAACAACATCTTGCTGGTAATTTTTTTGTTTTTTAAGGTTATAAAAATTTTTTAAAGAAAATAACAACGTTGGTGGACAGCCACAGCAAAAGCGCTTCTCTTCCCTCGGTGACGACAATACTGGTAAAAACAACAATCAAAAACAACAACAAATGTCGCAATCGACTAAATTTGTGGCGCCGCGAAGAGATTGGCCCCATCGAATTTACTTCAACAACCTTGTAAAACCTGGACATTTTCTGGACTTTAAAACTGGACAGAAAGAACTGATGAAGGAAATTATGAGTTTGTTTTGTCTTTTTTTGGTTAAAATTTTTTAATTTTTTTGTAGCGATCACCCCAGGAGTTGAATTTGTTGGCATAAAACCACTTTCGCTTCGCAAGGAGTACAAAACCGCTTTTGGCTTTATCGACTTTACTACTGGAAATGATGTTCAGAATGTTTATGATGCTGCTAAAAAGGTTTAAATTTTTTAAATTTTTGGCCAGAATTTCATCTAAAAAAATTTTTCAGACTGGAGAGAAGCGAGGAGGCGATAAAGGAGGAGGTGGCGGAGGACTTCAATTGAGAGTTTCTATTCCAACATTTGAATTTGATGGTTATATCACTCTGACTTCAGACAAGACAAACAACTTGGCTCCTGGAAACGGCACCGACAACAATAATAATAATAATTTTAGATAAATAAATTACACAAACAGAAAAAAAAGCAAAAAAAATTAAAGACCGTTTTTCTCTATTTTTCCACCCAAAGAGACTGATTTTAAAAAATTAAAAGAAAATTTAAAAAAAAATACTTAAACGCAAGCATACCCTGTTTGTGTAAAAGTATTTTTTTAATTTTATTTTTTTTATTTAAAAAAGGTGTAAATTCCCTTCTCTTTTTTTGTGTTCCTATCCTTTTTATTTTCCTCTCTACAACAAAATATATAAAATTGTTTTTTTTTGCTGCCCCTTCTTCCCTGTCATTTTAAGACAATTATATATAATTTAAAAATTTATGTAGAGAGAATCGGTCAAGAATTAGACACTTTTTTGTTTGATTTGGGGAAAAGATTTTTGAATATTTGGGAAGGCTCGAGTGCATTTTAGGAATTTGTAGAGTTGGGAATTTTGGAAAAAACAAGACCGGGAAACCAGAAAACCGGGGAACCAGCTGTTTATTCTATTTATTTTCGATTTTCCATCTTCAATTTCTTCACCTATTGGATATCGTTTGGTTGTTGATTCATGAGTAAATTTAAGCTGGTTCGAAAAATTTTGGGAAGAAATTGAAGATGTTGACATAATCAAAAAAAAGTTCCGAACACCAAAAAATGTTGACATAATAGTCTACCACACACAAAACATAGTTTGGTTTGCACAAAATTAATTATTTTACATTTTTTATTTTTAAAGGGAGGTGCGTTGTTGGCTATTGGAGTTGCTTTTGCCGGAGTTCAATACCCCAGAAACCAGCCACTATAATTGCTACAACCATACTTGTGTAGCAAACACTACTTACTTACCTTTACGAATTGTGTCAATATTTGGTTTGGGGTTGGCCTACGCTGGAAGTAGGCGAAAGTCAACAATCCATTACAAAAAGGAGAGCGTTGTTGAACTTCTAAAAAAGGTTTTTATTTACAGCAAGAATTATGTTTGCAATTAATCTAAAATTTCAGACATTTTCTAATGAAAGCATACATCAAACAGAAATTAAAGGATTGACAGCGTTATCTCTTGGTCTTATTCTTATTATATCAGGGATGGGAAATGGTGGTGTGGTGGATCTTTTTATGGACTATTTTGTGAGCGGTGTCGACTTGAGTGACAAAAATTTACGATTGGTTGCACTTGGAATTGGCTTATATTTTTGGACTTATATGTATTAAATGACAATGTAACTGAGAAATGATAATTATTAAGGATTAATGATTATACCCAAAAATATAAGCCAATTCCAAGTGCAACCAATCGTAAATTTTTGTCACTCAAGTCGACACCGCTCACAAAATAGTCCATAAAAAGATCCACCACACCACCATTTCCCATCCCTGATATAATAAGAATAAGACCAAGAGATAACGCTGTCAATCCTTTAATTTCTGTTTGATGTATGCTTTCATTAGAAAATGTCTGAAATTTTAGATTAATTGCAAACATAATTCTTGCTGTAAATAAAAACCTTTTTTAGAAGTTCAACAACGCTCTCCTTTTTGTAATGGATTGTTGACTTTCGCCTACTTCCAGCGTAGGCCAACCCCAAACCAAATATTGACACAATTCGTAAAGGTAAGTAAGTAGTGTTTGCTACACAAGTATGGTTGTAGCAATTATAGTGGCTGGTTTCTGGGGTATTGAACTCCGGCAAAAGCAACTCCAATAGCCAACAACGCACCTCCCTTTAAAAATAAAAAATGTAAAATAATTAATTTTGTGCAAACCAAACTATGTTTTGTGTGTGGTAGACTATTATGTCAACATTTTTTGGTGTTCGGAACTTTTTTTGATTATGTCAACATCTTCAATTTCTTCCCAGAATTTTTCGAACCAGCTTAAATTTACTCATGAATCAACAACCAAAACGATGTTCAATAAAAGAAATTGACGATGGAAAAATCGGAGATTAAGAGGATGTAGTTTTGAACTTGCGACCCTCTTTGTATTTAGTGTATATTTAGCTTGGCGAATCACACACCACTTTTAGATCATTTACCCGACCTATCAATTGAAGATATCACTGCTTTCCCTTATTGAGCTCCCCAGCCATCCCAACTTTTCTAAAAAAGAAATATTGTTATTCTTGACTGTATTATATATATAAAAATATTATTGTTGAATCCGATTTGGCTTTTTTTCTGAAATTATAAAAAAAAAATTTATATTATATATTATTTCATCAAAAAATGTCACATCCATAAATATAGCCATTCATGTCTTCCTTTTCGCACTCATTTTTTAATTATACCACACACACAAAAATTTCGTTAAAAAATATTATATTTCAATTATATTTTGTTTTTTTTTGATTGTTAGTGTAATTTGCAAAAAAAATATTTTTATACGTTGTTTATTTTAAAGAAAAAATTTTTAAATTATTTTTAATATTTGAGTGATTTTTAAAAAAATTTTGAGGAATTAAAAAAATTTTTTCTAATTTTTAGTAATGCCAACTAGAACTGATCCTGTTGTTCAAAACTCTTGTTCTAGTCAATATTCTCCACTTGGAATTTTTCTTTTATCAAAGGATGAGGCAGCTGAGCATGTTCTATTTATGTACCCTTTCAATCCTGATCTTAATTTTGAAGGTTTTTTAATTTTTATGTTGTGTGATGATGGTATTTGTAGCTGGATTGTTTATTTACGAATTGTGTTTAGGCAGGGCCATTCATGTCTGTTAAACCTGGCTTTCAAGAAAATCCCAAATTAACGAATATTGAGTCCTAGAGTCATGAATTTTCTTGAGTCCATCTGGGTTTGAACTAGGTTTCGTGTTTATTAGATTTGGGCCCGGGACCGGGTTTTCCTGGCCCGGAAATCGGGTATTTTGATAAAATCCGGGGTAAAACCAGGCCCGTGTCGGATGGGAAGAAAAAAACCGGATACCGGCCCGTCAAATCGAACTTCAGTGTTTATATTGTAACGGAAATCCTGAATTCTCGACGATTTTTGAGTTTAGAATTCTCGAAAATATAAGCAAACATTTTCGCGAATCCACGATTTTCTGGAGGGAAAACAGAATTTTCTGTTGCCATAATGGTTATTCTTAATTCAAAAACTTCCAAAATACTAAAAAAATTTATTTTAGTTTTTTAAGATGATGACAACACAAAAGATGAATGTATTGGACTTGAATGCTGGAAGGAAAAGGACGATCTTTTGTCTGAACAACAAAAAAGTGTTGATAATGAAGAATTGGAGACAAGAACATTTGGGTTCTTTTAATTATAAAAATATTTTTTGAAAAATTTTTTAGTTTGCCAGTAAAAATGTTGGCTACACTTTTACAAACAAATACGGGCAACAAAGAAGGAGAACCTTTTGAAATTAAAGTAAATAATATTCGTTTTGCTGGTGTTCCATGGTGTGTAGATGCTTGTGAAGGTGTTTGCTTGGCTGTTGTTTTTATTCTTTCCAGCTCTTGTGGTTGCCATATTGTTGAAGCTTTTCAAAGATTGAGCAAGAAAATTGCTGTTGCGATTAGTGTTGGTTTTTTTTTAATTTTTGTTTTGGGGTTAAAATGTTTTTTGGTTAAGGCTGAACAACAACGATGTAATTACTTGAGCGAGCAAATATGGTAATTTTTATTATATATATTTTTTTGGATTTCTGTTCTAACAATAAGCCTTTTCTCCATTTTATGATTGTTGGAGACAACCATTTGGAGACAACCTTTTTCTGTACTTCCAGTTTTTGTTTATCACTGGTTTTCGATCCCTAGTGTTTGGTTTCGGTTAATTCGCCAAATATACTGGGCTTGGGTTCTGTTTTGGTTTAGACGTTTGTGTCCAACCCTACTTTATATGAACTCTCGAGAATCTGCGAGTTCTGCAGTTCATCCTTGCTATTTTATCCTTTCTATTTTTTTTTCTATTTCATTCTTTCTATTTTATCGTAAAAAAGAATTATTCTTTAAAAAACAATTTTTAATATAATTCTTGTTTTTCCTTATTTTTAATAATTAGCCCTTTTTCTTGAATTTTTTATTTTTTCTGGATTTTTGAAGAAAATTTATTTTGAATTTTTCATCTTTTTTCGCTTCTTTCCCCCAGAAGTATTCTTCAACTTTGAATAAAATTTTATTTTTACAGTTTAATGCAGCCATCTCACGACGAATTTGAAGCAATGGGAGATGAACAACGCAGAGGACGTTCTCCCTATGAAACAATTTTGGCCAAAAGTGGATTAGCTCAACATTTACGGGATATTTATAATGATGTTTGTGAATATGGAATGGTTGATGTTTTTGTTAATGATAGCAGTGAAGTTGGATTTTGTGTAGGTTTGTTTAGCCTTTATTATTTTAATGTTTAGGTAGCTATAATGGATGGGGCGGGGTGAGAAAAAAAGACAAGGCGAGTTTCGGGTTGGGGTTTCGAAAATTTTATGAATTCCGTTCGGCCCCGTAGAAGTCCGGATTCCGGCCCTGTTGTTGGCATAAAAAGGTTATTTAGCAATTTATTATGGTTATTTTGTTTGATTTTTTGTTTACTTTTTTCTGGTATTTTGCCTTAGCTTTGTTCGTAAATATCGGTTTGTGACTAACAATAAGTTTACCTTTGGGTTCCGTAAACTTCGGTTTCCTCATATTTCTTTCAGTAAACTATTTTTTAAATTCTATTTTCTTCAACCTTTCCTACTTTTTTAGAACCCAAAGCAATGTTTCATGCTGGTTTAACTCCTCGTTCTTCTACTCAAATCGACTCTTTAATGTCCAAAATTCGCCCTTATCATGGTATTCTATTTCTTGAAGATTCTGTTCCAAATCCTAGCTCAAACCCTTTTGTTCTTCGTTTTCTTGACAATTATGAACCAACAAGAAGTATTGAAGAAATGGCTTCATTATCAAACCTCGTATTAGCTCAAGCACTTCAAATCGTTCGTCATTACCTTCTTTGGTCTAGAGCAATTATAATTTATCCAATTTGTGCTTCTAATGTTTATGCAAATGCAGAAAAATTACCTCCGGGATATAAACAATTGGAAATTGCGTTTAGTCAACAGTTCCCAGAATTTAAATTAAATGACATTTTTGAAGCGGTGAGTAATTTTTTGGCATGGTATCGTAATACCAAACCTCTAAAAGATACGACGAAACAGGCCCGTAGCCAGGATTTTTTTCGGGGGGAAAATTTTTCTGAGCCGAAGGCGCCAAAAATTTTTATTTTCAGTGCCACAGGCGAAAATTCTGAGAATTTTAAAAGGCCGTAGGCCAAAAAAAAATCCACTTTTTTTGCCCCAGCCCTTCCCCATGCGTTTACTCATCAACAATTCTCAGAATTTTTGCCCCAGCCCTTCACCACTTGTATTTTCCACAGGTTTGGCATTTCGACGGTTTTTGAGGGGTTTGGTATTTCGGCGTTTAGTATTATAGCGAGCTCCTGTATTTTGGAAAGTTTTTTGAATAATTTTAATTTTTTTCAGTTTTCCCCGCCATGTTCACTTGGTTCATATCTTCAAGATACTGCAATTTATGGAGGAAAACCGAACGTTCCAATAGGTTTCTTTTTTTATCAACTAATTTTTTAAAAGAAAATTTTTTAAAGGATTGTGTCGGGACTGGCCCGACTTAATGATGTTTCATAATATTATATTTTTAATATTTTTTAACAAAATTCCAATTTCTATTTTTATTATTATTTCATAATCTTTCCGATGATTCTTTTCATGTTTCTTCCCAAATAATTCATATTTTTGATATTCCAACTTAATCATACTTTTAAAACAATTCTTGTTTTCACCCTTCTTTAAAAGCAAATTCTAATGCCCCAAAAATATCTTTTTCCTCTTCACTTTTAATTTTAAGAATAAAAATCTTCCCCCAAAAAAATTATTAAAACTTTTAAACTTTGAGAATAAATATTAAAATTTTACGTCTTTTCGAATTTATTTTAAGTCGAAATTTATTAATTTCGACAATTGGTGCCGCTAAATCGAACCTGCGAATAATTGCGAACCCGAAAGGGTAAAAATAATTCAAACTGCCTAATCGACGAGAGCGTAGCCCGATTAGAAGAAGAAGCCCTTTAAGAAGAAATAGAGAAAATTCTGAAAGATATCGGCCAAATTATCAAAGAAACAGGTCGTTTTATTTACATAGTGGTAGACAAATTAATTTCGATAGATATCCACAGAGTAGAAATTTTTCTAATACGTTTCGTGGGCGTGGTCGTGGTAATTTTAGAAATTTACGACAACAACAGCAGCAACCACAAATTGTGATACAAGTGCCACCGCAGCCACAGCAAATACAACATTTTCAAGAACATTTTCCACAAATTCCGCAACAGCAGAATTATTTACAACAACAACCAGGACCTTCAGCACAATATTATATTCCACCGCGATTAAATTACAACAATGGCAGCAGTTATTCAAGCTTCTATCCGCCCCATCAAGGAACGTTTGCGCCGCTACGTGGGAGAGGTGGAACAAGAGGATTTCAGCCTAGATGGGAATTTGCAAGGCGCTGAACGTCGCAGGCAATGTAATCTTTTAAAAGAAATGATAATTACACATATAGAAAAAATAAGTTGTTCGGTAAATGAGTTAGAGGGCCAAAATAAAATTTGGATGAATTGGTTAGGTGATATGGAAGACGAGCAATATCAAAGAGCAGCTAGAAATTTTACGGAATTTTCGGAAGGTCCAGAAGGCCATATGATTTTAATGGAAAGAGCCCGGGAACGATTAATACATCTAAGGGAAAACTTAAGAATTTTAAATGATTTTTGTCCATCCGAAAATGCGAACATTACTATAAGGAATCAGGGAAATCTAAATCAAACAATGGTTGAGTCAAATTTACCTACTCTCGAATTGCCAAAATTTAATGGGGATATAAGTAACTGGGAGGCATTTTATGAAGATTTCATGAGTATGATAGATGAAAAACAAATTTCGGATAAGATGAAACATTCCTATTTACGAAAAGCACTGAGAGGGGAAGCTGAGGAATTAGTTCAGGGCTACGCGATTACGGCACTCAATTATAGATTAGTTTTAGAGGTTTTAAAGGACCATTACGGTAATAAAAATATAACAAAAAGTGCGTTACACGGGGCATTAATAAAAATCCCGAGAAGCAGCAAATACGTCCCCGAGGTAAAAAATACTTTAAGAAAAATTGAGTGTATCCTTAGGCAACTTAAGCAATTAGGGGAAGATATTGAGCACGAACAAATAAAACAATTAATACAAAGAAAAATGCCTAAATGGATTTTAAAAGAGATAGTAAAAAGAACTAGGGCCGATCCTGAATGGAAAGTTGAGGCTATGTTAAAATTTTTAGATGAAATGATTCAATTAGAACAGCACGTATATTTGGCCCAAAAAGACTTAGATGAGATAGATGAGAATTTAAAAGGGCGTTTTAATGAAAATAGAAAAATAAATTCAGGCCGATTTCAACGTAATGGCAATGCGAATATAAGCCGAAATAATTATAATACAGGGTCAAAACAAATTTCTTCGGTAATGTATGCCCTCCAAGAAAAAGAAACTAAGAAAAAATGTATATTTTGTTCTGAGGCTCATTGGGAATCAAGATGCGAAAAATTTTCAACAAAAGAACAAAGGGCCGAAAAATGTCACGAATTAGGAATTTGTTTTAAATGCTTAGAATCGGGACATCTTTCAAAAAATTGTAGGGCAAAAATAAATTGTTTTTTCTGTAAAAAGCCCGGCCATAACACAGCATTTTGTCAGAAAATAAATAAAAATAATATAGTCAAAAGAAATGTCCCCAATCAATACACACAGAAATACAATTCAGCTAAAACCGAAATAAATAAACAAGTGTGCGTTGGAATAGAAAAAGAGACCAAAGAAGAAGGAATTGAAAATAAACAGTTTAATAGCCTAATAGAGCCAGATTTTGATAAAACACTAGAAATAATGCTTCCAACCACACAAGCAATAATAAGTCACCCCTCGCATCCTGAAAGGTATGAAAACATTCCAATCTTCTTAGATTCTGGGTGTCACATTTCGTTAATAGAAAATGAGATAGCAGAAAATTTAGGACTAATTCCGGTTAAGACACAAATTTTTAGAGGAAATGGTATATTTGGATGTAAAGTAAACAGAACCATGCCTATTTACCCGGTAGACCTACATTGCCTAGATGGAGAAATAATGAGAATTTTTGTAAGAGGGGCAGATAATGTTACCACAAGAATGTGCATTCAAACAAAAAGGGCCATTGAAGAAGCAATAAGTAAAAAATACGTTCCGAAAAACTCTCTTTTTGTTGAAAAACCAGGTATTTTATTAGGCTCTGACTACTTTGGAAAAATCTTTTTGGCTGAAAATACTGAAGCAGGCTTTGGAATATTTAATACAAAATTGGGAAAAATTTTATCCGGACCTGGAAAATTAATTGATGAAAAAATGCAAAAAGTAATTGGAGCGCTTTCTAAAGAAAATGAACAAAAGGAATTCCATAAATACTGGGAACTTGAAGGCATAGGTATCCACGAAAATCCAGTACAGAATGACGACAAAGTAGCCATGGAACACTTTCAAAAAACATGTACACGAGACTCAGATGGCCGATATGTAGTGAGCTGGCCATTAAAGGATGAAAATGTAAAAATAAAAAATAACTTTTGGGGAGCCATTTCAGTACTAAAGTCCGTGCATAAAAAGTTAATGGAAACAAAAAGATTAAATAAATACAATGAAATGATTATGACACAAATTAATGAGGGAATTTTAGAAATTATTGATAATGACGGTAAAGAAAATTCTACATTGTACATTCCTCACCATCCAGTGTATAATAAAGAAAAGGATAAATTAAGAATAGTTTTTAATGCTAGTTTTAAAACAAAAGGAAGCAATTCTTTAAATGATCTACTTTACAGAGGACCCGTGTTATTACCTGAATTAGTCGGATGCCTAATGCGTTTTAGAATGAGTAAAATTGTAGCTATAGCTGATGTTCAAAAGGCGTTCCATCAAATTGCGATTGCGGAAAATCAAAGAGATCTGACCCGGTGTTTTTGGCTAAAAGATATAGAGGGAGAAGTAGTGGAAAGTAATGTGATAAAATTAAGATTTAAAAGAATGGCATTCGGTGTTATAAGTGCACCTTTTCTTATGACGGCCTCTATTAATGATCATTTAGAAAAAACAAATACTAAGCTCTCTTTAGAATTAAAAAATGGGGGAATGTACGCAGATAATATATTTCTTTTTGCCAATTCAACACAAGAATTAAGGGACAAATGCGAACAATCCAAAGAAATATTTGCCCAAATTAAAATGAATTTACATGAATTTTTCTCTAACGATTTAAAAATAAATAAAGCATTTTCCGAACAGCACGAAAAGAAAATAATTAAGGTTTTGGGGATTAATTGGAATTTACAGGAGGATGAGATCTTTTTAGAATTAAGTAAAAATGAAAATTTAATAAATGAAAATATGATTTGGACCAAGAGAAAGGTGTTAAAACAACTAGCAAAGACATTTGACCCATTAGGCTATTTAATACCAGTCTCTCTCCCCAGAAAATTAATAATGCAGGAAATTTGGAAAAATGACATCGATTGGGATGAGAAACTTAGTCCTGAATTAAATAAAAAATGGAATGAATTAATGCAACAAAATAATGAAGAAAATATGAGTTTAAAAATAAAAAGAGAAACATTTTCACCGGAAGAAGAAATCGAAATACATATTTTTGTGGATGCGTCAAAGGATGCTTATTGCGCCGCAGCCTATTTGAAATGTGGAGAAAATATAAAAATAATTTTAGCAAAAAATCGACTTTCACCGTTAAAAAATAATTTGACCATACCTAGACTTGAACTTTTAGCAGCAGTTGCGGGTAAGAGACTAGTGGAATATATAAAGAATCAAATAAAAACTCCTTTCAAAAATGTGTATGTTTGGTCAGATAGTAAATGCATTCTCTATTGGATAATTTCGAGCAAATTAGAAAAATTGCCAAAATTTGTAAGGCGAAGATTGGAAGAAATTAGGGGCCAAAAAGAAATTATATGGAGATATGTTCCAACTCAAAATAACCCGGCCGATTTGGGAACCCGGGGTTGCACCATGGAAGAATTAAAAAATAATAAACTTTGGTGGGAGGGCCCAAGCTTTTTGAAGGATATGAACCAATGGCCTCCTATAGAAATGAAAGCTGAGGAAGAAAGTCAAGATGAAAATGAATTAGATAAATTAATGGCTTGTGTTTTAATGGGAGAAATTAATTTAAAAGTTAGAAACAAATGGGATGAATTAGTAACAATAGCCACATATTTTTTAAAATTTATTACAAAAATTGGAAAGAGAATTGATTTAAAAAGTGAAATTTTATGCGCTTTCAAAAATGCTGAATCAGAAGCGAAAGAAAGAAAAATAGCGCAACTATATTTATTAAGGCAGGCGCAATTGGAATTCCCACCCGATAAAAAGACACAAATTGATTATTTATTAAAGCAAGATAAGTATTCCCTTTGGAAATGTTGGGGGAGACTAGAAAATTCTGCAAGTACCCCACCAATATGGATGCCAAAAGAGTCGAAAATAGCCGAATTAATTTGCATGGAGGCCCACAGAAAATGTTTACATAGTGGATTAAGAGCCTCATTGGCCGAGTTACGTGAAAAATTTTGGATCACCAAAGGAAGAGCTTTTATGAAAAAAGTTATAGAAAAATGTGAATATTGTTCTAGATTAAAATTAAAAGCATTTGAAATTCCCCCAATGGCTCCATTACCGAAAGAAAGAGTAAATAAATCTAATCCATTTCAATTTTGTGGCATAGACTATTTTGGCCCATACAATATTCGAAAAGCAAATAAAGAAATCGGAAAAATTTATGTTGTTATTTTTGTTTGTGAATCGACACGGGCCATACATTTGGAAATGGTCAATGACCTTACAGCTAATAATTGTATAATGGCTTTACGCCGATTTTTTGCTGAATATGGGAAACCCACAAAAATTCTTTCTGATAATGGGACCCAACTAAAATTAACATCAAAAGTTGTAAAAGAAATAACAAAGTTCTCAACAAAAGAAACTATTGAATGGACATTTATCCCGTCTCTTTCTCCTCGATTTGGTGCATTTTATGAGCGAATTATTGGAATAGTAAAACCAGCAATGAAAGCTGCGACTGGTAAACGATTATTAGAGTCTGAAGAATTCCGAACGCTTTTGGCTGAAGTAAAAAAGGTAGTCAATTCTAGGCCTCTGACTTATGTGTACAATGAACCAGGGGATAATGTCGAAGTTCTTACCCCAATGAAAGCAATTCAACCTAATCGAAATAAAGAAAACTTTGATATAGATTTTGAAAGAGAAAGAAGTTGTGAAAGAGAGAAACCAGAAGAAAAATTAACCCGCATATGGAAAAATTCTAGAGAAGCGGTTGAAATGTTTTGGAAGCGTTGGAATAAAGAGTACTTGCAATATCTACGCGAGCGGGCCGACAAATACAAACACAATAAAGGAAAAAATTATGTCCCTGAAAAGGGAGAAATTGTTCTTTTACAGGATAAATCATTGCCAAAAAATTTATGGAATTTAGCCAAAATAATTGAAACAATAAAAGGAAAAGACAATATTGTAAGAGTAGCCAAAGTTCTATGTAAAGGAAAAATATTAACTAGGGCCATAGATTTGTTGTATCCACTCGAACTTAAGGCCGAATGCGAAGAAAAAATAATTGATAAAAATCAAAAAATAGGGACTAAAATGCACGAAATGAAATTAAGGACTAGAAAAAAGATAAATTATAAAGAGAGCGATTTAGAAAGTGACGTGTCAAGTGAAATAGAAATGAATCTTTGCCCATTCCTTTACGAAAGACGAAATTTCACCCCGCCAAAAATTGAAAGAATTGATCCAAATAAAAATAGAATATTTACAAATAAACAAAAATTTAATTGGGAAAAAGAAGGGCAGAGTTTAGCTAGTAAAATACAAGAGGAAATAAAAGAGATACCCGAAATTGAAAGTAAATTGGAGTCAATAACTGAAGAAATATATGGGATAAAAAATAAAATAAATTTAATTGAACCATTAAAAGAGGAAATAAATAAATTAAAATTGGAAAATAATAATTTAAAACAAGATTATGACAATTTAAAAATATTAGCGGAAAGAAACAGAAATGATATGAATAGGTTAATTGCGGATATTTATAAGTCGCCAGAAAAGATGAATACAAAATGCCAAAACTCGAAAAAACAAAATTCCCGCAAAAATTCAAAAAATAAATTCCTGAACACTTCTGTCTTTTTAATGTCTCTGGTACTAATTCTTTTTATATTAATGGGGAGAAGCGTTGGAGCACCGTGCCAAAAAGGACAAAGGAATGTTTTAGTCAAGTCGCAAACGTGCGCAACCAACGGGTTAAAAATAATGAAAGCACCCGATGGGAATTTTTGTTGGGAAATAATTAATTGTGATTATTCTAAAAAGGAACATTTTGAGTCTGAAAACTGTAATGTACCTTGTAAATGCCCACAATGGACCGAAACATGTTCCTTTTATAATGGCCCCAGTACTAAAAATTCAACAATAAAAAATAAAAATGTTCAAAAGATTTTGGAAAGTTTGGCTTTAGAAAAATGTGAGAAAATTGAAAATTGTGGGCCCCTAAAATTAATAGAAGTGAATCAAATACAATTATTTGACAATTCTCTCCATATAATAAAGGAAATGAAAATTGAAGAAAAACAAGCACTACCCGAAGAATATGAATGTATAGGAACCGGACCCATTACAGGCTCCCCTAAATATTGTTTAGACCATATCTGTGAGCTACATGGAACAAAATTTTGTTATTACCCAGGAAATGAAATTTCTCTCCTAGTAAATGATAATGGAAATATAGCTTTGAAGGCTTGGGGTCGTGTAAAAATAAAAGTTAGGGGATTTCTTGAAAGAAAAGAAAATTTAAAATGTGAAAAATGTCATGTTGAATGTCACAAAGAGGGAGTAAAAATATTTTCACAAGAAGAGATAGGAAGTGCAGAGATATGTGTAAAAAATGATCGATGCGCGCTCTTTCCCCACCCAAAATTGGAAGAATTAATTCCATTATCAAAAGAAATATTGGTTTCAAATTATGAAATTAAAATTAAATTTTGGAGATACGGAGAATTAGTAAAAGAATCTGGGATAAATTGTGAAGCTAAAGTAATTTGTGAAATTATAAAATGTAATATTTGTATAGAATTGCTTAAAAATCCACAATGTGCTTCAAAAACTGCTATAATATTGTTCGCAATAATTTTCTATATATTCTTTTCAATAATAATGACTGTTTTTCGTGTGATTGTGTTTGGATTCAGAGGGGCATTTTGCTTATTAAATTTTAAATTTCGATTAATGCGATGGATTTATAGAAAATATAATATAAAGAGTAATCGGGGCAAAAATGAGGAAAGTGAACTAAAATTAATAAAAGCCAAAAGGGAAATAAATCCGATAAAATTAACAATAGTATTAATATTTTTGACCATTCCCGAAAGTCTTCAATTAACCACTATTACCGCTCAGGAAGAAAAATGTGTTGTAAATAAAAATAAAGAGCGGACATGCTTATTTGAAAAAGTGATTGAGTTAAATTTTCTACCTAGGGAACAAGAAATCAAAATATTATTTGAGGATCACGCTAACAGACCAGCAGGAATGATAAATTTAAAAATATTAAACGCGGAAGCACGCTGCGCAAAGAAAACAAAATTTTTTACAAGAGAATATGAAATGAATGTAATGAGTGTTAAGAGATGCCCAGAAACAGGAAGTTGTAAAGGTAATAAATGCGCGGAAATTAAAGTAAATGAAACAATATTAGAATTAGAAGCAGTCCAAAACTTTCCGGGGATTACAGGTTGTGTCGAAGGTATGAATAATTGGCCAATGACAGGATGTTTCTATGCTACAGCTCCATGCACTTTTTATAGGTACTATGCAAAACCTATAGGAAACGAAATTTTTGAAGTCTTTGAATGTGAAAAGTGGGATATCGCATTAAACTTAAATGTTTCATTAACTAAAAATGACGGAAAGGGAGAATTTATAAGCGAAAGTTTTGAAGTAAATTTAATACCCCAATTTATGAAAGAATGGAATAAATTAAAAATGGTTTTAAATGATTTAAACATCCCTCCCACTCCTACACTAGTCAAACCTTTTATAGCCAATAATCGCGCTACAGCCATTATCGATTTTGAAAAAGAGCATAATCTTAGGAAATTTTATTGTAAAACAGCGCAAGAGGCGAGAGAATTTATAAAATGTAGTATAGCGTATAAAACCTGCGATTGCCATTTGGCCAACGATATAGCCGCGTGTACTTGTCAAGATGGGAGAAAAATATCCCAATTATTAAGAGGGGACCAAACTTTACCCTTTGAACACAACGGTCTCGTTTTTAAAACAAAAAACTCTGAAGTAATTTTTAATCCTGACCTAGCTTCCGCAAAAATGGAAGTTAGAATTGAAGGAATGTTTTTGCGCACAGAAATTGAATTAAATAGTTGTAAAGTCCAATCCGCGTCAATAGAAGGCTGTTACAAATGCGTTAGAGGGGCAATATTAACATTACAATGCAAAACAGATTTTGGGAAAAACCTAGGGTATATAACATGTCCTAGCTTAAAAACTGTTGTGATTTGTGATCCTAAAGGAACCAAGAGAATTATTTCAGTCCATTTAGAACATTCTAATATCGATGAAAATTGTGAAATCCATTGTCCCAGTTCAAACTTTAATTTTCAGTTAGTTGGAACATTAGCCCTGGCGAGCGCGGAGAAAGCAGATATTTGGATAAAAACAAAAACAAATGAAACAAAATTCGGAGAAATAAATTTACCGAGCATATTGGACACGCTTTCTTTCTTTTTTAACCCTCTGCACATCTTAATTTTTATTGCAACAATAATTTCCTTACTTCTACTAATCAACTGCATCCTACCAATACTCTTTCGCTTAATTCTAATTTCTGTCTACAAATTTTGTTTCCGCCGGAGTGTCGGGACTGGCCCGACTTAATGATGTTTCATAATATTATATTTTTAATATTTTTTAACAAAATTCCAATTTCTATTTTTATTATTATTTCATAATCTTTCCGATGATTCTTTTCATGTTTCTTCCCAAATAATTCATATTTTTGATATTCCAACTTAATCATACTTTTAAAACAATTCTTGTTTTCACCCTTCTTTAAAAGCAAATTCTAATGCCCCAAAAATATCTTTTTCCTCTTCACTTTTAATTTTAAGAATAAAAATCTTCCCCCAAAAAAATTATTAAAACTTTTAAACTTTGAGAATAAATATTAAAATTTTACGTCTTTTCGAATTTATTTTAAGTCGAAATTTATTAATTTCGACAGATTGTTTGTATTTTTACTCAGAAATCAATTGCTTATTCAATTACATACTTATATTTATTTACTTCCATTTGCTTCAAATCCGCCTCAACAACAACAGCAAAATGAAATTGAAAAACAAAGACCTCAAAGGATATTAAGTCCAAAGGTTTGTTAAAAAAATTTCTAAACTGTCGAATACAACTATGAATTGACCCGGCCCAAAGTAATTTTGCAAGAAAACGGATAACACTATCCAATAAAAGGTCGTGGGTCCTCTATCGAATGGTACTAAAAAATGTCAAATTCGTAGTGACAGCAACATAGGGTTCCTAGTGAGATGGGATTGTTGTACGAGATCTTATCTCGGTTCTCTAGGAATTATGACTTTTGAAAATTACAATCCTCTTTCATGTCGATGAGATTAAAGAGTTACTCTCTACCTGGGTACGCTTTAAAAAATTTTTTTCGAGTCACCCCCCCCCCCCCCCCATTTTTTAGAAATTTTTTTTTCAAGTCATTCTATATTTTTGATTTTTTAAATAAATTTATTTTTCTTTCAAAAAATATTTATTTTTTCAACAGATACAAAATTATTTAAATTCATCAAGAGATTTGAATGATCTCATTAAATCAAATATTCTTTCAATTTGTTCAAAATTTTACAAAATATCAAATATTGAAGAATCAGAATTATTTATATTTGTGATCGATTTTTTAAGAATTATACCTTTTTTAAATGGAAAGGATCATATGGAAGGTTTTTTTTTAATTTTTTGTATTAAATTTAAAAAAAATTTTTTAAGAAATAATTTATCAACTTTCTATGGACCGGTCAACAGTAATGCGTATATTGGATACTTTTTCAGAAATTATTTGCACATTTCAATGTCAGGATCTTGTTGTAGATGATGATAATTAGTTGTTTCTTTTTTGTTATTTTTTAATATTTAATGCAAATTAGGCACGTAGCTAGGAGGGGAGGGAGGGTGGGGGAGACAACAAATCTTTTTATCATTCAAAAACAAATTGTATAAACTACCCTTTTTCAATATATCCAAAATTTAATGGAAATTGTTATTTGCATCCCATCCTTCTACAATTTGTGAAAGATAATGAAATGCGGAGGAAGGGCGGGGTTGAAACAACAAATCTATATTTGTCTTTTAAGAACACGTTGCATAAACAAATTAATGGAAATTGTTTATTACATGAAATTTTTATTCAATTTGCTCAAGAATATGGCTTTATTGATCTTATTTTAATTGAGGAGATTTACTTAACTAGATCGGAGCCTACATGATCTTTTTCAACTGCAAATCCAAGATACAATTTTACTAAAGAAGAAAATTTATCGGGAACTTTTGTCAACGGATTTGTAAACACAGGTTTTGGAACTGATGAAATTTTTAGAGATGAGCAAAGCACAATTGATTGGTTAGCTAAACACGAAAAATGGACCAAACTAAAAGCAGCGGCAGAAAAAGTATCTCAAACAAAAAAGTATCTTAAACGAAATTTTTATTTAAGATACTCTTTCTGCCGCTGTCGCGTTTGGTTTGGTCCATTTTTCGTGTTTAGCTAACCAATCAATTGTGCTTTGCTTATCTCTAAAAATTTCATCAGTTCCAAAACCTGTGTTTACAAATCCGTTGACAAAGTTTCTTGATAAATTTTGTTTTTTAGTAAAATTGTATCTTGGATTTGCAGTTGAAAAAGATCATGTAGGCTCCGATCTAGTTAAGTAAATCTCCTCAATTAAAATGAGATCAATAAATCCAAATTCTTGAGCAAATTGAATAAAAATTTCATGGAGCAGACAATTTCCGTTCAGTTCAAACGTGTTCTTAAAAAACACAAATAGATTTATTGTCTCAACCCCGCCCTTCCTCCGCATTTCATAACCATCTTCTTTCACAAATTGCAGAAAGATGGGATGCAGATAACAATTTCCTTTAAATTTTGGATATATATTGAAAAAGGGTAGTGTATACAATTTGTTTTTGAATGATAAAAAGATTTGTTGTCGTCAAAGCATTAAATATTATTTTTGCGTAATTTCGTGGTATTTTTATTTAATTGCTTTATTTTAATAAATTATTTGTTTTAATTCATTTTTATTATTTACTTTAATGTTTTATTGCATTTAAAATATTTTATTTTCTCGAAATTAATTTTAAAAAATTTTGAAAGTTAATAAAATGACTAATTTTGAAGAAAAATTTCTTGACGGTCCAAATGTTGGTTATTGTTCTTCTTCGGATGATGAACATTCTGTGCCTAAAAAAGATCAAGTTCTAACCAAAAACGCTTCAAAATATCAGAAAACAGAAAGAACTGGACCAAAAGGTGTTTTGGCTGATTATCAACTTTCTGAACAAGAAAAATTTATCGAACAAAGGGCAAAGGAGGCAGCGGTTATTTTTTTTTAATTTTATTTTTTTTTCGATTGTGTTTGGAAGTGGGAGCTGTATGTGCTTAGTTGCGGGGCGGTTGATGCTATTTTGGGCTAATTTCTTCTGGGGAATACTCCATTTTTTGGAATTTTTGTCCTCAAATTTCAAATTTATTTTTTTCATTTATAGCTACTCAAAGAAGCGACTCGTTTTACATTAGAAAATCCACCAAATAGACAAGAGGAGGAGGAGGATGAAGAAGAAATTGAATTGAAAAGAATTAGAGAGCGAAGAGTAGAACAATTGAAAAGTAGAGCAAAGGTTTGGATTTTTTAAATTTTTGTCTGTTTAAGAATTTTAATTATGTTTGATTTAATGACTACCGGTTTTCCTCATTTTCGCCAATAGTCAAAACGATAATCGGGGTTAAATGTGGGAATTGTTTAACCAAGAAATAAAACATCAGAATTTACTTTCCATGGAAAAGGGGGAACAGCTTCTCAAATTTCTCAAAATTTTTTGACTACGGCTCTAAAATATGATGTAATTGGCATCAAAAATATAAGGTTCACAATTATCATCAAAAATGATTTTTAACTTATTTTTGAAAAATTTTCCTGGAAGATCTTTTCCAACCTGGGTGAGCCCAAGAGACAATTCCTAAAAACGCAACGCAAGGCCAAAAATCAACCCCTGTTCCCAACTGAAATGGCGTGTTGTCTTCTACTTATATTAGGTTCAATATACTTTATTTATTTTAAATTTTTAGGGTCAAGTTGTAAAAATCTCTGATCGTTTTGAATTTCTCAATTTAATTGAACAACAATCTCTGGACATTTTTCTTTTTATTTTAATTCATCTTGAAGGAAATGAACGTTGTGAACATTTAAATTTTGCTCTGCTTGAATTATCTGGTATTTTGAATAATCAGGAAAAAATGAAATTTTACAAAATTGAAAGTACTGTTTTGGGAACAACAAATAAATTTGTAAGGAATTTTAATTAAAAAAAAATTTCAAAAATATTTTTTAGACAAAAGAAGCACTTCCAGTACTTCAAATTTATAAAGCAGGACAATTAATTGGAAATTTTATTTGTTTGGATAAGGAGATGAATGAAGATTATGATGGCCAAGATTTGTTTAAATTTTTAAAGAGGTTTTTGAATTTTTTTATTATTTTTGAATTTCATTTAAATTAATTTTTTAGAAATGGAATTTCTTTTGGTTAGTTGCGAGCATTTCACTATTTTAATGGGATGTAAATGTTTTGAATTTTTTATGAAGGATTTTATTACTTTGATGATTTATTGCTTTTGCTTACGGCAGAGGTGGGTCGGAATTCCGATTTCCGACTTTTTTCCTTCCGATTTTCGAAATTTTATTAATTTTGGATTTCTGACACCTCTGCTGTTTCGACCCAATTTTGATTGCAACACTGGCTTCTTGGTCCTCCAAAATTTTCGCATAGGAAATTTTTCGTATAAGGCGCTGAAAAATATAAATATATGTACAGAAAATTTTCGCTCGGGACGATAAATTAAAAGCCGAAGGAAATCCGAAACCCCTCGAAATCCGACCCCCGGCCTTGATTTTAGTGAAATTTTTGGACATATTTAATTCACCTCGATTCCTTCAACTTTTTATGTATTTTTCCAGTCAGCAAACTTACGAATAAAATTTGCTGAGATTTTTTTATATAATTCCTAATTTAATCCTTTCATTTTATTGATTTTATTTTATAAATATTATTGAAAATATATTTGGTTTTTATTTGTTATTTTTATCAAATTTATTTTTTTTCCGATTATTCTTTGAGCTTTTTTTTTATTTTTTTAGATTAATATAATTTATTTTTTAAAATATTTTTTTTAATTTTCCAATATTTTTAAATCAAATATGGACATCGTTTTGCAACATTTATATGAAAACAAAATTATTCAATTTGGAGAATTTGTTCTAAAAAGCGGAAAAACTTCACCAATTTACATTGATTTGCGCAATCTTGTTTCATTACGTGATGCGAGGGTATTTTTTATTTGCTAAAGAATTTTAGAGGGTAAATTGGGATTTTATAATTGATATTTGTAAAGTGATGGTGTAGGGAGGAAGGGAGATCCACAAGTTTAATACCGAACGCTTACTAGGTGGCATAAGTTTAAGTTTTATTAAAAGAAGTGAAAGCAACGCCTCGGTAAATTAATTGGTAGGGCAAATAGTTGTTGATAAGCGGGAGAATCTAACACTAGAGTTCGCAGGATCGTTGCCTGTCCGGGCCATTCTCTCTTACCAGGTGAAGAGTTAATAAATTTTGGGGGTATAAGAGTCCGCAAATTTTGTCCGCAAAAGAAGTTGATTATAATTTTTTATTTAAGAATGATACAGTTAATGCACTTTACAAAATAATTTTGGAAGCAAATATTGAATTTGATTATGTTATTGGAGTGCCTTATGGAGCTATTTTATTGTCAGAAGTATTTTTTAAAATTATTTTTATTCAAAAATTTTTTTCATTTTATTTTAAAGCAAATTGCATGTTTATTCAATAAACCAGTTTTATTAATTCGTAAAGAAGCCAAGTCTTACGGGAATAAAGAAATGATTATTGGACAATTTGAAAAAGGCAAAAAAGTTTTGGTTATTGAAGATGTTGTAACTACTGGCGCTTCTATTCTTGAGACTGTGGCGGAAATTAACAAGGTTTTTGGGTTGGGATAAATTTATTTTTGAATTTTTTCCGCAGGCAGGACTTTGCACAGAACACGTTTTTTGTATTGTAGATCGTGAACAGGGTGGACCTGAAAAACTTGAAGGAAAAGGACTTTTACTTCATAGGTTTATTTTAATTAGTAATTTGGGTGTTTGAAAAATAAAAGGGAAAAATTCTGGGGTTTTTTAGCAGGTTAAGGAGCCGGGTCTCTTCCTTTTTATGGCGCCGCAGGCAAAAATTTTGAAAATTTCGAAAAGAAATGCAATAATAAATTGGACAAAATGAAATCCTGAACTCTGAAAATTATTCAGGATGGATTTTGTATTAGAATTGGGTTTTAAAATTCCGAACAGGACAGGATTCTGCACGATTACGCCTGAAAGTCCTGAAAACTGAAAAAAGGCAGGATTTCGGACAGGAACCTGAAAGATCCTGTGCAGGATCCTGTCCTGTGCCGATCTCTATGAATAACCCATCTTGTGATTTTTGACAAATTGGGATCGAATTTTGAAAAAAAATTTTTGGGATTTCTAGAAATTTTTTTTAAAAAGATTAAAAAAAAAATTTTCTTTTCTAGTCTTATCCAAATGACATCAATTTTGGACTTTCTCGTTTCAAAAGGAATAATTGGACAAAATCGAAGGGAAGAAATACAACAACAATTACTAAATCCCTCAACAGAATCAATTCCAAATATTAACCAAACAACAAAAACTTTTCAACATTTAAATTTATTAGAAAGACTAAAATATTTCCCTGAAAATTCATTTAATTACAAATTAATTAATTTAATGATGAAAAAGAAGACTAATTTGTGTTTGGCTGTGGATAACTTTAATAAAGACCAGATATTGAAGGTTTCTAAATTTATTTTTAATGAATTGTATAGGATAAGAATGGGGATCTCTTCCTCCTTCCGCTTTTTAAAATGCGGTAGAGTTCATCCCTGTTATAGGGTTGTCGGATCAGAGCCGAACTGAAGAACAGACGATTTTTCGGTTAGGTTCTTAAGAAATGGTGTATTTTTCGGTTTCTTGGCTCTCCATAATGCTCAAAGGTGTTATTTTGAAGCACTGCTTCCTTCAAAATTTTTTGGCTTGATTTTTGTTTATCCAAAAAATTTTCATTGAACCGAAACCCTAGAATTTATTAAAGTTTTCTTTGTGGTTAAGTGGGTTTTCTACAGGTTAATGTAAGAGTGTAGTGATTTATTTGGGGGTAAGGTTCGAATCCGCTTGGGGTAATTTTATTTTTTTAGATTGATTTTTTCCTCTAATTTTTTTCTTTAAAAATTTTTAAAGATTCTCGAAAGTGCCAAAGACTTTATATGTGCCTTAAAACTACATTGCGACACAATAGATGGTTGGGATGACGAATTTTCTGCTCAACTTCAAAAGATATCAAATGAAAATAATTTTTTAATATTTGAAGATCGGTTTGAAATTTTTTTTTTGATTAAAAAAATACAAAATTAAATTTTAAGTAAACTTGCGGACACAGGAAATACAATGATTTTACAGCTTGAAAAAGGTTTAAAAATTGCAAAGTGGGCAGATGTAGTTACTGCTTATCCATTTCCTGGTGTTAAAACATTTGAATCGTTGAGGAAAGAGGTTTTTTAATTTTTTAAAATATAGGAAAAGAAAAGTAAAATCTCAGGCTCGGGTAGGGATCGATTAAGGAAGCGAAATAAGAAGAAAAGTGAGGGCGACTCAACCGATCCAAAAGTCGGAAACTTTGAAGCCCTATAATTTTTCGAAATGGGGGTCAGGGCCAAAAAAGAAACCTACTACAATTGGTTTTCGACCATGCTCCACGATGGTATAATTTTTATTTGAAAATTTTTGGTCACAGTTCGGAATGTTCTTTTGTTAGCATATTATTCTAGGCGTTTTCGTTGATCTAGTGTAGAAATGATCTCCCGGTCAATTATGAGTCGGAGTGGGGAATAATTCAGGTTTTGGGTTTGGTTTTCAGAATTTTCTTCGGATCCTCACTCCGGTTCTATATTTTGGATTCTCGCTCGCTTCGATCCTCGCTTTCAGGTTGAAAAAAGTTAACGTTTTGGATTTTGGATAATCCGACCCGTCTATGCTATCGTCTGGCATAAGCTAGGCTTGATCTCCCCTTCCTTACAATAAAAATTAATTTTTTAGATTGTGGAATCACCCAATTACAAACTTTCTGGAATTCTTCTACTGGCAGAATTAAGCACAGAAGGATCTAAAATGGATGCAAATTTAAGTGTGGAATTGGCAGAAAAACTTGGAAATAATTTAATTAGTGGCTTTATATGTCAAAAAAGATGTAGTGAAAATATGGGTTTTATGTATTGGACACCAGGTTTTTTTCAATTTTTTTTTGAAGAAGGGCGTCTTGTTGATGTTTTTTAATTATCCAGTCAGGACTTTTTGAATAAAAAGACTGAAGGATTTTCGAGATATTTAGAAGGAAAAAAACTCGTCAAATTCCCCCAATATGTAAATTCGGTGTAGGTCAGATGTTAATTGGAGGTTCTAAGGAGAAAAGGAGAGAGAAATTACTCGTTTACCCCTTAATTCAATAACTTTAAATGGCCATAACTCGGCCTAAAGTCGTTTTGGAAGAGAAAAGGAAAGTCACCTCGAAAATACAAGCCAGGGGGGGGGATCCTCTATCGAATAGTAAAGGACATACCGAATGGTATCAAGAATAACACCAAATTTTTATACAAAGTAGGCCATGAGGAACAGGCCAACTTACCGCAGAGCTATAACTTTGTTCAGAATTGTCGAATCAGGGACGCCTTGGTATTGTTCGACGCGCCTAGACGAGCTGAATCGAATCATACCAGACCGTCCCGGATTCGACAATTCTGAACGAAGTTATAGCTCTGCGTCAATTTTGGGGTGTACCCTAGGCCATGCTCCCTTGTTAGTCGTTTTCTATAAAATTTTTGAAATAAATTTTTTAAATTTAGGTGTTAGTCTAAATAAATCAACAGATGGAAAAGGCCAACAATGGCGTGGACCTGAACAGGCAATTTTAAATGACGGTTGTGATATTATAATTGTTGGTAGAGGAATTACAGAAGCAGAAAATATTGAAGAAGAAATTAAAAAATATCGAGAAATTGCTTGGAATGCTTATATTGGAGAAGAATAATTTTTAAATTTTTTTAAAATTTAGTTTGTTTATAATTTTTAAAATTTTTTGATTAATTTATACAAGAGATCGTTACTTAATTAATTAACTAAATAAATAAATTAATTTTTTCTTTGTTCCCAACTTGGCCTTTAGAAGACTTGATTATATTGATCAGTTTGACATACTTATTTTTAGTTTTAGACGTGTTTATTTTAATTAATGTATGTTTTGACCATTTTGAGCCTTTTGTGCGTTTTTAATTTTGGGCGTTTTTATTAGTAGATGTTATGATTTTTTACATTTTTAATTTTTGGCATAATGTTTATTCACTAAATTTAAATTCAAAAATTATTTAGGCGTCGAAAAATTTTTTTATTTAAAAAAAAAATTTTTAATTCCATTGTTTATATTTTTTAAATTTATTTTTCTAAATTCAGATTGAGAATATTATTGATCTTTGCAAGAACAACTTACAATTTTAATTAACAAAGGATATGAGCTTTTCTAAAATACCAAAACATGGCGAGTCTGCTCCAAAAGAAGCGTTAGTTTAAAAATTAATTTTTAAATAATTCCAAGTTTTAATTTAAACTTTTGACAAGTAAAAGCAATTAAATTTGTTTTTAAATCGGAAATTTTTGGGCATTTATGGGAGCGGGGATTTTTTATCTTCACTCGATTTTTCACGGAAAAAGTAAATTTAGTGACTTAACTTTAATATTTAACCTGACAGGCCCCATTTTTCCTCCCCAAGTTTTTTCCAATATATTTGCAGAATGGTCAGACTTCTTCCCTTCTTCCATTTCCTATCTATAAACAATCAAAAGGAATCAATTTTTATTCCCCCTTGGATTGAAGAAAAGAAAATTAGGATGGAAGAATGAAAGAAGTCTGACCATTCTGCAAATATATAGGAAAAAACACGGGGAGGAAATATGGGACCTGTCAGGTTCAATAATACCGCTTAATCTAGTTATCGATTCATTTAAAGAAATTAAAAATTCCTTTATAGACACACCAGCAACAACAATTTTGACCAGAGAATTGACGCTATTAGACAACGAAACATTATTGATTCTAAATTTGGATATGAATTATATACTGAATGTTGCCCAAAAAATGGATGGCTTGTTAATGTTCAACAGGTTTCTCTTTAAAAATGTTTTGGTACTACTCATTTTTCGCGGACTTTTTTTTGCGGACAATTTATTCCATTTGCAGTCTGTACATAATGGTCAGACTCCCTTCTCCCTTTCTAAATCCGAACAGGATTAGGATTAGTTATAAAATATCAGTAAATGATGGAAGCAGAACAGTCTACAAATAAAATTTGTCCGCGAAAAAAAGTCCGCAAAAACAGGTCGGGGTAACGGAGCAGTCCATTTTTTAGAGATCGAGCTGAACCTGGGTCTTGGGTTTTTCATGTACCCAGAGTCCAGGTCTTGGCATTTTTTGTCCTTTTTTGGTTTTTCCTGGGTCTATGTTTTTTTTGGACTACAGGCCCAGGATCCAGTCCATGTCATGAAATCAAACTCCAGAGTCCAATAACAGGTCCAGGCTTTTCAAAAATCTCGATCTCTACTATTTTTTAATTTTCATTTTCTTTTTTTCTAGTCTGAAGTTGTCGATGAAAAAACAAAAGTAATCCAGTCTGTTGTAAATTTTTATTTTTTGGAGTCTTGTGGAGGTCGTTTCAAGGTTTATTTTAAAAATTTGAGGAAATTTATTTTAAGTATTTTTTAGATTTCCTATTTGTTCCGTCCTTATCTCTATTTGGAAACTGTTCCAGGAAGTGAATTTGCTGTAGCTGAATTTCTTTCAAGAAAATATCATTTTGTTCAAGTTGAACATGTTGAGAAGGAAAATCTTGATTTGGTATATGAAAAATATTTTTGAGTAATAGTGCCCTTTTTTATTTCCCTTCTTGTGTTTTTAAGAAAATAGGATTATTATAATCCATGGATCTTGCCGTCACAATTTCTTAAAATAGGGAATTCTCGAAGTTTTCCTGGTGTTTGAAAATCGAGATTTTAAATTTAGGTAAAGGTGAAGAATACGTACCACTCACAAATATGGACAAATTATATGTCATTTGAAAGAGCTCGGCGAGAGGAGTTCAATGACACGAAAATCAACTGGCGGTCTCAACTCTGAGCTGAGATACAAGGGTTCAAAATGGTCAAAAACCATAAGGGGACCAAGCTAATTTTCGTGGTCAAAAGGAAGAAAATATAAATAATAGCTTATTCGACACAGCTCGTTGAGCTGTGTCGAATGACACCAAAATCAGCTTTATTTAATGATTCTGAACCAAATTAGACCAACCTAATTTTCGCTACAATAACTGTTTTGGTGTTGCCATGGAGCATAGGTCGGCATTCAAGGCTGATAATCGGTAAAAAGGATAGGATTAAGTTACGAGCCCAGAACCCAGCGACCGTAGACTCCCCGCGAGGCGCGTGCCGCAAAACCCCGCGCGAAGCGCGGGGTTTTGCACAAGCGCCTTGCCGACGCCCATAGGTTTGCGTTGTTTTTGTTTTGTGTTATAACTTTGTCTGTTCCTGTTCAACCACAGCGATTTTGGTGCCATTCGACTCAGCTCGACGAGCTGAGTCGAATGAGCTATTATGTATATTTTCGACATTTTGACCCCGATAATCAGCTTGGTCCCCCTTATGGTTTTTGACCATTTTGAACCCTTGTATCTCAGCTCAGAGTTGAGACCGCCAATTGATTTTAGTGTCATTCAACTCCTCTCGCCGAGCTCTTTCAAATGACATATAATTCGTCCATATTTGTGAGTGGTACGTATTCTTCACCTTTTCCTAAATTTATAGGCAATCCTAATCCCTTAAATCGGAAATTTATTTTTTATGCCGGCAGGACTTGGTTTTGATTCGCAAGCGTCGTCCTCATGCACAGACACATTTGGCCCCTTTCTCTTTTTTAACATTATAAAGTGGATCTACCAGCAATTTTGGTTAAATTTTTTTTCAGAAAAATCACCTTTCTGGACTTAAAAGCAAATATCTTCGTGTCTCATTTCCCAGTACAGTCGAACATGTCCAATTTCGTCGAGACCTGTTTCCACAAATTCGTAAAAATCAAAAAGCAAAGGAAAAATCAACTGAATACACAACACTATTGGCAGAGTATTTTTTAGACTTTTTGTTAGATACTTGTGGGTTCCCTAAACCAACGGGCTCATAATGGTCAGAAATAAGAGTGATTATTACAACTTCCATATTTCCCCCAGGCAATCATTTTTGTTGAATATTGAATAGGGATGGAAAATATGAATTTTCTGACCATTATGAGACCATTGTGATTATGAGTCCACATAAATATGTTCTCAAAAAACTTTCGGATGACCCACAAGTACCCTTAAATATTAAAAAAAAATTTTAATTCCAATTTAAGATATATGGAAGAAGGAAAGGGCGATAAATATGCAGATGTTAGCCCTTTGGAACAAATTATGGATATTCGGTTTTTTTCTTTTTATTTAAATTTTTTTCATTTTTCAAGTGAATATGATTTGCCCTTTGATATGCGTGTTTGTATTGATGGACGCTTCTTTGTTGGACATTGGTATACAGTTGTGGGACTTGATTTGGCAACTCAAAAGCCGTTAATTGAATTAAACTCGTCTTTAGTGGAACCACCAGAGCCAATTGTAAAATTTGATTTTTTGGGGGGTTTTGGGTTGAAATTTTTGTTAAAAATTTTTTCGGGTTTTTAAAATTTTTTCACGTCTTAAATTTTTTTGGATTTTCATTTTTTTTCCCCCAATTCAATTTTAGATTTGTGCCTTTGATATTGAAACAACTAAAGCTCCGCTTAAATTCCCAGATGCTTCAGAAGATCAAATTATGGTAGTTTAAATAGATTATTTTTTACAGTCGTAACTTACTTTCAAAAAAATTTAGGATAGTTTTTTTATTTTGTTTGGACATAGGGCAGAGGAGCTGCTTAAGCGATGCTCTAAATTAGGATACTCACCGTTATAAATAGGGTTGGGGGTTTTCGAGTCGGGCCGACGTTCAAGTCATTTTTTCGGGCTGGCCCGACCGAGTCTTTTTCGGGCCAAAATTCGATGCCCGACTCAATCTTTCGGACCGGACCCCCAACTCTAGTTATAAGATACAATTTTTCAGCCCTCAAAGGTGTATGCCAGGGATAGGGTACCCGAAACCAAAAACCCGGACTTTATTTAACCTGGAATCCGATTCGAAGAACATTTTGAAAGTCCGATCCGAACTCCGATCAGACTTTTTTCTCAATTTGTCCTGTCCCTGGAGTGTTTATAAGCAAAATTGAGGTCCTACTTTATTAGCAAAATTAAAAAAAAATTTTCAAAGATGATTTCCTATATGATTGATGGTTCTGGCTTTTTAATTGTAAATAGACAAATAATTTCTGAAGATATTGACAATTTTGAATATACACCTAAACCTGAATTTGTTGGGGAATTTGTTGTTTTTAACGAGGAAAATGAACAAAAATTATTGTTGAAATTTTTTGATCATTTACTAAAAATTAAACCTTCAATTATGGTTACTTATAATGGCGATTTTTTTGATTGGTTTGTTTTTATTTTTTTGGTTATAAGTAGGCATTTGATCCTCATCTAGATAGTGGTCTAGGCTGTAAAAATATTTAACTTGGGTTAACATTTTCTAAAATATTTTTCCTTCCGACTCCGATCGATTTTGTCAAACCCAGGCTCCGATATTCTCAACTAGAGACCGGCGCGGGACGGGATCCCGACGGGATTTTCCGGGATCCGAGATTTTTTCGGGATTTATCCCTCGGGATCCCGTCCCGGCATCGGTTAAGAAAAAATCCCGACTCGGGATCTCGGAAATTCGATTTTGCCGGTCTCTATTCTCAACCCCGACAGACTCCGACCCCAAAGGATCAGAGTCCTCAGTCCGAGATCAGAGCCCAAAAACTGATCCTTCTGCCACAGAGGAACAGAGGGCCAAACCTTACGGAAAAGTATAAGATGTTAGAAATTGTCAGAAAAATTTTTAAAAATTTAATTGGACGTTTTGTCCATTTTTAAAAATGTCCAGACCCCATTTGCTATTAATTTTTGGACTTAATTTATTTCCAGTCAAGAGCTTTATTTAAGAAATTTTTTTTCTAATTTTAAAATTTTTAAAGGCCTTTTGTTGATGCTCGTGCTAATTTTCACGGAATAAATATAAACAAATATTTGGGTTTTTATAAAGATTCACAAGATGAATATAAACATTTTAATTGTGTACATATGGATGCTTTTAGGTTTTTTTTAATTTATAGGATTTTTGAAAAAAAAATTTTTAGTTGGGTTCAACGTGACAGTTATCTTCCAATGGGTTCACAATCGTTAAAAGCTGCAACTAGAGAAAAATTGCGTTATGATCCTATTGAATTGGATCCAGAAGAAATGGTTTGAAGAAAAATATTTTTTCAAATTTTTATTAAATTTTTGGGAATTTTAAAATTTTTTTTCTAAAAATTTTTGAAAATAGTTTTCAGAATTTTTCAGAAGAATTTTTTGAAATTTATTGAGAAAATTTTTTTATTTTTTTATGGAAAAATTTTTTTCGGAATTTTAGGGAAAAAATTTTCATAAAAAATTTTTTACGAAAAAAATATGGAAAGCTTTTTGATTTTTAATACAAAAAATTTCTCTTTTTTTAAGGTCCCAATGGCAAAAAATCAACCAAAAGTTTTGGCTAATTATTCAGTTTCTGATGCTGTTTCAACTTATTATTTATATACAAAATATGTTCATCCATTTATTTTTGCTTTGTGTACAATTATTCCTTTGTCTCCAGATGATGTTAGTTTGTTTAAAAATTTTTGGCAAATTTTATCTTAAAAAATTTTTAAGAATTTTTTTATATTTCTAACAATAAACTCGAAATTAATTTCTGGATCAACTTTAAAATTTTTTTTTCAATGATTTTTCTCTGATTTTCCCTCTTTTGAGCATAATTAAATGATAAATTTCTCAATTTTAAAGGAAGATTCGAGAAAATAATCATTTAATTATTGATGTGGAATCCGAAGAAAACTCCGATTCGAATCCTGCCCTCAAGAAATTTTGAAATTTCGACTCGAATCTGACTCAACTTTTTAATTTAACCCAACCTATCCCTGTTCTTGCCTAATTTTCATACCTAATTTTGCCTAATTGCCTAATTTTCATGTCTAAATTTTAAATATAAGAAACAAAAATGAATGTTTATGAATTTAGCGCCTTCAAAAAAATTTTTTAAAGGAAAATTTTTGAAAAAATTTTCCATATTTCAGGTTTTGCGTAAAGGTTCAGGAACATTATGTGAAGCTTTGTTAATGGTTCAAGCATTCCACAGCAATATAATATTTCCAAATAAACAAATAATTAAAGAAAATAAAATGACTTTGGATGGACATTTAATTGATAGTGAAACTTATGTTGGGGGGCATGTTGAGGCTATTGAATCTGGAGTTTTTAGAGCTGATATAGCTTGTAGATTTAAATTGGATGTTGAAGCATTGGAACAATTGAAGGTTTATTTTAAATACTTTTCTTTTTTGTGGGGTAGAGTTAGAGGTGGGGATGAGCTGGGGAAAAAGTCGAGTTTTGGCATTTCAAAAATTGCTTTGGATCTGATCTTCGGGGAGAATTTAGCCTATGTCTTGGGGGACCCGATCCTTCTCTAGTGGACTTATTCATTGTTCCCGTTCTCTGTTCTATAAAATGAACATAATTGTAACGATTCTTTTAATTATTAGGGATTTCATTTAAGAAATTTGTGTATTTTAGGTTAGCCGATTGTCAGCCTAACTCATATAAGAATTTTACCTCACATCAAGCAATTTTCATAGGATTTCTTATTTTTTTTTTAAATTTGTTTTGGAAGATGAAAACTTGATAGTTTTATGAGTCCGATAACCTTTATTATCTACTGAAAGTTTAGAGTTCTCATAATTTTTATTGGACTCATAATCTGTATCAGATCCGAATTTTCTTTAAAAAAATTTTTTCTAATTTAAAGGAAGAAGTTCGTCCAACATTAGAACATTCACTTTGTAATGACGCAAAAATATTATTACCAGAAGTTTTAAATTTTGATTCAATTTGTGGACAAATTGAACAATCCTTGAATGCATTAATTGAAAAACCTTTAAGAACAGAACATCCAGAACTTTATCATTTGGATGTCGGGGCGATGTATCCGAATATTATTTTGACTAATAGACTTCAGGTTTGGTGATAAAATTAGAAAATATGGGGTTTAAAAGTTGATAGATTGTTAATGTTCTGTTGTGGTGTATTGGTTAAGGCGTTAGATTTGGGGAATTATGGGGTGTGGGTTCGAGTCCACTTGTTGGATTTTGGTTTTATTTTTCACATAAACAGGCTTAAAATGCTCTTAACAATTTTTTTCAGGTTTTAAATTATTTCAGAAATTTTTTAAACCTTATTATTTACTAGTTTTTCGTTCAAAATTCTCCAGTCTTAACCCTCTTTTGCCCAAAAAAATTTTATCTTTAAAAATTTTTTTCAGCCTCCAGCAGTTGTAAACGAAGAACAATGTATGGCCTGTATTTATAATGCACCTGATGCTAAATGTAAAAGAAAAATGGATTGGGTTTGGAGAGGAGAGTGTAGTGAGTATTTTAAAATTTAATTTTTTGAAAAATTTAATTGGAAATTTTTTTGCTTTTTTCAAGTTCCGGCCTCAAAAGGAGAATATGACAGGCTTATGATGCAATTAGAACAAGAGAGATTTGGAAAACCACCAAAGCCATTTAATGCTTTACCTAAAGAAGAAAGAATAAAAATTTCTAAAAAGAGAATTACAGGTTTTTTTAACTTTAAAAGATTTTTCTTAAAAAATTTTTTGTAAAGAATATTGCAAAACTGCTTATAAAAGATTGCATGATACAAAAATAGAGCAAAGAAATACAACAATATGTCAACGGGAACACTCTTTTTATGTAGATACTGTTAGAGCTTTTAGAGATCGACGTTATGAGTATAAAGAAATGCATAAGGTTTGTTAATTTTTTATTTATTTTTTGGGTGTACGCGGCAGGGATAGATCGTGTTGGAAAAAATTTGGGTCGGGGTTTGATTTCTTTTCAAATATTTCGGATAAAAAAAAGTCTGGTTTTGTGTAATCGGGGTTTGCAAAAGAAAATTGCTTGGGTGGGTTTTCGGGTAATCCAACTCATCACTGATGCGCAGGTCTTCGTATGATTTTGTCCGCAACATTTGTCCGCAAATTTTAAGTTTACCAATAAAATGGCAAGGATTCCCCTTGTTATTTTGAATTTATATTTCTTTAAATAAAAAAATTTATTTAGAAAGCAAAAGCATCAGTAGAAGCAATTCCCTCAAGTCATTTGGCTGATCGTAAATCAGCACAATCTAGAGTTATACTTTATGATTCTCTTCAAATGGCACACAAATGTATTTTAAATTCTTTTTATGGTTATGTTATGAGAAAAGGATCTAGATGGTTTTCTATGGAAATGGTAAGTTAATTTGTTGGAGTTTTTAGGGCTGAAACCGACACTATCCAAGCCTTTCTAAAATATTTTATTGGCTTTATTTTTTAAGATAAAAAATCTGGGGCTAATCCAAAATGATATAAATAGTTTTTACTATTCTTAAGCAAAAAAAAAATCCGCAAATTTTTTTGCGGACAAAATTTTTATCCGCAAAATTTTTGCGGGCAAAATTTGTGTCCGCAAAAGTTATCCGCAATTTTTTGGGTTAATTTTTTCTAATTTAAAGCAATTATGATTTTTCTTTGCTATTTTAAAATTTTAATTTTCTCAATTTTTCAGGCTGGGATTGTATGCCATACAGGTGCTAATATAATTCGCGAAGCGCGTCAATTAATTGAACGTATTGGTAGACCATTAGAATTAGATACAGATGGAATTTGGTGTTTACTTCCAAGCTCGTTTCCTCAAAATTTTGTTTTTGAAATTTTGAATGGCAAAAAAATTAAAATTTCTTATCCGGCCGCTGTCTTAAATGCTTTGGTTAAAGATCGATTTACTAATGAACAATATCATACAATTATTGATGATGGGGAATGTATAATATCTAGTGAAAATTCTATTTTCTTTGAGGTAAGTTGATTTTTCTAATTCAAATTTATGTGTCAATATTTGCGGACAATCCGCAAAAATTTAATATTTGCGGACAATCCGCAAAAATTTAATATTTGCGGACAATCCGCAAAAAATTTTTAATTTGCGGACAATCTGCAAAATTTTTATATTTGCGGACAATCCGCAAAAATTTTTATTTTTGCGGACAAAAATTTTTTTTCTTAAGGTTGACGGTCCTTATTATGCAATGATATTACCAGCTTCCAAGGAGGAAGGAAAAAAGCTTAAGAAACGGTTTTTTTTTATTTTTTATTCATAAAAGTTTAATTTTTTAAAATAGTTATGCTGTCTTTAATTTTGACAAAACTTTGGCTGAATTAAAAGGATTTGAAGTTAAAAGACGTGGAGAATTAGCAATAATAAAGTTTGTATTTTTTTATTAGACCTCATTGTAAAATATATCCGTTACTATATGTCGTAGACGCCGAAAAGTCAAACCCACCAAAAACCCGTCGAAATGCCAAACAGTTTTGCTTTTGCTAACAATAAGCGATACCTCCTATTTAAAATACTCCTAATTGTAAGGGTGTAGCTTATGGGGCTATGTAGCTTATGCCCCCCCCCTTATGTAGCTTATGCCCCTCCCCCCTCCCTGAAATGGGGAAAAAGGAAAAATTTGAGGAGGGGATTGATCAAAAAAGTGGCCCCTCTGAACTCGACTTCCTGGCTACGCCCTTGTCTCATGGTAAAACACAATTTTTTAGTCCAAGGGTAGGAGGTATTTTATAATTAAGTTTTTTTGTATTTATTTAAATTGGGGTCATTTACGACTTGTCAATTTTTGTCTGTCGTGGCTCAAATAGAGAATAAGTAAGAAAGAGTATATAAACCGCCAAAGGCAAGAATTAGTCGGTCGTAAACAACCCCTAATTTAAATTACAAATTAATAAAAAAAATTTATTTTTTAAAGATATTTCCAAACTGAAGTTTTTAAATGCTTTTTAAAAGGCTCTACTTTAGAAGAAATTTACTCAAATGTAGCTTTAGAAGCAAATTATTGGCTTTCTATACTTTATGATCAAGGAAGAGCTTTATCGTTGAGTGAATTATTTGAATTAATTGGTGAAAGTAAAAATATGAGTAGAGCTTTGGAAGATTATGGAAGTCAAAAATCAACGTCTATTACAACTGCTAAAAGATTGGCTGAGGTTTTTTTTTTTGAATTAATTTTTTTGACTTTTTGTAGGACGGACATGGGGAAGGATAGGGGTGTCTTTTGTTTACCTATTGTAGGCAAGGGGATGGTCAGAGTTTGGAGGCTTTGAGTTGGCTTTTTGACCTCCACAATTCTCAAAAATTTTGCCGGGCGCTAACACCCCTTAGAATCGCCTTTGGAGGAGGATGGTGGAATTTTGTGAAGGATGGTATAGTGGGTGAAATAAAAAAATACACGTTTGGATTTTGCAAAGCCATTGGATTTGCTTTAAAAGAATTTTCCTCTAACAAAATTCTGAAATTTTTAAAACACCAAAAATGTCAACTTGTTAAAAATTTTTTGTTTTTAGTTTCTCGGTGAAGGAATGGTCAAAAATCGTGGATTGGCTTGTAAATTTATTGTTTCTCGATTTCCAATTGACGAACCTGTGACGGAAAGAACCATCCCTCAGGCTATTTTTGATTCGGAACCAAACATTAGAAGCAGATTTTTGAGGCGTTGGACAAAATGCACACATTTGGATTTTGCTGATGAAAATGTTTTTAGAGAGGTTTTTTCTATTTTATTTGAGATTTTTTATTGGGATCTAGATCAGGGCTTATCGAATTAAACTTTTTTTATTTCGAAACGAAATAAAATTTTCTGGTTCATTTTTAGTCGAAATGGAAATGGGCACGATCAGGGCTGGTCTAGAAATTCGATCAGCCCTGATCTAGAAATTATTTTCCTTCGGTTTTTTATTTTTCTTTTTGTAATCGAAAGTCCTAGTGTTATGCGAGCTTCGTTTTAAAAGCGAAGGAGGAGATGCGAATTTAGAAAACGTGATTTTGATTCCCTTGTCTTCTAGGAGACTTCCATGCTCTGACCGTTTTTTTTAAATTTTCATAGTTCCACTATTAAAAATTTTTTTAAAGTTAATAGATTGGCAATATTATATTGAACGTCTCAACAGTTGTATTCAAAAAATTGTAACGATTCCAGCAGCTTTACAAGGATTGCCTAATCCAGTACCTAAAGTTCCACATCCACAATGGTTAGAAAATAAAAGGAAAGAACGTGTTGAAATGCATATACAACCTAGAATAACTGATTTATTTAAGGTTTTTTATTTAAAATTTAAAATAGAGCTGAAGAATTATATAAGGAGTTAAGGCAAAGGGTTTTTTTTAATTTTGTTTCAACTAGACCCGAAACCTGATTTGAAAATTTTTTTAAATCTGACTCGAATCTCGATCCAATTTTTTTTTCTCGTATTTTAACATAACTTATCCCTTACATACCATATAACCTTTATTAATTACTTTCCCTCAAATTCTCTCAATATTAATTACTTTCTTATCCAGTGATAGATGGAAACTAATTACCCCTGCCCCCATCAAATGCACTAAAACACGTTAATTACCCTCCCTAGATTAATTATCCCCTCAGGAGGATCGAAACAATAATTACCCAGGGTAGGATCACTTGAGGAATTTTTGTATTTCCTTTGGAGTACAACAAGAATAGATAGATCTTTTTTCTCTCAATACAAGCCTTTTTAATGGCAAAAATTTTTTTTTAATTTTTTAAACCTAATAATTTAATTTTCGTTTTAGTCAATTCCTACAAATACACCAAGAAGCAATAAAACAAAATCTCTTCAATCAACACCTTGGTCCCTAAAAATTAAAAAATCAACCACAACAACAAATATTGAACAAAGTCGAAAATCACTTTTTGGAAAAGAAAAGGAGAATAAGGAGGATGATAAATTGTTACAAATTTTGAATGATGTTGATGATGATATTGGTTGGTTTGGTTATTTTTTAAAAATATATTTTTCAATATTTTCTATAAATTTGAACAGTGGCTTTTAAGTACATGCAAGTGGGATTTAGCATCAGGCAGGCATCGATCTTGCTATTTCTTGGAAGTTATTGCTAGGGGCTTTTACTCACCACGTACAGCATGGTCGTAAAGATTTATTCGAACTTCAAACTTTTTTCGGATACTAAACCTGGTATCCAAGAAATTTTTCGATTCGAACGCCGATATCCCATTCGAGAAATTATTAAGAATATGATGCGAAATCTTTTCGACCTGTTTCTTTACCCTTGGAATTTCTGACGTACAGGTGTTCCACCTATTGAGTTACTGGGGCGCTGCTTTTGTTTTGTAAACGTAATTAGGTTTTCTTCCTTTCTTTCTTACTTATCTCCATTAAATGTCCCTTATATAGAAACGGAAATTTTTCAAAAAAATTTTCAAAAAAAATTTTTTTTAAAGAAAATCAGCCATCTACAAATACTTCTTTAATTGAAAAGCAACAAGTTTCTACTACAACAATAATTCAACAAAATGAAGAAATTATTGAAATTGATGAAGAAGAGATTAATATTGTGGAAATAACTCAACAACAAAAACCAAAAACTAAAAATATTAAAAAACCAGAAAAATCAAAAATTGTAAAACAACGGGAAGCTAAACGTTTAGCAATTTCACAACATTTTTTCAGACGCTTAAATAGAGCTGATTATGATTTGAATAAACAAAGTCTGGTTAAAAAGACTTGGAAAGAAAATGGGTTTAGTCAATGGGTTTGTTTTGTAGAAAATTTTTTGCGGACAAGTTTTTTGCGGATTTTTTTTTTCGGACTATTTTTGCGGATTTTAAAAAAAATATATAAATTATTTCAAGTTTGGAAAAGTTCGACGAACTGACAATGAGTCGAATAATGTAAAATATCTATGTGACTGTATGAATTTTAACGGCACATAACTTGAAAAATTGTCCGCAAAATTTGTCCGCAAATTTTAATTTTTTTTAAATTTTTTGGTAAGCCTAACAACTTTTTTTAGTTAAATTATCTCAAAGACTTGTGGCGTTTTCAATATTTGGCAAGAAAAAGAGAGGAAGAAACTTTGGAAGTAGACAATTCACTTGCAAATATCCCTTCAACAAGTACAGCAATATTGGGAGGAGGACCAGTAGTTAAACGAAAACATTGTTGGCAAATTATTCAGGTTTTTTTTTGATTTCTAAAAATTTTGAAGTTAATTTTTTAATAAAAATTTTAAATTAATTTTTGAATTAAATTTTTTTGGTAAAGGTGACATTTGATCCCATCCAATTTTTCAATTAAAAATTTAAAAAAATCTAAAATTCCTTCAAAAATTTTTTTATTATATTTAATAAAATTTTCCATATTTTAAAAACATTTTTTTCGGAAATTTCTATTTTAGATTAATTTTTCGGAAGAGGTGACATTTGATCCCATCCAGAATTTTTAGTTAAAATTTTAAAAAATAAAAAAAAATTTTTTTTAGATTTTAGAAACCAAATTTCCTGGCCAATTTACTCTATTTGCTTTAGTCGATGATATAATCAGACGAATTAATTTAATAGTTCCTCGAACAGTTTATGTCGACGATATTGAAATTAGACAAAATTCAATAGGCCAATTGGTACAAAAATTGTTACCACGACAAAGACCGTCAGCTAATTTATATGAATTTTGTATTGATGAAGCTGTTTTTTCTACTAAAATGATGTTTGTTTTAATTTCATTTTTTAATTTTGAGGGGGAAAAAGGTGACATTTGATCCCACTATTTAATTCTTGGAGCTTGGAAAAATTTTAAGAAAATTTTTTTTCAAATTTCCTAAAAATTTTCTCGAATCGATTAATTTTCCAAATTAAAAAAGTGTTGTTCTTTGGTGGGGTGTTATAAATTAATTTTTTGGAAGAGAGTGACATTTGATCCCACGATTTAAAATTCTTGGAGTTTGGGGAAATTTTTGAAATTATTTTCGAACTTCTTTGAATTTTTCTCGAACTGAGTAATATTTCCAAATTAAAAAAAGCATTGTTCTTTGATGGGGTGTTATAATTTAATTTTTGGAAGGAGATGACATTTGATCCCACTATTTAATTCTTTGGAGCTTGGAAAATTTTTTAAAATTATTTTCGAACTTCTTTGAATTTTTCTCGAACTGAGTAATATTTCCAAATTAAAAAAAGCATTGTTCTTTGATGGGGTGTTATAATTTAATTTTTGGAAGGAGATGACATTTGATCCCACTATTTAATTCTTTGGAGCTTGGAAAATTTTTTAAAATTATTTTCGAACTTCTTTGAATTTTTCTCGAACTGAGTAATATTTCCAAATTAAAAAAAGCATTGTTCTTTGATGGGGTGTTATAATTTAATTTTTGGAAGGAGATGACATTTGATCCCACTATTTAATTCTTTGGAGCTTGGAAAATTTTTTAAAATTATTTTCGAACTTCTTTGAATTTTTCTCGAACTGAGTAATATTTCCAAATTAAAAAAAGCATTGTTCTTTGATGGGGTGTTATAATTTAATTTTTGGAAGGAGATGACATTTGATCCCACTATTTAATTCTTTGGAGCTTGGAAAATTTTTTAAAATTATTTTCGAACTTCTTTGAATTTTTCTCGAACTGAGTGATATTTCCAAATTAAAAAAAGCATTGCTCTTTGGTGGGGTGGTATAAATTGATTTTTGGAATGGAGCGACATTTGATCCCAAGTAGTTTTAACTTTTTTCGAATAATTTTTCTGAGTTTTTAAAATTATAATAATTAATTTATTTTTAGTGATTTAAATGTGCAAATGTGTTTAATGAGAATTAATGGAATTTATGAAACCAAAATACCTTTAATGTTTAAAACAATATTTCATAGTGGTGTAAATTGTAATATTGATGGGAAAAATGTTAATAATGAATTGAGTTTGGAACAAATTAATAAGGTTGTTAAATTTAATTTTAAAAAATTTGAGAAATTTTTGGAGAATTTTTAAAAATATTTTTTTTGAAAATTTCTAATTTTAAAAAATTTTTGATAAAAAAAAATTTGAAAAAATCAAAAAAATTTTTAAAAAAATTTTCGAAAATTTTCTAAAAATTCTCAAAAAAATTTTTTCAACATTTTCTAATTTTTTAAAAATCAAAAAATTTTCAATTTTTTTTTTGGAAAATTTTCAAAAATTTTCTAAATCTCAAAAAAATTCTCAAAAAAATTTTTTCAACATTTTCTAATTTTTTAAAAATCAAAAAATTTTCAATTTTTTTTTTGGAAAATTTTCAAAAATTTTCTAAATCTCAAAAAAATTCTCAAAAAAATTTTTTTTCTCAATTTTTAGATTGATAACCCTTCAATTTTTCAATTTTCTGATTTTAATTTTTCATCTTTACCAATAATTTATTTATACGAATATTTACATTCTGGCCGGTTAATTTTGTCTTTATTTATGCCAAAATTTGGAAAAGCTTTTATTTTTGTTGTAAATAGAGAACCTGTTGATTTGTTAAATTTAAATAATTTTTATTTGAATGAATTGAATCGATTGTAAGTTTTTTTGGAAATTTATCAAGGGCGTAGTCGGGAGACTGAAGAGGCTAAAGTTCCCTTGAAATGGGGAAAATGAAAAAAGTTTTGGGAGGAAAATGTTAAAAAAAATTTCGAAGCGCCAAAATTTTAGCTCGGGCCCATTTTAGGCCTCCTGGCTATGTCCTTGGGTTCTATTCCAGCCCATAAAAGTGTTTTTAAGAGGGAGTTAAATCAAATCAAATTGAAGAAAAAAGTATTTTAATTAATCAGAAAATTATTTTTTTTAATTTTAGTATAAATCAAAAATTAATTAACGAAGATGAATTTATTGGTTTAGAACAATGCAAAAAAATTTCATCAATAGAAACCTACCAAAATGCATCAATTAAAGATTGTTCTCGGCAACTTTCAAAATTAATTACAAGCTTAAAATTAACAAATGTTGAACCGTTTTTACTTTTAATTCAGTCAAATAGAGTAACAAAGCAATTGTTAAAGGTTTGAAATTTTTAAAAAAATTTTTTGAAATTTTTAAAATTTTTTTTGAATTTTTTTTATAGGATTTCCCTTCACTTGTTGCTTTCCCAAACGTTACTTTAAAGGTTACTGAACCTTCTAATTTGATGAATATATTGGATTGGGCTAATACTATTGTTAAACGATCTGTTCAACACTTTTTTATTTGTTTTACTTATTTGAAGGTTTTTTTTAAATTTTTGAAATTTTTGGGAATTTTTTTTTTTGAAAAATCCCTTTTAAGGCCTAAAATAAATTTATTTAATGTTTTTGCCTTATATATAAGGTAAAAATAAATTATTTTTATTAACGGACTCCGTGGCGCAATGGTAGCGCGTCTGACTCCAGATCAGAAGGTTGTGTGTTCAAATCACATCGGGGTCATTAATTTTTGTTTTTGGTGTTTTTGGGCTGGTAAATGATTAAAAAAATTTTTGGAATTTTTCAAGGCCTTTACAATTTTTTTTGAAAATTTTACCAGGGCCGTATAAATTTTTAAAAAAGTCCTCGGGCCTCTAAAATTTTAAAAGATTTTTTTCTAGGCCTCTAAAATTTTTTTTGAAATTTTTCAAAGCCTCTAAAAAATTTTTTTTGAAATTTTTCAGAGAAAATTTTCTGAAAATTTTTTTGAAAATTTTCAGAGGCCTCAACAATTTTAAAAGATTTTTAAAAAATTTTTATAAAATTAAAAAAATTATTTTTAAAGGAATATTGGTCATTTTCTTCTTATTTGGAAATTCCAATAGGTAATTTACCTGAAGATGTCCCTTCGTTTGGTTTGGATATTTTATTTGCTCGTCAATTAAAAACAAAAAATTATTTATTGTGGGCATCACCATCATTAATTCCAGATTTTGGTGGAAAAGATTTGGATGATTTACGCCTAAGTAATGAATGGGAAAATTGTTCTTTTACTGGAAAATGTTTTGGTGGAGGAGGAGAAAATTATTTAATTAATAAAGAAATATTTGAGGTTTCTTGTTTTGAAAAAAATTCTAATAAAAGGGGTTACTGTCCAATATTTTTTTGTTTTTATGGACCTTTTAAATAATATTTAAAAAACTAATTTTGATGGTAAAAAATTTTTTGATTACGATTTTTTGAATTATTACGGCACTTGTTAGTTTTAAAATATTGCCCAAAAAATCCTTGTGAGCTAGATAGGCAAAATGCCTAATTTAATGGATATTAGAACCAGAAGGACAATAATTAAATATAAAAATATTTTAAAATTTTTCCTTCTTCTTTAGGCTCATTATATAACAGCAGAAATATCAATTGGAGCATTAGCAGTAACAGCATTATTACAATCTGTTAAAATTTCTGAAGCAGAAGGAACATCAGAATATATTGGATTTACTTGTAATAAATTATCTACATTGTCTATTGAAGAATTAATTAATTGTCGAATTGGTGGAAAATATATTAATGATTGTATTGCTGTAAATGGGGAATTGGCTTGTTTAAGAGAGGTTTATTTTTTGAATTTTTTTGAAAAAAAATTTTTTTGGTGAATAAAAAAATAATTGAGGCAAGAAGGGAGAGCGTAGCCAGTAGGTCGATTTCAGGGTGTCTAAAATTTTAGGGGGCCTAAAATTTTTACATTTTCCCCATTTCACTGGGGGTCCAAGAAACCTCCCCCCTGTCTACGCCCTTGCTAACAATAAGAAGAGAGAAAAGGGTTTTTTCTCAGTTTTGAGGCCTTATTTTTGGCCATGAATTTTTTTGATACTTAACCAATTAAAATAATTTTTATTCTACTCAAAAGCTCTTGAAGTTAGGGTATTTTATCTATCAAAGGTTCACTTGATAGGACCATTCTACTTAAAGTTGCAGCTGAAAAGAGGTCAAAAATCACGAAAAATTACGATTTCGAGCGGTTATTCGTCTCTAACTTTTTGTAGAATGATCCAATCAAATTAATTTTGTTAGCTAAAATAATCCTCGCATCAATAGCTTTTGTTTGATATACAACTTGATTAAAGTGGTTAAGAATCAAAAAAGTTATGGCCAAAAATATGGCCTCGAGAAAAATGGCGATTTTTGATTTATAGAAAATTTTCCCTTAAATTTTTATTATTTTTTAAATTCCAAAAAAATTTTTTTAATTGAAAAAAAAATTTTTCTCTTTTTCTAGATGTTCCATCGTTTAGTTAGAGACATTCATTATCGAAAAAATTTAATTGCTGATCAATTGGTTATTAATATGCATAGGTTTTTTTTAAATAATTTTAAAATTTTTTTAATTTTTTTAATTCAATATTTAGATGGATATGTGATCCAAATTCTTTATTATTCAATCCAGCAATTAAAAATGCTTTAACTATTTTAATGAAAAAATTGTGTTTACTTTTAGTTGCAGAAATGCAACGTTTGGGGGCTAAAGTAATTTATTGCTCCTTTAGAAAAATTGTTTTTTCTACTCAAAGGTTTTTTTAAAATTTTTTTAATTTTTTCCTAATTTTTAAAGACATTCCCTACCTTTTGCCAAATCTTTTGTAAATTCTTTATTAATCGAAATTAATCAAAAACCAATTTTTGCTTCTTTACAATTAGGATTAATTCATTTTTCAAGTGTTTTGTTGTGGATAGATTCTGTAAGGATTTTTTAAAATAAAATTTCTAGTGTGCTGCTTATTAGCAAAAATTTGTATCTCTTATAAAATCTGCTTCTAATTCTTTCTTCTTGAAAAATTAAAAGTTTTATTTTGAGAGTAAATTTGGAATATGTTCGCGCGCCTATATTCCCGAATAATGGCTGAATAAATTTTACGAAAAAATTTTTTTTTGGTTATTTTCCCCTAAAATTTTCCCAAAGTCCGTAAGTTTTATATCCACAATATCGTTATTGGAGATATTCTCATATATCTTTAAAAAAATTTAATGTAAGAAAATAAGGATTAGAGATCGAAATTTTGTTCCGTACCGTATTCCGTGCCGTACTACCGATACGGAATACCGATAAATACCGAAAAATACGGCCGTAGTACGGTACGGTCCGATCTCTAATAAGGATGATACTTGCGGAAAAAATTTTTGCGGATTTTGGGGGGATAACTAAAAAGTACCATGAAATTTTCAAAAAAATTTCTATACAGATGTACGAATTTTTTAGAATCGGGAATATGTCAAAAATTTATAAATGCCTCTAAGAATTCAAAAAAAAATTCTTTTTATTAAAATAATTTTTTTTCAAAGTCTAATTATGCTTATGTTTATGCTAGTGAAGATGAGAAAAAGGTTTTTTTAATTAATTTAATTTAAAAATAATTTTTTTAAAGAATGGACGTGTTGAAGCAAAATTTGGTTTAGCAAATAAAATACAAGGAGAAATTAAAAATAAATTTATAATAATGATTGCTGGTTTTGTTGGAATGTTGTGGAATAAAAGGAAGGAATTAAATGAGGAGGTTTGCTTTTTTAATTGTTTTTTAATTAAAAAAATTTTTAATAAGTGTTCAAGGAGATTCTTCGAATACCTTGAATATCGCATCAAAATATTTTTTAAACTTGCCTAACTTTTCGGTTCCTTCCCGGTAAGGGCTATTTTAAACAATATCGAGGCCATATTTTGGGGCATAACATTTTTGATTCTTAACCGATTCAAATTATTTTTATATCAATTGAAAGCCCTTGATTTAAGGATTATTTTGGCTAAAAGGGTTACTTTGATTATATCATTCTACAGAAAGTTATGGTCGAATAAAGATAAAAAACCACGATTATGCGTACTTATCAACGCGCGACTTTATGTAGAATGATCTGATCAAATCATTGTGTTTGCTAAAATGATCTTTACATTCAGAGCTTTCGAATGATATAAAAATTAATTAAATCGGTTAAAAATCAAAAAAGTTATGACGCAAAATATGGCCTCGGAACGTCCACTACCTTTTATTTTCCCTTCCCCTTTAATTTTTTTTTGAAAAAACAATTTTTTTTAATTTTTTAAAGGATTTAAATGACAACCCTCGATTACTTTCACAAATTTCATTAAAAATATTAAAAGAAGAAATTGTTGATAGTTTATTTCGTTTAACAACAAAATTAATTTTATTGAGGCCAAAATTGGAAGAAATGGCTAAAGAAAATTTTTGTTTAGATATTCCGTTGGAATTTGTTAATTGTATATGTCGAGTTTTGAGTGTTAATTTAGCTTTGGAAGAAGTTGTGGATAATTTAAAGAGCCAATTATTGTTAATTATTTACAAGGTTTTTTAAATTGTATTTTTTTTAATTTTTTGGGGGGTATTTTACCTAATAGACAATTCACCGAATAAAGACAATTCACCGGAAAATTGTTGAGTATATTTTACCAAACAGACAATTCACCGAAAAAATGATGGGTGTATTTTACCAAGTAGACAATTCACCGAATTTTTTAAAAAAATTCTTGGGGTGAAAACAAATTCTCAGCGGGTCATAGGGCTACTATTAGGAAGAAATCCCCCGAGGGAAAATTTTCCCCCAAAATTGTATTTTTTGGTTGTGTTTTCCATTTTAAATTTTAGAAAATAGACTGAATTGTTATTCGATGAAATCTCCCTAAATTTATTTACATTTTATCCTTTTAAGGATGGCATAATATCTACAAACCAAAACAATTGGATCCCTCCGACTTGTGTCATTTTGGAAAATATTTTTTGTCAAAAATGTTCACAAAATGGAGATTTGGATGTTAGCAATGATTTTGGTAAAGGAGGAGAAAAACAAGGAAAAGAAGGTTTGCAGAATTTTAATTTATTTTGTGGGTCAATAAATAAATTTTTAAAATTTTATTTTGGGGTAAGTGATTGATTTTCCCCTCCAGATTTTTTATTAAGTATTCCTTTGAGTATATAAGTAATTTTAAACAAGTTTCCCTTGTGTAACTAACAAGGAGAGTTTGCGAGGTGTCCGAGCTAAAAACGGTCGAGACCGGGCTCATTCGATAGAGAATGTGCCCTTTCTAGCAAGGATTTTTTTGCCGTTTTTGCCCGTTTTTTGATCTGGCCAAGATATGGCCTTCCAAAGTCCCAAAATTTGGCATATTTTCCCTTCTTCAAATATAAGCTTTAAATAATGCGTTAATTTTGTTGGCGCTGTGGTGTAGTGGTGAGTGTGCTTGCATTACACTTTTTCTCTAAAAAGGTTGTTGACTTTCTTCAACAAACCTTTTTGGTTAAGGTTGTTGACTTTCTTCATTTTCGATGAGGGTTCGAATCCTTTTGGTTGTGTTTGTTTTATTTTTTCTGTTTTCTTTTAAGTTTTAGGCACTTAATAAATTTTTTTTGTATTTTTTTAAAGTTTACAATTTTTTTAAGTTTTTTGCCACAAAAAAAATTCAGAAATTTATTTTTGAACTGATTTTGTTCATTTTTTTCAGCCAACACCAATAATTTGCCCTTCCTTTGCCCTCATTGTGGAAGTGAATATCCTTTAAGTTTAATCGAGGAAATGTTGGTTGAACGAGTTTCAAAAATGCAGACTTCTTTTGCACTTCAAGATTGGCAGTGTGTTTCGTGTAAAAAGGTTGGTAATTTGATTTATTGGGAATCTAAATAATTTGTTCTATAGGAGAAGAATTTTGAAGGGGTCGCCAAAAGGTCTGAATAAGAGAGGTATTCGAAATTCCCAATAGTAGAAAATTCCTCCATAATGTCAATGTGAGGAAAATCTTTAAAAGGTCCATAAGAAGTTTTCTTTCAAAACGTCCATAAGGACAAAATTTTTCAAAAGGTCCAGAGGGGAAAATTTTTTAAAATGTCCAATAAATAATTTTAATATTTTAAAGATTGGAGCAAATTTTTTGCATCGTCATTGTGAATGCAGCAACAAATTTGAATATACATTAAAGCCAGAGGAGCTGATTCGCAATCTTGAGATGGTGAAAAGAGTAGCGATTAAACATAGATTGGAGAATTTGGAATATGTAATTGAACATGTTACTCGATGCCTTCAATAAATTGAATTTTATAAGTATTTTTATATTTATTTTGAAGATAAATTTTACTTGCTTTACGAAATAATGACTAATAAAATTTAAAAATCAATATATCGATTTATTGATTTTATCGATTTTTTGGAAAAATAAAATTTTTAAAAAATTAATTATCGATTGATATCGATTTTATCGATTAGTATTGATTTTATCGATTTTCTGAGAATTTATAATTTTTAAAAAATTAATTATCGATTGATATCGATTTTATCGATTAGTATTGATTTTATCGACTTTTTGGAAAAATGAAAATTTTTAAAAAATTAATTATCGATTGATATCGATTAGTATTGATTTTATCGACTTTTTGGAAAAATGAAAATTTTTAAAAAATTAATTATCGATTGATATCGATTAGTATTGATTTTATCGACTTTTTGGAAAAATAAAAATTTTTAAAAAATTAATTATCGATTGATATCGATTAGTATTGATTTTATCGATTGATATTGATTTTTCAATTTTCCTGTCCCGCTCCCAAATTCAAACCCGATATCCTAAAAATTTTCACGCACACATTTTGCCAATACCATATTTTGCCAAATCCACCTTTGCCAACAAATGTACATATGACAAAACGCGGTTTTTCAGTTTGTTGGCAAAATGTGGAGGAGACATTTTTGTTTCATATCTAATTACCACGCAAAAAAAAACTACATAAATTTTATTCTTCAAAAAACTAAATTATTTTGTACTAAAATTGTGTGTATATAATTGTAAAGCTTCCCATTCTGCTTTAAACGCTGCCTTTGGATCCTGTCCTTGAGACATTTGTGGTTGTCCCATCATTGCCTGTTCGTCTATTTGGTCTGCCGCGTTTTCGCCTCCCAAGACTAGAGCATAAACCGAGCGAAGACCAAAAACATTCAAAAAATACCAAGAAGCTGAAGAAACCCAGGCAGCATCTAACGACATTAAATCAACTCCTCTTTGTAACATTGGTTTGAAACGAAGGGTTAGAGGGAAGGGGACCTGAAAAAAATGAGGGGAATTTTTATTGGGTTTTTGGGGAAGTTTTAGGTACTGAAGGTCATAAGATCGTGTCTAAAGGTATAATCTATAGAATTTTTCTAGGTCTTCCTTTAATCTCTTGTGGAATTTTAATTTTTCTTGGTCCTCCCTTAATCCCTTCTATTGAAATTTTTCCGTTGGGATGATCAAGGACAGTCATGTCGGTTTCTAAAAAATATTTTGACATCCGGAACCTCGAAAAATCCTCGGGTCTCCGGTTGGGTTCCTAACCGACAACCCTCCTCTAATAAGACAAATAATAGAGGTATTTAAAAACTGAAAAAGAATTTTACAAAACCCCCAAGTGTCAAAAAAAACCCCAAGTGTCCCCACTTTAAAAATTAAATTTAAATTAAGAAACCTTTGTTGTAACAAATCCAGAAAACGTCCAATTAATCCAACCACCAATAAAACTAAAATAAAATAAAATTTTATTTCAAGTTCAACTAAATTTAAAAAATACATCATAGGGATCATATTCAACATATTGCCTTTTAACATTTCCTAAAAATATAAATTGTTAAAAAAATGAGCTTAAATTAAAAAATATACCGTCATCATGGAAGGATCGAATGCCTGAAAATTTTTAAATTATAAGAGAAAAATAATTTTAAAAGATGATTTAGGGTAACATTCTTGATTATAAGTGTGGGATAAAAATTTTAAAATAATTTATAGAATGGAAAAAATAATCTAGAACAGAAAAAAACCAAAAGAAATATGAAAAACAGAGTGATCTCCCCTGTGAGGGTTCGAACCTTAATGGGAAGCTTTCGGAAGTCTAACGCAGTAACCCCTACACCACCGCGTTTACAAACCAAATTTTTTATTACTTGAATGTATATTCTAGGGGAATATCAGATAAATGTCAAACATGGGGAGACAGTCCTCACCCAACCAAAAAACCTCAAAATTTTTTAAAAAACCTCCTTCTTACAGGATTAGGCTGTGACGATTGTTTTTCTACACGTTTAAGTAGTTGTCCATTCTGTTCATCAGCTAGCCAATGTTTTCTCATTCCAAAAGAATTTGAAGGCAAAAAGCGTCCATTTTCTCGTAAAAGTCTTGATTTCATCAATAAATGTCTAAAATAAAAATATGAAAAAAATTCTTTTAAAAATTTAAAAAATACCCATCCTTCACAGATTGTAAATCTCCCTTCTTTTTACCCAAAAAAAGCAAAAATATATAATGACGCAATATTCCAACCAAAAAAGTTATGATGACAATAGGCACAAACACCCACGTTCGAATGGAAGGGTCTAACAATAATTCGGTCATTTTTTTTTTCTAAAAAATCTTTAAAAAATTGATTAAAATAAATGTAAAAATATAACAAATGCGTAGATAAAACGCTAAAAATCACAAAAAAATAAAAAAAATAAAAATTTAAAAAATTTAATACAAAATATCAACTTTTACAAATAGAAATCGATTTTTTTTAATTTCAGAAAATTTTTTAGAAATTTCCAGTCTTAAAAATTTTGAAAATCGCACACTTGATTTCGACCTCGGCCTTGTTTTCTTTCCTGGATTCAAAATCAAGATCAAAGCATTTTTCAGTGCTCCTTGATTTTTCCTCGACTCAAGGTCAAGAATCTGACCAAGGTCCTCAACCAAAATTAAAAAATCTAAGGTCAAAGTTTTTTTCCAAATTCCGATCTCTATTTACAAAAATACTGACAATTTTTATAAAAAGTATTTCTGAAAATTTTTAATTTTTCAGAAATTGTCAGTATTTTTTTTAAAAAAATTTATTTGCACCTAAAATATTTTTATTTTTGAGATTTAATTATTCTTATTGTCAACTAAATTGATTACAGCATCGATTCCATCTACTAGTTAAATTTGTAGTGTCTGGATATCGAAGCCGAAAAGTGTCGGAAAGGCTAGTGTCCAAATTGTTGCTGTCATATTGGGATTTTAATTGACGTGCCAATTCAAAGAAAACTTGATGAAAAAAAATTTTGGAAAATTTTTTCAGAAAATTCTTTTAAATTTCTTAGAAAATTTTCAAAAGAGAAAAAATCCCAAAATTTTGGAAACGAGAAAAATTTTGAGAATTTTTTAAAATCTTTTAGGAAATTTTCAGAAACAAATCTAAAAAATTCCAAAAAAATTTTGAAAAATTCTTTAGAAAATTTTTTCAAAATTTCAAAAACAAAAAATAAAGAAACAAACTTGTGTCAATATTCACATTTGTTTTTGAAGAAACTTCCAAATTTTGTAACATATTGTGTGCCCTACTCAATTGTTCTGCTTCCTCTATTTCTACTTTTCTTTGTTCTTCAGCTAAATCTGCTTTTGTACCTGAAAATTTTTTGGTTAAAATTAATAAATTAAAAATACCAACCAACAAGAATTTTGGCAACATTTGGAACGGCAAATTTTGCAACATCATCAATCCATTTTTGTAGAGATTGAAAGGATTCTGAACTAGTCAAATCCTAATAAATGAAATTAAAAAATTTCTTGAAAGTAATTTTTTAAGGAATAAAATTATTAGTAAAAAATAAGGATTAAAAAAATTTTTTTTCCGTCAGAAGACTATGATAAAATTTTTTTAAATATTTTAAAAATTAAGTACATCCTCTTACGATCTACTGGGACAGACGAGGAATCGAACCTTTCCCCACGAAACTAACAAACCCAGAACTCTACCACCTAACCACACTGCTTTTCCGATATTAAAAATAAAAAAGCGTCCAAGTTCTATTTGAGAAATCGAAATAATATTTAAAAACCCACGAAATTTGAGAAAAAAATTCTTTAAAATATCTATAAATTTACATACATAGCAAAGAATGATACCATTAGCCGAACGATAATATGATTGTGTTATAGTTCGAAAACGTTCTTGCCCGCCAGTGTCCCTTAAAAATAAAAAAAATTTTCTAAGTTAATCACTGATTTTCTATTATTGGGCAAGAAAATGAATTTTTTGGCCTAGGCCTTCCAAAATTTTCAAAATTTTTCGCCTGCAGCGCCAAAAAAATAAATCTGGTTCCACAGACTTCAAAATCCACTTTTTTGGCCTTCTAAAATTCTCAAAACCCCCTTAGCCCTCCCCCGAAAAAAATCCTGGCTTCGGGCTTGGAACCCAGTAATGTAAGAAAGATAGATGAAAAATACAGCCACGTGTGCTTTATTTAAAAAATAAGGTAATGAACAAAAGAGTTTTCCCCAAAAAAATTATTTAAAATAAATACCAAATTTGTAATTTAATTCGTTTTCCATCCATCACAACAGTTTTCATTGTAAAATCAACTCCAATTGTAGTCCCTTGTTTTTCTATATAAGTCCCGTTTTTAAAGCGTTGTACAATACTAAAAATAAAAATTATAGAAAAATTTAAGAATAAATAAACCAAGTTTTTCCAATGCCCATGTCTCCAATCAACACAATCTAAAAAAAATTTTTAAAATTCAAAAAAAAATTCAAAAATAAATAAAAACCTTAAACAAATAATCGAATGTATCTTCAGTTTCCATATTTTCAGGGCAGAACAGAAAATCGATCTGGATATTCAACCAAATCCAAATTAAACGGCTCGACAAAAAAGGATTCTCTAACCGTCCTGCATCAACATTCCTGCTTTTTATTAAATTTCCTAAAAATTTCCAAGAAACTGGGTTAATCGTAGGGAAAAATTAACAAAAATATTTCTAAAACTAGTCGTGAACTAGTCGTTTAAAAAAAATAATTTTTTTTAAATATTTATAAGTGTTAAAAATAAAAATAAATTAATAAAAGTTGATAAAACCAATAATATTTTGTGAATATTCTCATTTTTTGCAATAAATATTCCCATAAAATCATCTAAAAATATCTCCAATTAAAACACGTCTTCGAATAGTTTGAGATGTTCCAGCAGAATAACGAAAAATAAAAGGAATTGTGGTATTCAATAATTTTTGTTGAGTTTTTGAGACTAAAAAAATAAAAATTTTTTAGTAGTAAGGGAAAGGTAGAAGTATGATCCCGAGGAGGCATCGATCTAGGCTTGCTTTTGCTCACACCTATAGAGGTGCTCTACCGATCAGGGCTGGCTGGACTAACACTAAAGGGAAGTCAAAAAAGCACAAGGGTTGGATTTGGAGTAACCCGGCTATCCTTGCTACAGAACAGGGATGTCAACAGGTTGAGGAAACAGTTGGACGGGTCTTTAAAATTCACTTAGGATCGGGTTAAAAAAAGTTCAAGTAAACATACTTTTATCCCTGCTACAGATTGAGCTAACGGGGCGCTGCTTTTTCCTTATCTTTTTAATAAAAATTCAACCCCAGCCTAGTAACCGTTTTTTAAATACTAGCCAAATAGATCTTCCCTTATTCCTTAGAAAATACCCAAAAAATTTAAAAAAAAACCTGGCAAATTATTTGGTTTAATTTTAACAATTTGAGACGTTTGTTGATGTATTTTAGGTTCAACTTTTGGCAAAACAAAATTATTAAATAATTGAGTATTCATATCAAATTTGAGACGTCTTGAAACATGCATTGCACAAATAAAATGAATTGAAATTAATGCATAAGGCAAATAACGAAAAAGAAAATAATTTTGATTTTGTTGAATATGAGATTGAAGCAAATCCATTGAAATAAATATTTTTGATATTTTTGTTGACTGAAAAAATATAAAAAAATTTTATTCAAAAAATTTTTGCGGATACTTTTAAGAATTTACCCAAAAAAATGAAATTTTAACGAAAAAGTGTTATAGTAGATTCTTTACAGAAAAATTTTAACAGATTAAAATTAAACCTCCCTTGTAAATACAACCAAATACATAAGATGACGCCTCCCACTAATACAAAAAATTATTATCCTACAGATAACCCTCAAAACGATTCCAAAGGCTTCACCTTTCAATTTTAAAAATTTGTTTCGGCACACCGAGAGAGTATTCTCGATTGAAATAAAAAATTTTTAAATTCTAACTGCACCAAAATTATGGTTCAAGTCAAGACTTTAACTTTTAAGAATTCACCCAAAAATTGGACCTTCCCTGTAAATACAATCCCTAAATACAATACTCGGTGTGCCAAAACCTACAGATAACCCTCAAATTGAATCAATTCAAAAATCTTTTTGAAAAATCTTCACAAAAAATTAAAAACCTGTTCATGTCCCAACTTAAAAACACTCGCAACATTAACGAAAATTAATTGTTGAATTCTTGTAAATTCTTCAAAAGCCAAACGATTAATTAAATATAAAATTGTGTTTGCTCTTTGTTTGGGTGATTGAACGATTCCTCGACTATAAATTTAAAAAAAATTTTTTCAGCAAAAAATTTCAAAAAAAAAACATACGAATCTTTGTGAAAATCCAAAGTAAAAATTGAATATAAAACATCAATAAATGAAACGGATAAAGCTGTATTGAGTTTTTGTGGTTGTTCTATGTCGTCAGAAGGTGTGGAATTCTAGCAAAAAAATTTTTTAAATAATTTTTAAATTAAAAAAAAAATTCTTACAGAAATCCGCAAGTTTTGTCCGCAAAATTTTTTTATCAAAAAAATTTTATAAAATCAGTTAAATTAAGGAAACACAACATGAAGAATTTTAAAATCTCTACCCAAGCAAGTCTTACTTAATGTCAAAACGTCAAAAAACCTTAACACTCCCCAAGACTGTCGAAATGCCGAACAGCCGAAACTGCCGTCGAAATGCCAAAAATTTTTTTTTAATTTTTCCCTTACCTTTTTAGAAAAAGCAGTTCCAACAGCATTAGCAGTCATAAATTGAAGAGTATTTAGACATAAACGAATATCTGTTCCATGAGTTAATATCATCTCGTTTAATTGATTTTGGTCAATTAAAATTCCTTCGAGACGACAAATCTGTGAAAAAAATTCCTTTTTTTCAGTTCAAAAAATTAAAAAAAAAACCTCGAGTAGTCTAGCTTTGAGTCTTTTTTGATTACACGGCTGAACTTGTAATGCTAGCGAAGAAATCCTAAGTTGTTTTAAATTGGGAGAATTCCAAATATTTGAACATATACAAATAACAGGACGAAGAATTGAACCATTAGAAGAAGAACGTTTAGTCCAGCTACACAAAAATTGAATCTGAAAAATATAAATAAAAAAAAATTAAGAACAGACAGGAAGCAGAATTATGGAACAGCCCGGTTTACGTAACAGTCCACGTAAAAATAGTAAGAAAGTCGGACCATACTCGACGAGCAGCCCTTTACAGCCCCAATTCTATCCTCTGCGATAAATAGAAATGTCACGGGTTGGGTAAAAATCTGGCCAGGATTCGGGTTGAAAAAAGTTTCACGTCTAGGGTAATCCGTGACATTCCTTGTAGATAGGGTGTACCCTCTGAATGCCAAAAATGGACAAACTTAAAATCTAACCAAAAAAGGAATGGAACAAATCCATGCCTATTTTAAAACAAGAAATATCCCTCCCGAATAAATTAAAAAATCAACTAACCATGTCAGAAGTAGCCAACTCTAATCCTTCAATTATAAAACAAACAGGTTTATCTTCTTCTGTTTTAGGTGTTTGTTGTTGTTTTTGCATTAAAAAAAGACTTGAAATTTCTATTGAATTTATAGCATTCTCCATTCTATTTCGAAGTTCGGCAACATTTTGGATTTCACTTTAGAAAAAATTTTTTTAAAATAAAATAAAAATTAAAAAAACCTTATTTGAATAGAAAGAGGGCGATAACCCAATTGTCTTGCAACAACAAATGCAAGGGAAGATTTTCCAGCACCAGAAGATCCATGAAGGACGAGAATCTGTAAAAAGAGTTTTGGAATGAAAAAAATGTATTACTAAAGAAAAATGTCCGCAAAAATTGTCCGCAAGAAAAAATATATTTGCGGACAACTTTTGCGGACAAATTTTTAAAAAATATTTTGAAGCCAAAAATTTTTTCCAATTTCTTCTCGAAGCATTTAAAGAATAAAAAAGTCAAACCCTTTGTTTGGGCAACACAAAACCTCCACGCAAGTGATCAATTTCGACAAGCTTCTTATCCTTTTCTTCCAAAGATTCCCAAAAGACAACTCCTCCCTTCTTTTTAAAAGCAAGACCATCCCAAAGGCGTAACCAAAGCAATACCAAACGATTAGTTTCCTTAAAAATAAAATTTTATTAAAATTAGCAAATGTCCGCAAATTTAGTCCGCAAATAGAAAAATACAATTTGCGGACAACTTTTGCGGACTAATTTTTGCGGACACCACCCCTTACAATTAAAAATGCCCTCACAAATTTATAAGTTAAATTTCTTGGAGTAATGTTCGCAAAAATAAGTCCGAAAATATAAAAATAATTTGCGGACAACTTTTGCGGAAACTCCTTAAAAATAAAAAATTCCTTACATCATCAGACAAAAGATCCAAAAAATTGTTAGGAGCATATTTTTCAGTCCACAGAGTCCTTGAACTATTTTTAACTTCCAAAATTTCATCATCTTCCATATTAACATCCCCAAAATTGTTAAATAACCTCTCCCTTTTTTGATTTTCCATTCTTTCAAATAAATTGTAGTAATCATCCAAATCTTTTATTCTATCTTCTGTTGAATCAATTTTGTTAATTTCTCGTCTCTTTTTGTTATTTTTAGGTTTTATTAAAATATAACGTCGAAAGACTCCATCGGGCGAATTTATTCCATACCAGGCACTTCCGTCCATTGGTGGCATTTTTAATAATTTTGTTGAGCTAAAAAATAGAAGTCGTTTAGGTGACTATTTTTCATCCATCCCAAAAAACTTCCAAATTTGCCTCCGACACAAAATCAACAAAAAGGGTCAATTGAGATAAGTATCCAGCTCCGCTTTTAAACCTCCGCCAAAGTTGTGTATGCCTACCACCACTACTTCAATTTTCAATACTTTAACGGACGTCCCAAATTAATGTCCGCAAATACATTTGCGGATATCCGTAAATAAAAATATTTGATAGGAATAAAAATTCCACTTCCCCACAGCTATAGTACAGACAAAAAATATCGGAGCATTTGTTCTAAAAAGCAGAGCCAGGTCCGTATCGCAATAGACCCTTAAGATGCTTTAATGTCGGAGCCAAATGTACGGGAATTTCTGGTGAGATAAAAATGTGTCACATAAACGACAATTTTACCTTGAATTTTGAGTGACTCTTGATTGAATAATGTTAATGCCTTCGTTTAAAGATGTTGTTTTTGAATTTTCTTGTCTAGCTTTAAGTATTCGCTGCGCTACGCGTTCCAATACATTTTCAATTTCTATTTTACGACGTTTGGTACGAACTTCGTCTTCTCCAACGTTGAGATGCCAATCTTAAAAATAATTTTTTTAATAAGGGAGGGACTTCAAGGGAAAAACTAAAGCTAATTTTCGATAAAATTGAAAAGTCGTGGTTAGCTACCACTAGTAGGGTTGGGGTTTTCGAACCAGACCGATCGGGTCTTTTTCGGCCCAAAATTCTATGCACGACTCAATCTTTCGGACCGGGCCCCCAACCCTAACCACTAAATCTCCAAAACCCATTTCTTTTCGATCCCCTCTCACCTCAAAAAACCCCCAAAATATAAAAAACTTAAACAAACCTAAAGGCGATTCACTAGTAAAAATAGATTCCTTTTTCCCTTCATAATCTCCAAATAAATCACCAAAATCATCTTCTGTCCTCTTACTTTCATGAATTTTTAAATTTTCTGGATTATTTGGTTGAATTTTTGTTCCTTTTTTATTCCTCTTGTATTTCTTCTTTTTTCCTTTACCAGGCAAATTCTCTTCAAAATTGTTATTTTCTAGCACATTTTGATTGTCTTCTTGATAAGGCAAATTATCGTCATAAGCCAATTCTCCAAATCCAAAAGCATCATCGTCCATTTTAATTGAGAAAAATAAAATTAAAAAAGAAAAGTCTCTAAAAATAAGCAAAGAATTTTTAAAATTGACAAAAAAATTGAAATTGAAAAATGAAAATTGGAGTTAGATTGAAGGCGAAAATTAGATGTCCTGTATGGAAGTCTACGAGGAATTTAAGAGAATCTGTCCAGGAATCCTTGGTTTTAGTTCATAACCGCATGATCAGAATTTACCAAATTAATCCCGCGCGATCCCACCAATCGACATTCTGAAAAAAATTGAAAAAATCCCAAATTGAAAACAAGACGTTTCAACGCCGAAAATTTAATAAAGCCAGTTCATCACCAACTGGTCGCGACCGTTAGCACAGGCCATTTGGTCGCTAGCCATTTGGTCACAGACAAGTTCCCCTAAAGTAAAAACACGAAAACAAAGGGAAATCTCACCCTTTACCACCAAACAAAAGAAAAATTTTAAACAAAATTTTATTCAACTACAAAATTTACAACACAAAACGCACACAAGTTATATATACATTAGAAAATAGCAACAATAGTGGGTACAACAATGAAACCTGCAACAAATACAGCAATGGGTATATACACAGAATGAAGGATATATTTATTTACATTGAATCTCTTATATAGAACACACAGTATTTTATCTATATTCATCATCTCAAGGTTTTTATTCCGCAATTAATGGCACATCGATAGAGAATTCTGGAACTTCTCCAGTAGTGAATGCTTCACGAGCATCTTTGCAATCGGCGTCGACAAGCATGAAGAGAACTTCTAGGCGATCGTCACTTTTTGGAGGGCCATCCTGTGAAAAAAAGAAAAACGTTTTTTAGTGGTTACTAATTAGACCCGAGACTCACCAAGCGAGTCACTTCAACTTGTGGTGCTTCCATCGGCTCGACGAATCCATAGACGGCGCTCACACGGTAGTGGACGTTGTTAGTGGATTTGACCTTGAAGCAATAGCGTCGCTAAAAGGAAAAACATTTTTAAGGCCCCTCAAACTGGAAAAAAATAAAACTTGCCTCAGGGCAGTCGTTCATCATGCGAAACGAAGAAGTGCCACCAGACGCTGCCAATTTGATCATCTCAGGATCTACGGAAATCGGCACTGCCCTCATTGAGAAACTGCTCGGAGCGCGAAGATGTTGTTGTCGTTGTTGTTGACGAGCCTTTTTCACTCTTCTCTCTGGACGAGTTGCTACAAGTTGTGAAGAGCGGGAGGGTGAAGATTTTTGATGCAAACTCGACGCTTTTATACTCCTTTGGATTCTTAAGGCCTTGCGGGTTTCTATAAAAGCCCAACACTTTCTGCTGCCAAATTCAAACTCCAATCACTACCATTCACACAAAGCCTGCCAGCGTGCATTGTTGTTGCTGTTGCTCTCATCTTCTCACACAAGCGGTTCAGTTCAACTATGGCTGCAACTCCTGTGACAGTGAACCCTCCTTCAATCGAGGTGCCTGCTGCTGCTGGGAATGCTACACTTGAGCTGACGAATTCGGCTGCTGAGGTAGCTTTTCTTTAATTTTTAACTACTTCGTCCCCTCTTAATCTCAATTGCTCTTTTCAGGTTCGCTACTGCTTCAAAGTCAAATCGACCGACAACGCCCACTATCGTGTGAAGCCCGTCTTTGGGTTTGTTGAAGCTGGCGGTGCAGGCCAACTTGAAGTGACTCGACTGGTAAGCTAGCGCCGCTTCCCCTAAAAATGCCCCATAAAATTTTTTTTCTATCTCTTTCAGGCTGGTCCACCGAGCAACGACGATCGACTGGAAATCCTCTTCTTGCCTGTTGATGCTGACACTCCTGATCCAAAGGCGCCATTCTCTGCGGGAACTTCACCTGCCTTCGTTCTTGATGTGCCCTTGATTGCTCAGTAGTAAAGCGGCCAACAACAGCAACATGAAGGAAGAAGAAGGGAAAGGATGATTAGTTAGTTAGTCTCTCTCTCTCTAAAAATGTTGATTCTTCTGTATATATAATCCATATATTTGTGTATATTTGTTGGCCATATAATCAACCCAAATTCATATTGTATATATATTTTTTGTTGTTGATATTTCCCTCAAAAACCTTCTAATTGTTGTATATATATGTGTAGATAAATGCTGATTTTTGTAGTTGAGTGTAGATTACGTCCGAGTAGTTTTGCCCTCACCAATTTTGGCAGACGCTCGGGTTTTTCCGTCTTTACTAGGGGAACTTGGGATCCTAAAACTTGAGGGGGAAGACCCTATTCTTAAACGACAGACGGTGTAAACCGACTGTTTTCCCCAATTACTCGGTACTTGACGTACTCTAGTTGAGAGTTTGTTCATAAATAGATGATCAAGCTTTTAGGATGGCAAAATCTAAAAAAAATTTTTGATTGCCTCTTCCCCATTTCACCTTTTAAAATGCGGCGAGCCTATCGCCGATATATTTATTGTCAAGAAACCCCTATCCAAATCACAAAAATATTTTCTTTGATATTTCTTTCCAAAATTAAAAAAAAAATTTTTAAACAAATCCAACCAACCTTACTTTTGAAAAAAGAAAAAATTAAATTCATATTAAGTAAATTTTAATACATATTCTCCCCTTCTGGCCTTTTCCCAATTCTATGGAACCAGAGAAGCCACGGCGCATTTTACCTTCAACGGATGCTTTTTTGGACACTTTTTTCTGTCCACACCGTGAATTCATTTGGTGCCATTGAACAGAAAAATGAACCAAGAAAAATTTTGAGAATTAAAAATTTCATTAGAGGAATTATTTAACGAAAGTAAAATTCAAATGAAAAAAGTTTGTAAAAAAATGAAATTTGGGACCAAATGTCATCATCATTTTAAATTTAAATGAAAACAAATTTCACAATAAATTGTCGTCCCCAAAATTCCCCTATTTTTAAACAAAATAAAGATTAAATTTTTTGCACAAAAATAGCATGGATACACACTTGCCATTCTTTGTTTGACCATTATGAACTCTTTTAAAGAAGGCAAACTAGTAGAATTTTGAAGAAAAATAGAAAAAAGAGGAAAGTTTCCAAAAATATTTTTCTTAAATTAATTCATTTAACGGGAGATTCAGGTTCGATGTCTGACACCAAAAAAAATTTTTTTTTAGTCAGGCGATGGGGAAGAAATCAAGTCTATTAGCAAATCTTAAGGCTCTCTATTTTTCCTCAAAATTTTCCCCATTCTGCCTTTTTAAAAAAAATTCCCCTCAAATAAAATATAGCCTAAAAAGCTGTTGGTGGTTGATTTAATCACACCGCAAAAAAATATTTTTTAATGGTTATAAAAATATTTCTGAATTAAAATACTAACAACAACTAGATGGCGGTTGGAGGAGAAGGGGATATTTTCACAGTGCGCGATTTTTGAGGATTTTGAAAAGAGTGAAAAATAAAAATTTTCGGATATATTTATTCTTCAAAAGAGAAAAAAGAGATTTAAATAAAAGAGAAGAGATTTTGGTGTGTTTTTGTAGTGGCAAGGCGATTTGCGTGATGCTGCTGCCCTCAATTCTCTTTCACAATGAGGTGAGGAAAAAAAGGTATTATTAGTGGTTGAGGGGGAGTATGTGCGCAAAAAGAAAACGCAAAAAAATTTTCTCAAAAATTTTCTTCCCAAAAATAATCTTTTCCTCTAAAATCATCTTTTAAATAGACCCCACAAAAATGTCTTTATTTACAATCGAAACTCTCTCTATTATACACCCCCCCACCCCCAATACAAGATACCCCTTCATCTAATGTACGTTTTCAAAAACTTGGTTGGTCATTGGCAAGGAAAACTAGAATCCAAGAGCGATATCCTCTATTTAAGAAACCCCTCATTATAAGGTAAAAATTTTCAAACCAAGGGGTCCTAAAGTGAGCGACCTCTATTTAACATAATTTTTAAAAGTCGGTTGGCTTAAGTGGAGGAAGAACTGCCCAAAAGCGATACCCCTCTATTTAAGGAACATTTCATTATAAGAGACTAATTTTTTAACTCGTGTGTATCCTATAATGAGGTCCGACTCTAATCTCCGCATAATCTGAATTTTAAAACTAAAAAAATTTTCCGGGGATTTGCGCTATCTTTTTGCGCACACTAACACTGGTCAGACAAATTTAAAGGAAAAAATGTGTAAGAATTATTGGGAAAGAAGAAGCGGATGTAGATAATAAGCTAGTATATTTTAAGTAAAAAAAAGGTGTGAGCGAAGTGAGGAAAGAGTAAGTAGGTAGGGGTAGTAGACTTATTTTAAGACCAATTTAGAAGGTGAGAAAAGAATAAAAAGGAAGGTGTTGAGAAAATGAGTGAGGGTATTTTTAAAAAGAGGCGGGGGGGGGGGGGGCTGGACAATAAAAAATAGAAAATCCAGAAAGAAAAATATCCAGAAAATAACCAACAGGCCAGTCGACTTTTTTATTTATTAAATTTATTTTCATGAGAAAAACACACAAAAGAGAAAAGCGCGAAAATTAAGAAAAGGTGTGTTGTTGTCCTTTACTTTTTTTCCCTTTTAAAATTTTTCCCCTTTTAACGACTTTTTTTCTTATTAAACGACAATTTTCCTATAATGACAAATTTTCCCATTCAATTTTTATTGTTATCCAAAAATTAGTCAGAAAAAAAAGAGAACGTGAAAAAATTAAAATAAGGGATTTTATCCGTTAACTACACAAAGGAAAAAATTTTAAAATTTTTTTTAGACAACACACAATTTTTCTAATAACAAAGTAGAGCATTTAAAGCCGAAACAAAAATAGTAGAACCTAAAAGGAATCGAACCTGCAACCCATACCGACAAAATTTGATTGTTAGCCTAACACACTACCTCTAAGCTAGAGATACATTTAGGATTAAGAGACTTAAGAAAGGTTTTAATTAATTATAAATAAGACTTAATTAAAAAACGACAGAATAAAATTTAAAAAAATCTGAAAAAAATAAAAAAAAAGGATTTTTCTAGAATCCGAAAAGGTTGTTATTCTTATTTTTATTTTATAAAAATCAAAAAAATTCCGGCGCCAAAATTTTCCCTAAAAACGCCAAAACACCAAAAAGTGCTAACCTAAAAATTCCACTAAAAATATGAGGGGCCTGGACTAAAAAATAAAATAAAAATATTTTTAGCACACAAAATTAAGGACACAAAAATAAAAATATTAATCGGATATACAAAAGAGAGAGGAAATGCTCTCAACAAAAAATTATTTATTTTTCTCTCCCTCTCTCAACAAAAATTTTACCTCACCAACCACAAAAATGCTCTTAAATATTTATATTATTATTATTTCCACCCTTAATAGTTGTCATGATTTATTTTCCCTCTCCTCCTCTCTTTTGTAAAATTTTTACAATTATTTTTGGTCGATTTTTAATAAAAAAAAATTATTTTTTTTGAGGAAAATTGAAAAGAATTATTGGTGACAATAAAAAATAATAAAAATAATAATTTTATTTTTCTATTAAAAATCAGGACTGTGCGCCATAAAGTTTGGCGTTTTCAGTTTGACCGGTTTTTAGCCCTCACCTCATCAAAAAAAATTTTGAGGGGTTACAATAAAAATAAAGGGGAAAAAAAATTTTTTTTTGAAAAAAATTTTGGCGTTTGGCCCAACAAACAAAGTTTTTGGCGCACATCCCTGATTGAAAAATCTTCTCTCCTCACTCGAAAAAAAATTTGGCTGTACCTTAGTACGTGGGTCCCGGAGTTAATATACAAATGTTATACCATTCGAAAGAGCTAGTCGAGCTGAGTCGAATGCCACCAGTTTTAGCCCGAGGAAAAATTTTTGGACCGAGATATAGGTCCCTAAAATTTGAAAAAGCATAGGGGGACCAAGCACTTTTTTGGGGTAAAAAATTCGAAAAATGCAAATAATACCTCATTCGAAAGAGCTCGTCGAGCTGAGTCGAATGACACCAAAATCAACGAAATCCGACATGATTGGACAAAGTTATGATTTTTTATTTTAGCTCCTTACCTTTGGCATCTGCGGAGATTTTTGCTGCTACGGAGGCCCCAAATACGTCAAGAGCAAGGGAGATAGGAATAGGTTTATGTTACGAGCCCATACCCACACCCGTAGAATCCCCGCGAGGCGCGTGCCGCAAAACCCCGCGCGAAGCGCGGGGTTTTGCACAAGCGCCTCGCCGATGCTCCATAGGTTTAGGTTTTTTGTTTTTTGTATCATAACTTTGTCTAATCTTGTTCAATCACGGTGATTTTGGTTTCATTCGACTCAGCTTGTCGTGCTCTTTCAAATGAGGTATTATTTGCATTTTTCGAATTTTTCACCCCAAAAAAGTGCTTGGTCCCCCTATGCTTTTTCAAATTTCAGGGACCTATATCTCGGTCCAAAAATTTTTCCTCGGGCTAAAACTGGTGGCATTCGACTCAGCTCGACTAGCTCTTTCGAATGGTATAACATTTGTATTTTAACTCCGGGACCCACGTACTAAAGTAACCCCAAAAATTTTTTTGGAGGCCTCGAAAAAAATGAAGGGGAAAAAAAATTTTTGAAAAAATTAAGAGTTTGGCCCACCACACAAAAAAATTTTTTTTATTTAATTCAGACGATAGAAAAATAAAATAAAAATTTATTTTAGAGGCTTTAGAAGAGTAGAGTAAGAGAATAAATAAAATATTATTTTTGTAAAAATGAAAAAAAATTTTTTTGTTTTCACAGCAGCTCACGCTCTCTCCGAGAGAGTTTTACCAAAAATAATAAAAAAAAAGGTTGGTGAATGGATTATATTAAAAATTTTTGTGAATGAAGAGAAATTGGGAAGGGAGAAGGACAAAACGAAAAATAAAATGATGAGGCTTTTCAAAGAAGAAAATCAATAATTTTAATGATTTTGAAATTTAAAAAGGCACTTTTTTGCTTGGTTAAAACAAGACCAAAATTGCTGACCTAGAGATCGAACCGTGATATGATTTGGAACTCGATTCTCGTACGATACCCTACTAGTTTGTTCCACACAAAAATATAAAATATCCCTTTGAAACTGAAATTTGTAGAGGAGGTTTATTTTCAATTGGTTTAGGCAGCAGAGATGTCAAGGAAAAAGAAAAAAAATCGGGTAGGGGTTCGGATCAGTTTTTTTTTAAAAATTTCTAGTGTCGGATATAAATCGAATTTTTACGGGTTTAGGATTTAGAGTATCTAATAACCCGTGACATCCCACAGTTAAGGTAGATCTCTCCTGCCTATAGTGATGGGAGAGGAGCTGCAGCAAGCTACATAAATCTTAGAGGGTCTCTGCCTAGTATTGGATAACTGAAAATTATAATTTTAAAAAATAGGAGAGGATAAAGCAGATAAAGAGAGAGATCAGTCATTTAAAAATTTTTGCAACTACAGGATTAAGAAATAATAAAAAAAATTCTAAAAGGTGAAAGACCAAAAATTTTTTAAAAATATAAAATTTTTAAAATATTCAACAAAAATTGTTTTTGTTTGTGTACAAATTTAATAAAAAGGAGAGAAAATTGTGTTGTTGTTGTTGAGTACGCAATTTTCTACTAAAAAATTTTTTTTCTGAAGGACAACCATAAAATAACCCCAACACAAAAGGTAGAAAATACAATAAAATAGAAAAGAAAAAAAATTTTTACAAAATTGAAGAGGGAAAAATGAGTGGAGAGAAAAATTGAGAAAAAATAAAAATATAAAAGTTGCCAACAAATAAAAATTTAAATAAATATAAAAAAATTTTTTTTGAGGGAAGGTGTGAATAACTCGGGGTTTGGGGCCTGATTTATTTAAAAATTAAAAATTAAAAAAGTGAAGAAAAAAAGAAATTAAAATAAAGAGGAGAGGAATGAGGAAAAGGTTTTTACATATAAATTAAAAAAAAATTTTTTTTTAGAGGCGAGAAGGAAAAGTTAAAAATAATTCTAAAAGGTAACAAGTTTGGGGATAACGTGTTGAGAGGGGACAGAAAAACTTTTTTTTTAATTTCCCTAGAAAATTATTTTCTGGTAAACCTTTTCCTTTTTTAAAGACCCCTGTTCAAAAAAAAATCTTTTTTTTGTAATCCCACGATTTTTGTTCTATTCTTGGAATATAGTAGGAAGAAAAAGAAATTAAAATAATGAGGAGAGGAACAGATAAAGACCCCCCCTAGGACCAATAAAATATTGAGGAAAAAATATTTTTGGACCTAATCCTGAAATAAAGACCCCCCTCCCAGAACCGATAAGTATTGGGAAAAAAATTTTCTTGGGCCTAATCCTTAAATTTGTAAAGTTTTAAGAACAATTTCAGTCTAGCCTTAAAAAAGAATCTTTAAAAAATTAGACCAAGTTTTTTTTAATTTTTTTTGAAGGACGCTCAAAATCGGCAACATTTTTATTTTTTATTTTTTCTAGTCAAATAATTGCCCACTATTTTTAGGAAACGAAAAAAAATAAGTGCAAAATTAAAAAAAAATTCGCTCTAAAACTAAAAATAATTGGGGAAAATCTACTGGAAAAGAAGAGAGAAGAGGATTTTTGTGTGCGCGAAAAAAATGAGAGTGGAGGAAAGGGATTAGAGAGAAGACTGAAAAAAATGTTTTTAGGGAGGGGGGGGGGTTGGTTGTATTTTTAAAAAGAAAGACAAAAAAACTTTTTATTTGTCATTTTATTGTTGCTGTTGTTGGAGTGGAAAAATAAGAGAGAAGGAAGGAAGGAAATGGTAGAAAAAAAAGTTGGGTGAATTTTTAAAAGATATTTTTGGGGGAGGAGGAAAAGTAGAGGGGAGGAAGAAGGGAATGGAGGAATTTTTAAATTTTTATAAAATTTTTCAAAAAAATTTTTTTTTGGAAATTTAAGGAGGCTTAAAAATTTGGGAAAATAAATGAGAAAAATAAAAATAACGAAGAGCTAAATAATGCGCAAAAAAATGAGTAGGGTAGAAAAATTTAAAAAAAAATTTTTTTCGAAAACAAATTTGGGAAAAAAAGGATTTTATGAGTCGGTTAGAATTTTCTGGGAAGAAGTTTGATTTTTATAAAATTATACGAATGAAATATTCAAAAAAAATTTTTGTTTTTGTTAAAAAATTTTTAAAAAATTTCAAAAAAATTTTTTTTGAAAATTTCCAAGACTCCAAAAAATAATTTTAAAAAGCGAAAAAGCTGACTGACTCATCACGGAAATTGAATCATCCAAAAATCAATTTTTAATTTAAATACAAACTTCCCCCCAAATTTTCTCTTCTATTCATGTTTTCGCGCAACAGAAAGAAAAAAATGATGATTGATTAGGACGATGATTGATGGTTTTTACTACTTTTAATTTAAAAATAGAGGAAAGGAAAGAGTGAATTAGCGCAATAAATAAAAAGTTTAGGAAGGTATTTTGATAGAAAATTTTTTTTAAAAAAACGAAGCCTAAAATAACCACGTCGGGCTAACAACGGACAAGTCACGGATCGACAAAGTCACGGAATGTCCCAAAAACATAAAATATTTTAAAAATCGGAATTTTTTTTGAAAAATCAGAATTTTTTTAAAAAACAGAAATGTCGTTCCGTGAACTGTCCGTTCCGTAATTTGGAATTCATCGAGTTGGCCCCACCCAAAATAACAAAAAAAAATAAAAAAATCATCCGAATCCTATACAAAAAATCTTTAAAAAAAATTCCTGGAAAAAATCTTAATTCTATAAAATACCCTTAAAAATAGAGAAATCACTCAAATCCTAGACAAAAAAAATCCAAAAAATTCCTAAAAACAGTTTACTCGCGGCCAAAATTTAAACAAAACCCAAACAACTATTATGGACAAAACCAAATAAAATTAGGTATATATTTTTAAAAAACCTCTCTCTCCTGTAAATTTCATGAATTTATTTTTCAACACCAACAACTTCTTCTCCAGTATCCGACGTTTCACATTCATCATCTGTATAAGTTCCACCAGTTTTCGAAGTCCATTCAGCAAGAACAACCACTTTCTCTTCTGATTTGCCTTCTTCTCCCTCTTTCTTTAAAAGTTAATTTTTAGGTAATTTGACTCTTTTTTGAATAAAAATAAACCTCAGTTTGTTGTACAGTGGTCACCGTCTCCCGACGATAAGAAGTTGAAGTTCCACGCAAACCCCCAGCAAAAAGACAAGCCTTCGCCTTTAAAGGAAAAAGAAGGCATACTCACGGATACGGCAGAGAATGCACACGGATAGGTAATATCAAAAAGTACAGCGGTTATAAAAACGAAGGTTAGGATTCCAAAATAAAAACTATGGATATAACCCAAAATTTGTTATCCGGATATTAGATTTCATTAAGCCGTAAGGAAGTTAGAATTCCAAATAACTTCTAAAGTTAAGCTGGCCAATGCACCGCAGAGCCATGACTTCTTTCTAATTTAAGTGGTCTGATCCGGAAGCCTTGGTTTGGTTTGATGCGTATTAACGAGCTGAATAGAACCATACTAACTCAAAGCGTCGCGGATCCGACCAGTCTGAACAAAATTATATTCTGCGTACATTGGGATGTACCCATTTTTAATACGTTCACGTCGACGTCTATAGGTTAGGGGAACTCGGAACCAGTCTCATGTCAGACGGGAAAAGTAATTTAGAAGTAATGAAAGTAACTCATACCCCCTCATAAATAAGTTAAAAATATTATACCACATGTCCGCGTTTACCACAATGATAACATAGAGGACTAAATTCAGCAGTTTTTGTGTTCCAACCAAGTCTCTTCTTTGAATAAGCAAATTTGCCGTCCTCGCGATTCGTAATAAGGCGGTCAATCTAAATTTTTGAGTCAAAAACTAGTAAAAAATTAAAACCTTTTCCTCAATCAGCATTAACTGATTCTCCTTTTGCTGATAATATTTGTCAATTTTTGCAAGCTTCACAGCGCTATTCTGACGAATTTCATGTTTGAGCTTCTAAAAAAGGATTTAAAAAATGAAATAATTAAAAAAACTCAAACCAATTCAAGGTCAAGAATAGCACGAGCCAGAAGTTGTTCATCTATAGATTTGTCAGGCATTGTTTTAAAAAAATGTTAAATAAGACTATATAAATCACTGAAAAAAAGCAAACAAATTAAATGGAAAAATAATTAAAAATAAACCGGATCCGGGTGTCCGGATGACGGGTATTTTGAGATTCTGATCCGTAAAATCTAGTCCGGTTTAGAGAAAACTTAAAAGTCGGGTTTTATTTTTTCTATTTTTACTTTTAAAGCCAAGATTTAAAATGAAAGAAAAAGGTTTACAGTAAGAAAAAACTACAAAAATGAAATTGTAAAATTCAAATGGTAAACTGTTCGAAATGTCAATTTCAAAATGCCAACATTAAAAAATGGCAAAGGTCAAACGGATAAAGATAAAAACAAACAAGCGACAGAATGTCAATAAGGGAAAACTAGATAAAATGTCACTAAAGGAGAATACGACAAAATGCCAACTTAGAGAAAATTAACATATTGTCAACAAGGAAAAAATTAATCCCATCAAAAATGCCGATTAAAAAATATTTTCAACAAGTTAAAAATTGTTTTCAAAAAGTAAATAAATTGAAAAATATTTATGCAAAAATCATCAAAAAATTTTAATTTTTATGTGAGGATTTGTAGCGAGGATTTTTCGAGGATTTTCAGAAATTGTGGCCAAAGATGTTAATTTACTGAAAAAATAATACATTTATTAAACCATTTATTCATCATTTTGAATCATTTTTATACCAAAATTGTTCTTTTCACATTTCTTTGTAATTAACGTGTGGATTTCCATGCATTGCCTCGGCCTTCTTTATAACGTTTCAAAAGTGCAGTTAATTTATTTTTTGCCTCAGTATTTGGACAATCATGAAATCCGTGAGATCCTTGAAATATATAAACGTATATAAATCTTAGGATTAGGAAGATAACTGACCCTTGCACGCATAGCATTCGCGAGGTGGCTGTGCAATTCTTTGGAACCTGGCCCATGCAACCTGAATTTATTGCAATTCAGATTTAAAAAATATTAGAAAGCATTATATTTAAAATTTACCACATCCCGAGGCCAACGGCCTGACGGCACATCTTCTTTTCGCCAGAAGTCAATTAAAACCGGGCAGTTTGCCACACGGTGTCCGCGAATTCTGCAAAATTTGCATTCTTTATTGCATAACCATCCACCAGAAGCAGTGCCTCTACAAAATAAATACCGAAATCTAAACACTCTAAAATTCAAAAGTAACCTTAACTTATTTTTCTGACAGTAAGCAACTGTATGGTCAGCGCTAAAACAGTATAAACAATAATTCGCTCTCGGAAATGCAGGAAATGTGTAGTCGGCATAAAAATTTCGACGCGGCTTAAGTTTTATTAGGACCACAATATCGAAGGACTACTTATGCCGTGTACACACCAGGCAATTATCTTAAGGGTAGATTTCGGGGGATGTACTACAGACAAGGTACCTCAACAGAATATCTGTGGTATCCTTCCAATTTCAATATAATTTATGCTAAAGATAGTCTAGCAAAAAAACCAAGTGAGAATTTATGCCAGGGTAAAACAACCAATTTGTGGGGAGAATTTATATCATCAAAGATAGCAAAAAAGACAACTATATTACGAAAAGAGCTCAAATACTTGTTTTAACTATAAAAGAGTGAAAATTCTGAGACCCCCATCCTACGGAGCATGCGCTCGTGTACACAGCATAAAAGAAAAAATAAAAGAACCACTTCGTTCCAACGCTCAGTGTTTGAGTTGCCACGGCCTTCATACTGTCGAGCATCCTTAATTTTACCACATTGAAAACTTTGACGACTAAATTCAGCCGTTTTTGTGTTCCAACCAAGTCTCTTCTTTGAATAAGCAAATTTGCCGTCCTCGCGATTCGTAATAAGGCGGTCAATCTAAATTTTTGAGTCAAAAACTAGTAAAAAATTAAAACCTTTTCCTCAATCAGCATTAACTGATTCTCCTTTTGCTGATAATATTTGTCAATTTTTGCAAGCTTCACAGCGCTATTCTGACGAATTTCATGTTTGAGCTTCTAAAAAAGGATTTAAAAAATGAAATAATTAAAAAAACTCAAACCAATTCAAGGTCAAGAATAGCACGAGCCAGAAGTTGTTCATCTATAGATTTGTCAGGCATTGTTTTAAAAAAATGTTAAATAAGACTATATAAATCACTGAAAAAAAGCAAACAAATTAAATGGAAAAATAATTAAAAATAAACCGGATCCGGGTGTCCGGATGACGGGTATTTTGAGATTCTGATCCGTAAAATCTAGTCCGGTTTAGAGAAAACTTAAAAGTCGGGTTTTATTTTTTCTATTTTTACTTTTAAAGCCAAGATTTAAAATGAAAGAAAAAGGTTTACAGTAAGAAAAAACTACAAAAATGAAATTGTAAAATTCAAATGGTAAACTGTTCGAAATGTCAATTTCAAAATGCCAACATTAAAAAATGGCAAAGGTCAAACGGATAAAGATAAAAACAAACAAGCGACAGAATGTCAATAAGGGAAAACTAGATAAAATGTCACTAAAGGAGAATACGACAAAATGCCAACTTAGAGAAAATTAACATATTGTCAACAAGGAAAAAATTAATCCCATCAAAAATGCCGATTAAAAAATATTTTCAACAAGTTAAAAATTGTTTTCAAAAAGTAAATAAATTGAAAAATATTTATGCAAAAATCATCAAAAAATTTTAATTTTTATGTGAGGATTTGTAGCGAGGATTTTTCGAGGATTTTCAGAAATTGTGGCCAAAGATGTTAATTTACTGAAAAAATAATACATTTATTAAACCATTTATTCATCATTTTGAATCATTTTTATACCAAAATTGTTCTTTTCACATTTCTTTGTAATTATCGTGTGGATTTCCATGCATTGCCTCGGCCTTCTTTATAACGTTTCAAAAGTGCAGTTAATTTATTTTTTGCCTCAGTATTTGGACAATCATGAAATCCGTGAGATCCTTGAAATATATAAACGTATATAAATCTTAGGATTAGGAAGATAACTGACCCTTGCACGCATAGCATTCGCGAGGTGGCTGTGCAATTCTTTGGAACCTGGCCCATGCAACCTGAATTTATTGCAATTCAGATTTAAAAAATATTAGAAAGCATTATATTTAAAATTTACCACATCCCGAGGCCAACGGCCTGACGGCACATCTTCTTTTCGCCAGAAGTCAATTAAAACCGGGCAGTTTGCCACACGGTGTCCGCGAATTCTGCAAAATTTGCATTCTTTATTGCATAACCATCCACCAGAAGCAGTGCCTCTACAAAATAAATACCGAAATCTAAACACTCTAAAATTCAAAAGTAACCTTAACTTATTTTTCTGACAGTAAGCAACTGTATGGTCAGCGCTAAAACAGTATAAACAATAATTCGCTCTCGGAAATGCAGGAAATGTGTAGTCGGCATAAAAATTTCGACGCGGCTTAAGTTTTATTAGGACCACAATATCGAAGGACTACTTATGCCGTGTACACACCAGGCAATTATCTTAAGGGTAGATTTCGGGGGATGTACTACAGACAAGGTACCTCAACAGAATATCTGTGGTATCCTTCCAATTTCAATATAATTTATGCTAAAGATAGTCTAGCAAAAAAACCAAGTGAGAATTTATGCCAGGGTAAAACAACCAATTTGTGGGGAGAATTTATATCATCAAAGATAGCAAAAAAGACAACTATATTACGAAAAGAGCTCAAATACTTGTTTTAACTATAAAAGAGTGAAAATTCTGAGACCCCCATCCTACGGAGCATGCGCTCGTGTACACAGCATAAAAGAAAAAATAAAAGAACCACTTCGTTCCAACGCTCAGTGTTTGAGTTGCCACGGCCTTCATACTGTCGAGCATCCTTAATTTTACCACATTGAAAACTTTGACGACTAAATTCAGCCGTTTTTGTGTTCCAACCAAGTCTCTTCTTTGAATAAGCAAATTTGCCGTCCTCGCGATTCGTAATAAGGCGGTCAATCTAAATTTTTGAGTCAAAAACTAGTAAAAAATTAAAACCTTTTCCTCAATCAGCATTAACTGATTCTCCTTTTGCTGATAATATTTGTCAATTTTTGCAAGCTTCACAGCGCTATTCTGACGAATTTCATGTTTGAGCTTCTAAAAAAGGATTTAAAAAATGAAATAATTAAAAAAACTCAAACCAATTCAAGGTCAAGAATAGCACGAGCCAGAAGTTGTTCATCTATAGATTTGTCAGGCATTGTTTTAAAAAAATGTTAAATAAGACTATATAAATCACTGAAAAAAAGCAAACAAATTAAATGGAAAAATAATTAAAAATAAACCGGATCCGGGTGTCCGGATGACGGGTATTTTGAGATTCTGATCCGTAAAATCTAGTCCGGTTTAGAGAAAACTTAAAAGTCGGGTTTTATTTTTTCTATTTTTACTTTTAAAGCCAAGATTTAAAATGAAAGAAAAAGGTTTACAGTAAGAAAAAACTACAAAAATGAAATTGTAAAATTCAAATGGTAAACTGTTCGAAATGTCAATTTCAAAATGCCAACATTAAAAAATGGCAAAGGTCAAACGGATAAAGATAAAAACAAACAAGCGACAGAATGTCAATAAGGGAAAACTAGATAAAATGTCACTAAAGGAGAATACGACAAAATGCCAACTTAGAGAAAATTAACATATTGTCAACAAGGAAAAAATTAATCCCATCAAAAATGCCGATTAAAAAATATTTTCAACAAGTTTAAAATTGTTTTCAAAAAGTAAATAAATTGAAAAATATTTATGCAAAAATCATCAAAAAATTTTAATTTTTATGTGAGGATTTGTAGCGAGGATTTTTCGAGGATTTTCAGAAATTGTGGCCAAAGATGTTAATTTACTGAAAAAATAATACATTTATTAAACCATTTATTCATCATTTTGAATCATTTTTATACCAAAATTGTTCTTTTCACATTTCTTTGTAATTATCGTGTGGATTTCCATGCATTGCCTCGGCCTTCTTTATAACGTTTCAAAAGTGCAGTTAATTTATTTTTTGCCTCAGTATTTGGACAATCATGAAATCCGTGAGATCCTTGAAATATATAAACGTATATAAATCTTAGGATTAGGAAGATAACTGACCCTTGCACGCATAGCATTCGCGAGGTGGCTGTGCAATTCTTTGGAACCTGGCCCATGCAACCTGAATTTATTGCAATTCAGATTTAAAAAATATTAGAAAGCATTATATTTAAAATTTACCACATCCCGAGGCCAACGGCCTGACGGCACATCTTCTTTTCGCCAGAAGTCAATTAAAACCGGGCAGTTTGCCACACGGTGTCCGCGAATTCTGCAAAATTTGCATTCTTTATTGCATAACCATCCACCAGAAGCAGTGCCTCTACAAAATAAATACCGAAATCTAAACACTCTAAAATTCAAAAGTAACCTTAACTTATTTTTCTGACAGTAAGCAACTGTATGGTCAGCGCTAAAACAGTATAAACAATAATTCGCTCTCGGAAATGCAGGAAATGTGTAGTCGGCATAAAAATTTCGACGCGGCTTAAGTTTTATTAGGACCACAATATCGAAGGACTACTTATGCCGTGTACACACCAGGCAATTATCTTAAGGGTAGATTTCGGGGGATGTACTACAGACAAGGTACCTCAACAGAATATCTGTGGTATCCTTCCAATTTCAATATAATTTATGCTAAAGATAGTCTAGCAAAAAAACCAAGTGAGAATTTATGCCAGGGTAAAACAACCAATTTGTGGGGAGAATTTATATCATCAAAGATAGCAAAAAAGACAACTATATTACGAAAAGAGCTCAAATACTTGTTTTAACTATAAAAGAGTGAAAATTCTGAGACCCCCATCCTACGGAGCATGCGCTCGTGTACACAGCATAAAAGAAAAAATAAAAGAACCACTTCGTTCCAACGCTCAGTGTTTGAGTTGCCACGGCCTTCATACTGTCGAGCATCCTTAATTTTACCACATTGAAAACTTTGACGACTAAATTCAGCCGTTTTTGTGTTCCAACCAAGTCTCTTCTTTAAATAAGCAAATTTGCCGTCCTCGCGATTCGTTATAAGGCGGTCAATCTAAATTTTTAAGTCAACGTCAAAAACAAATAAAAAATCAAAACCTTTTCCTCAATCAGCATTAATTGATTCTCCTTTTGCTTATGATATTTGGCCAGTTTGGCCAGCTCTACAGCACTATTTTGACGAATTTCTTGTTTAAGGTTCTAAAAATAAAACATTAAAATAATTAAATAATAAAAATCAAACAAGTTCAAGATCAAGAAAAGCACCAGCCAGAAGTTGTTCGTCTATAGATTTGTCAGGCATTATTTTAAAAAATGTTAAATAAGACTATCTAAATTACTGAGGAAAAAATTAAAAAAAAATTATAACTCAGATTTAAAATGAAAGAAAACAGAAAATGGGTTACAGTAGGAAAAACTACAAAAATAAAATTGTAAAATTCAAATGGTAAACTAGCCAAAACGTCAACCGACAGTTGGGCAAAATGCCAAAATTAAAAAATGGTCAAACGTCAAAACGAGCGACAGAACGCCAACAAGGGAAAACTAGACAAAATGCCACCAAGGAGATAGGACAAAATGCCACCAAACGAAAATACGACAAAATGCCAGCTTAAAGAAAATTAACATATTGTCAACGAGGAAAAAAGTCGTTGGGCAAGTCTCATTAATTAATCTCCATCAAAAATAACAATTAAAAAATACTTTCAACAAAATTAAAAATTGTGTTTTCAAAATTAAATGAAAATTTTAAAAAAAATTTTATGCAAAAATCACCAAAAAAAATTTTTTTTTAATTTTTATGTCGAGGTGTAGAAATTGGATTGGGCTATGGTGGTAGATGGAAATAAATTGCTTGTTTGTTATATGGAAGATGTTAAGTTGCCGTGGTCGCACGCTCTTCGCACTGAAGCTTCTGCATGACAGATTAAACCAAACCTCGGAAGAATAAAATTGAAAGCTGGTCATGGTGGGGGAAAACCTACAAATAAAATTGCTGGTTCTAAAACAACTAAAATTTTAATTTCGAATTTTACGATTTTTAAAAAATTTTTAATTTAACTTTTGAAGCCAATACTAAACTTAATCCCCCGCCCACCCACCCACAACGGAATCCATCTAGATCACCTAGAACATTCCCAGGCCTCTCTTAAAGAAAACCAAATTTCCATATATACAAATAATTAAATAAAAATAACGAAATTGAGCATTCAATCAATCCATTTCAAATCAAGGACCCGTTGCAAAAATGAGTACATATCCACAAGTTCATCAATCTAAAAAGATTTTTTCAATAATTGTAAATTGAAATTTAGAACAAACTATTTTGGCTGTTGGCTTTCCAGCGCCATGGCCGGCTTTGACTTCAATTCGTCCAAGGACGGGTTTGGTTTGCCAATCAGAAGCCTCATTTTGGAGAGTATAATAAAGTTGAGCCAAATATTTGAGTGTATGAAGAGGCACAACACGGTCGTCATGATCGGCACTTGTAATTAACATCGCTGGCCATTGTACATTTGGTTGAACTGAGATCTGGTGGAGAGGCGAATATCTAAAATCAAGGGACTAAATTTTTGATTTGAATAAAAAGGCATACTTATAGATAAAGTCAAAATCTTCAGCGACATCGGGATTGCCAAATTCAGGTATCCAGGCTTCACCAATTGTGAATTTGTGAAACCTCAGCATGTCAAGAACACTGAGAAAATAAATTAAAAACCTTCAAAAAGAGATATTGAAAATACCCAACTCCAACAACCACAGCACCAAAAAGATCAGGCCGTTGTTGTGCACATACAGCAGTCAAAAGTCCTCCATTTGAATGTCCATGAATGGCTAATCTAAAATTTTTATATTAATCACAAAAGGTAAAAAATAAAAATACTTTTGCGGTTTGGTGTATTTAAGCCTAACAAGTTCTTCAGCTGCACAAATAAAGTCATCAAAAACATTTTGTTTTTTGTCACGCATTCCGCCTTCGTGCCATTTTTCTCCATATTCACTAAAAAAATAAAAAAAATTAATCTTGTTATTTCCAAAATTTAAAAACCCTCCGCCACGAATATTTGCAATAACATAAACACCGCCAAAATGTTTAAGGAAAAGTAAACGGGAAATGGAAAAATCAGGCTGTCTTGATATGTTGTAGCCACCATAGCCATATAATATTGCCCCATTGTTTCCATCCAATTTCAGAGCTTTGTTATGGAGAACAAACATGGGGATCTTAATTGAAAGAAAAATTTAAAAATAAACATTAGAAAGGGAAGGACATGGTTAGGCAAAAAAACCCAGCAAATGACAAATTCTGCAAAGATTGTAACTCCGCTACCAAGGTGCAAATTTTCCATGAGTTGCGACAATTTAAGTCAGGTCTGGGTTCTTTTTTTACAATCCATAACGGCTTACGTCCATATTCACCTAATTCTAAACGCTAATCTCCCCCAAAACTAATCTGAATTTTTAGTTAAAAGAAACCTTAGTTCCATCCTTGCTTGTATAAAATATCTGTTCTGCTTTGAAGTCCTCTGATTTAATTCCTTTAATTTGAGTTCGTCGCATTTCAGTTAATTTAATTGGAGTTGAGATTGAAGAACAATTGGCAAAATCGCCTTTGTATATAATTGAAGGTGTGAAGAATGAGGTAAAATAAATGAAGATTTCTGATTTATTTTTACGTCCAGAAACCCCAGCAATTGTTCCAATATCAAAAGGAATTTGATAAAGTAGTTTCCCATCTGATAAATCATGAACATAAAGGGTGTTCTGAAAAAAAAAGAAAAAGAACTTGTTTGGTCTCCAGAAAAATAGCTCAGATTCACCAAAAGTTACGCAATGTCTTCCCCTCCTCAAAAATTATCCTTTCCCTGACCCATGGAGAACAACACTATCAGTCTTTAAAAACAAAAAAGTAAAATAATAACCTTAACATCTTCCATATAACAAACAAGCAATTTATTTCCATCTACCACCATAGCCCAATCCAATTTTCTTTTTGGATCTTCTTCAATAATCACTTTCCAATTGTCGTTTTGATTAAGAGCTGCTCCTTGGCCTAACTTGACACGCACAATTTTGAACATTGGGGCATTGAAATTGGTCATTATTACCGCAGAATTATTATCAGAATCAATTTCCTAAATTTGAAAATTTTTTTGAAATAATTTGAAAACAAAAATTATTACAGAATAAGTGGCATCAGATTTATCGAATAAAGGAGCAAATTCCAATTTCCCCTCAATTTTTGTTTGAGTTGTTAAATCAAAGTAATACAGTTGATTTTTTGGATTACATCCCTTAGAAAGGGTCATAAAAAGAAATTTGCCATCATCAGAAACCCAAGCATTAATAAAATAGCCAGGATCATCTCGACGTTCATAAACCAAAACGTCTTCTTTTGAATCGGTTCCAAGGCGATGGAAATATAGAGAATGGTACTCATGTTTTTCCGTTGAACTGCCTTCAGTAGTAGTTTTAAGTTCAGGATATTTCTGGAAATTATGAAAATATTTTAAAGCTGCAGTATGTGTGATGGGCAGGCACATCCAGCAAGTCGGCGGGGCCCATCTTCCCTCGCCTAAAGCCTTTAAAAATCCCCAATTCTTCTATGTGCAAGTATGGAAAAAGAAAACCAAAGTAACTGAGCTTTGAGTATTTCTGACTTATTAAGATTACTATACCGAATAAAACACCCCAGAGTTGTCGTGCAACCAAGACAATCCAGAAAATTTAACACCAGGAATCACATCGGTCAATTCTTCTCCAGTACATTTTTTAAACTAAAATTTTTTTAAAAATTCCCCAAATAAAAAAATAATACTTTTATTGTTTTCCAATCACTTCCTTTTTCACTAACACTATAGGCTAGTAGTGTTCCATCTTCAGTCCAAGAAGTGTGAGATAGAGAAGTTGTTCCATCCTCTGACCAGGTGTTTGGATCCATAAAGACTTTGCCTTTTTCATCCAAAGATTTTTGTTGATACAAAACACTGCAAAGTTTAAAAATAAAATTAAAAAATAAATTTACTAATGATTTTGAAGACCAGAATTGTAAAAGTAATAATAATAATCGCCATGAATCGATGGACAACCAAACTTCTCATAGTCCCAAGTTGAAGTCAAACTGAAAATTTAAAACAATTTAAATATGTCTATTTTGTAGATAGAGGCTCATGAGGGGTTTCTTATTTTGGGAGTGTATAGAAAAAAGCAAGTTTTAGTGTAGTGGGAAAATGCTAGATTCATTGGGGTGCTGGGTGAAGGTTCGATCCCCGCCGGGGCTAAATATTTTTTAGACTTGGCTTTCATTATTTAATGAATAATAATGAACTTCTAAAATATTCCCCCTCCCAAAAACTATTTTTAAAAGTATATAAAATTTAAAAATAAAAAAAACCGTTCGCTGAAAACTTCTCTGCAAGAACATGCTTGAAAGAAAGGCTCTGATATTGAATTAATCTCCTGAACAAAATCTTTTGTAATTTCAGCGTCCGGCTCTTCTAGCGCTCTATACGGATCCGGAATCTAACAAACAAATTTAAAATTAAGTTTAAAAAATCTTTAAAAAACCTTCTTTCCATGGTAATCATCAACAACATTTCCTCTTTCAACCAAAGGGTAACATTTTGGATTAATATTAATAGAAGAAGACGACATTTGTGGAAATTTTGAAGAAGAGAATAAAGCTAATTGTTGTTTGAATGGAAGTAAAAATCTTCTTTTATTACTAGATTTTGAAACGAAAAAACGACAATTTAGCAAAACGTGTTTAACAATCATTGAAAGACTAAAAAGCAAGAAAAAAAAAACAAATGGTTAAAGTGTTACAAACAATAGAAAACGATGTTAAAAAGCTAAGTGTATCTCGGCGTTAAACGGGTATCTTACAAATTGATACGAGAGTGATTAACAACAAAGCCCTATGGAAAAACTAAAATGCATTCGATCATCCATATTTTGCCAATTCCACATTTCGCCAATAAGGCTAAAAATCGACATTATGTCCTACTAAAAATATTAGTAAGTCGACATTTGCCAATGACACATTTTGCCAATAGGGGCAAATTCTAACATTTCGTCAACCCAATACTTTGTCAAGCATAAAATAAATAAAAATATTGTTTGTTATCTTCAAATAATATAAAAACACAAAATCAATCTCGGCATTAAACGATTATCTTACAAATTAATACGAGAGTGACCAACAACAAACCCAAAGAGAAACATAAAATCCCGTTGTCTCTCCATATTTTGCCAATTCCACATTTTGCCAATAAAGCTAAAAATCGACATTTTGTCACTAAAATCTCATATTTAGCAAGACATTTGCCATCGAGACATTTTGCCAATAAGGGCAAATTAGGACATTTCGTCACTAAACTGCACAATTGGCAAGACATTTGCCAATGACACATTTTGCCAATAAGGGCAAATTCCGACATTTCGTCAACCCAATACTTTACCAAGTAAAAAAAATTAAAATAATATTGTTTGTTATCTTCAAACAAATAAAAAAAAATAAAAACACAAAATCAAAACCCAAATTTTTATTCAAAATATTTAAAAAATGTGTATTATTATAAGACAATGTTTTAATCACGAGGAAAAAAGTCCTTTTTAAAGTTAGTCACAATTAAAAAATTGAAATTTCTTTCTTTGATTATTATTTGTGAAGTGGTCAAGAGGCGATATAAAATTAAGGTTTTTTGGAGTTTTTAAAGATTTTTTTCCTTTCTATTAAAAAAAGAAAATTAATTACGAACACTTCAACTGAGTTCTCCGACTCAGCTAAGTTTAGGCCTTATAACTTATGAAGGATGACCAATTATTTAGTGTTCTTGGTACCAATGGATAGAGAATTTAATGCACTTACAAGATAGCAAAAAAAATCAAAAATTTTTTTACTGATCGATAACAAGGTAATTCCAAGGCTGGTCCCCCCCTTTTTTCTTCTGTTCCCCTGATTAAAACAAATGCTCATAACTATGTTTATTTAAGTCGGATTTCGATGAATTTAGTACCGTTCGACTCAGCTCGAAGAGCTCTTTCGAATGATATATAATTTGCCAAAAAAAGTTAAAAAAAACGAAAAAAATAGAAAGGAAAAAAAGGGGGGGACCAGCCTTGGAATTACCGATAACAATTAAAATTGAAAACGAAAAAATTTTTTAAAAGAAAAAAATTAGATTTTCTTTCTTTTTTGGTCATAACTTTTTCTATCAGACAGTCGATAATTTTCCTTTTTAAGGTATTTTATAGCGTACTTAATCCTCTTTTCATTGGTACCAAGAATACTAACTAGCAGTCATCCCTTGATGAGTTATAGGGGTGGGACCCAGCCGAGTTGGGTCTCTCAGTTAAGCGGTCTAAGTCAAGTCGGGTCTCTGTTATTCTGTTGAGGTGCTTCTTTCTGCCTTGTTTAGGTCAACTTATCAACCATGAAAAACCTCCATTTTAATTTTTATATCGCCTCAAAATATTTTATAAAAAAAACTCGTTAATCTAAAAATAAAAGAAGTAAAAGGCCTTGACAGAGGTAAAGAAAAATTAAAAATTTATTTTTATGGGCAAAGATTACTCTCTAATAAGAATCTTGCACTTAGATTAAATATAATCCCCTGTAGTTCCCGTTGAGTGATATAAATGAGAGAAAAGTGATAGAAGCGCCCAGAATTAACGTGAAAGTGTTGCTACAACTATTACAAATTAAAAAAAAGTAGAGAAATTAGAAATGACCATTAGAGTCTGAAAAATAGGCGGGGAAGGTATACAAGCACCCACAAATCTGAGACTCTAATGGACATTTAGGAGAATCACAAAAATAATAAATTTAAAAATCAAAAAAAATTTTTTGAGAGTATAAAAAAATTGGGAGTCAATCAAAATTGTCGATGATTGCCATATTTTTGGAGGTTTTTGTAGATTAATATTTGATAAAAAAATTTTTTCTTTAAAAATTTCTAAAAAATTCCCAGGCATTCCAAACCTGAGGCTCTATTTTCGCCCATAATTTTTTTTAATTCTTGACCGATTTTAATAATTTTAGTACCAATCAAAAGCTCTAAATGTGAGGATTATTTTACCTAGCAGGACTGATCCGATAAATAAATTTAGAAAAAAGTTGGAGTCGGTTAAAGGCCAAAAGTCACGATTGTGGGGGTTACTTGACTGCCCGTACGTAGATTTTTATGAGATAACCTAACAGAACAAACTTTTTTTAGTAAATAATCTACCCCGTTTTAGAGCTTACGATCGGTACAAAAATTAAAAAAATAGGCCAAGCATTAAAATTAAAATTTGATGTTGAGAAAATCTCTCAAAGACGACGAGACGTTCCCCCTTAACTTAAAAAGTTGTAGAGGTTTTTCTCCCTAGAAATATTAATCTACAAAATTAACCTCGTTTTTGTTGAAAGAGAGGATAAATTTTTTTGGGTTTTTAAGGTTAAAAAATTTTTTTATATATCAAAAAATATAAGCTAATTTCTGTCTTTTGATGATGTTTAAACAATGTATAAAAATAATGCTTATAATGAGAGAAATTGGTTTGGGTGTGTAAACTTATATTTCATTTGAGATTGGAAAAAAAACAAATAAATTTTAGGGGGAATGAGAGCAGAGAGAGCTATTAATTATCCACCCATTGACAAAAAAATCCTCTCTTGGAAAGAGTCAAAAACACATTTTGCAGCTTAGAACACAACAGAAAATATGAGTGAGATCTCTAGCAAAGGTCGATCGGAAATGACAAAGGTGCCGGAAATTGGAATTGTTGGAAATGGCTCAAAAATCGGAACTCGGAAAACAGCCCAAATTTTCGGGAATCGGAAGGAAAAAATCGTCGGAAATCGGAGTTCCGATCGACCTCCCTATTGACTGATCCTATTGACTCAATTCCCCAGAAAAAATCTTTTTTGGCCAATGGGTGAATTTTTACATTAGTGGAATGAAATAAAGAGAAATTTTTTTAATTTTTTATTTTGTTGTTTTCTCTCCTTTAGGCTTTAAAATGAGAGAACAAACAAATATTTATTTTTTTTGGACACACCCGTACATGGCACACACACAAAAAAATTTTTAACATTTTTATAAAAATGAAAAGGGTGAGCTTATTGTTTTTTTTGTTTTGATTAAATGAATGACTTTTAATTTATGGACCAGCAAGAAAAGTGGAAAGGAGGTGGAAAAGTGACAAAAATGGTCGATTCTCAAATGGTCTCAAAACGGTCAAAGTTAGCCTTGAGCCTGAAATTACCTAGAAAAAATTACGGACCATTCGAGTATCGACCATATTTGTTAGACAAAAATTGAGTGATATAAGAGGTTTTTTACATTCAAAAATATTAAAAATTGGAGGGGAGAGATTTTTAGCTCAACAGAAGAATTTTGTTCCTTTTGGTGTAGTGGGATAGCTTTAGGTTTGTATAGTAAAATGGGCAAAGGTTCGAATCCCACACATGGAAAATAATTTTTTACAAACTTTATAACCTCAAAAATCTCTCTCCCTTTCAAAATTCATAAAAAATAAATATTTAAAAGGGTATCACGACTTTTGCGCCGAGAACATTTGCGCCGCGACTTATGCGCCGCGACTTTTGCGCCGGGCGACTTTTGCGCCGCGACTTTAGCGCCGCGACTTTTGCGCCGGGCGACTTATGCGCCGCGACATTTGCGCCGCCACTAAAAAATAATAAATACAATCGGATCTCACTTTATTGTACCCCTTGGGTTAAAAAATGGTATCCAAGAACTGAAGGAAGTTCAGGAAGTACAATAGGGGTACGGTAGCTGATGAATTAGGTCTGGACCATAAATGATGAATTAGGTCTGGGCCTTGGAAATCCCCGGATCCGATATCACAAATAATTTCTGATGTGCTGACTTTTTCGGTTCAGGAAATTTAGATCAGCTAACCCTATTCCGGCATGATTTTCAGGCACAAGAGGGTGCATTATAGCGAATGGTTGTAGGATCGGGATCAGAAAAAGGTCGGATATCCGAAGATTTTTAATGATAGTGGCGGCGCAAAAGTCGCCCGGCGCAAAAGTCGCTCGGCGCATAAGTCGCGGCGCAAAAGTCGCGGCGCAATAGTCGCGGCGCAAATGTTCTCGGCGCAAAAGTCACGGAACCTTTAAAAGCATCAAAATATTTTTTATATGTGTTATTTGTTTAATTTGCCTGATTTTATTTTTATTTTTAAATTTATTTAGTGGATTTTTTTTTGTAATTTTTTTTGAATTTTTTTAAATCTGGGGAGTAAATTTTAAATAAAATATATAGTCAAAATATTTTTGTTGGGAATGTATATGAGAGAGAAGGAAAGAAAAAAAAATATCGAAACAATAAAATTAGTAGTAAAAGGCCAAAATTTATATTTTTAAATAAGAACACAAAGTTGATTTTAGAATAAATGTTGATATATTTTTAGAGAGATAAATTGAGATATATATTTTGGTTAAAATAATAATAATTATTTAAATTTTTTAAATAATATTTCTATTTGGAAAAAAAATTTTTTTTCAAAAAAAAAAAATTTTTCAAAAAATTTCAAAAAATTTTAAAAAAATTTTTTTTTTGAAAATTTCGAAAAAAAATTTTTTTTGAAAAATTTTCAAAAATTTTTCGAAAATTTTAAAAAATTTCGAAAAAAATTTTTTCGACATTTTGCGAAAAATTCAAAAAAAATTCTAAAAATTTCTTGAAAAATTCGAAAAAAAATTTTTTTTAAATTTTTTTCAAAATTTCAAGTCATCATTAAAATAGAAATATTAATATATTTTTTTAAATATTATTATTAAATTACAATTTTAAAAGAAATTAAAAATAAAATTGCCGGGATATATAAATAAACAAGAAAATAAATATAATATTTTTTAAATTGATGGCTGCATACACTTTTGAGATAATTTTAAAAAAATTGGAAAAAAATAATAATTTTTATGAGAGTTTTGATGTGTGTCTTTTAAAAATATGTGTCGGTATTTAAATTTAATTTTTTAGGTTTTTTGAATTTTTTAAAAATGTGACTCAGAAAATTATATAAACTAAAAAAAGGAGGGTCCCACAGACCAACTAGCATAGGTTCCAAAAAATTTTTCACAAAAATTTTTTTTGAGAAATGCTGCAACCCTTTGATTAAAAAAGCCAAAAATCTAACCGAAAAATAATTTAGAAAATCCATTTAAAGACCCAAAAAAACTAATTTTTAGGTTTTGGATGTTCAAATATTTTTTCGATGAAAAAAAATTTTTTTTTGAAGACCCAAACCTTTTGAAACTCTAAAAAATCTGATCTTTAAAAAAAAATTAGATTTTTTGGATACCGACACAAATTTTAAATATATTTTGGGCAGAGTAAAATTATACATATATAAAGAACAAAATAATTTAGAAAATAAACAAGTGCAAAATATCCAAAGAATTTTTTAAAAGGGGAATATTATATAGATGCACTTTTAAAAAATTAAAAAATAAAAGCCAAAAATCTAACCGAATATTTTTTTGTTTTTAGGAAAGGAAGAGATTCTCAAAAAGAAGAAGAAAAAAAACCTTTATGAAGAGTTTGACGCCTTTTTTGCCATAAAAAATGGAAGAAGAATTGTTCCTTAATGTTGATTTTTCAATCATCTCCCGTTCCATTTATTCAATTCTTTCATCCTTACCATTTTTTTATTTATTTGCAAATTTTTTGTGCACAGCTTGAACAGATACTGAAAAATTTTTTTAGTTTAGTCAGTCAAAACCCTTTGGACGAGTAGGCACGCAGAAGCGGATACAGTAGTTGACAGGGTACCCGAGTGGGGGCCAGGTACTTATATCGCTATAGATTAGACGCATATTTTGATTGGACACAAAAATCATTAGACTCGTAAAGGCTAGAGATATAGTTGGTTCTGAAACTAGGCCTGGGATTTTACTGTACCCAGGAATCCAGGCATGGGCCCAGGTCAATTAATCAAACCCAGAACCCAGGAACAGGCCCAGGCTTTTTAAACATCTCGATCTCTAAAACCGACAACCCAAATCATGAGGTGTTTCAGGATTTATTATTATATGTACCCAAGTTCTCTATCAAAATATTTAACCATAAAAGATCCCAGGTACTTTATGGATATGTCACCCCCCTCCTACTTTGAGTCTCAGAGTTCTCCTTATGCATAGAAAATGGTCAGGGATTATTTTCTTCTCTATGTCAATCATTTTTTTTCTTCAAGCAAAATAAGTGAAATGTGGAAACGAAATGAGTGAAATGTAAGTACAAAATTCAAAAATATGTTGAAGAAGAAAGAAATGATTGACATGGAGAAGAAAATAATCCCTGACCATTTTCTACGCATAAGGAGAACTCTGAGACTCAAAGTAGGAGGGGGGTGACATATCCATAAAGTACCAGATCCCAATTTTAAAAATAAAATCAAAAACAAACCTTCCTCCCCCAGTAAACAAACTTTCGTCAGTTTGAATTTCCTTCTCAACAAATTGTTTACGAGTTGGAGAAGTTTTTTGTTCTTGTCCAATGCTAAGATTACCAAAATCTTTTGAAAAAACTTCAGAAATTTTGGAAGGACCAAAAAAGTCCATATCTAAAAATTTTTAAAAAATTTCCTCAAAAAAATTTAAAAAAAAACCATAAGTCCAAATATTTGAAGTTGTGGCAATTGAAGAAGTTGTAACGTTAACTAAAGAATTAGCACCACCATTTGAAGCTGTAACATTACCACCACCACAAATAATTCCAGAAACATCTCCTCCATTTTGCATATTCGAATTAGACAAAATTGGATCGTCTAAAAAAGAAAATTTTCAAAAAATTAAAAATTTTTTGAAAATTTATAAAAAATTTTTATAAAGAATATAGAAGGCATTGAGGAAATCTTTTTAAAAAATAAGTAGACTAATCGGCAAATAATTTTCTCCCCTATTTTCCGCATTATTTTTTGTTGGAAAATATCTGCGATTTTTATGTAGGATCTTCAGTGAGTTAGGATCCAAAACCCTAAGTTAGGATCCAAAACCCTCAAAAATCCCATTAAAAATCAAAATGCATACCAAACAAAGAAAACAAAGGTTTCTGTGTTGTTGTAGGAGTTGTTATACTTGGTTGATTATGCAAAAAAGAAGGTTGTTGTCCCATTCCAACACCAATTCCACTTCCAATACCTCCATTACCACCACCAATAATTCCTCCACCAATATTATTATGATGTCGATGAATTCCTCCACCTCCACCAACCCCACCACCATTTGGTGCCGTAAAACCATTAGACAAACCAACATTTGGAGCAGTTCCCCAAGCATTCATTGATAATTGTTGTCCAATTCCCAGAGAATCAACAGGCCCAACCATTTGTTGATTTCCTCCATCAAAACTGTCAGCAGACAAAAGTGGACGTGAAAGTGAACGAGGTTGAAAATTGGCATTGGAAAAAGCATTGAAAGAAATTCCTCCTCCTCCACCTACACCATTTGGTAATAATTTCTTTTCTGAAGCATTTGCTGAAGTTATACGACGAATAAATGCAGAATATTCAAAAAATGGCAAATTGCGACGAACGCCAACAAAATATTGAGAAGGAAATGGTGCAAAAGCAAATGGATGGCGAGATAAAAATTGCATAAAAAGTGGGCGACCTTGAAAAAAAAAATAAAAATTTTAGATTAACGAGGAGGAAAAGGAGTCGGACGGGTCCACAAAAAATTTTTCTGAAGACGGATACAGTCAGAGTTCTGGATAACCCGCCCCAAACCTTTTAAGGTGAAGGACAGGCTTTAGGTCTAGAAAAATCATCTCCGGACCGGTTTGAAGTCCGAGTTTCGGATAATCCGTCCAATAGCAAAAAAAATGAACAAGGTCTGGATAAGGTTTTCGAAAACCTTCCCTATGAGTTCAAGTTGTAAGTTTCGAAAAATCGCTCTAACACACATGTACTGAAAAGACTTACGATTTTGAATGCTTTCTTTAATTGAAATTGGAATATTTACGCATTTGTTGAAGAAAGAAAAGAGAAGATCAGAACTAAAAATAAAAAATATATAAAAATTATTTGAGTTATAAAGAAACCTTGTAACACCACCATGTTTTAACAGAAAATCAGCAAGCAGAGTGACTGTTTGGTAAATTTCTGGTGCTAAAAAAATAATTAGGGAAAAATTGAAAAGTACTAAGAAAAGTGTTAAATAGAGACTGGACCGAAACGAGAGCTCAATCGAAAATCTCGGTTATCGAAGTTGAGAATTCTTCTAGATCTCGATCTCGTACGCCCTAACAGCCCCGATCTCTAGTGTCACTTTCCCTAATCGATGAACTTCCCATAATAGGAAAGGACTGTCTGAAAGAACAGTGAATTCGGGAATAAGTTATGTCAAACCAAAAAGATGTTTTTAAGATCGAAAATCAACAAAGTGGAAGTTGTGTGAAATTAATAAAATTTCCCCCGAAAAGGGTTGCCGTCCTGGTCCGGTCAGAACGCTCGAGTCGGGCATCGCATTTTGGTCCGAAAAAGACTTGGTCGGCCGCCCCGACTCGAAAACGGCAACACTACTCCCAAACACAAGAAAATAAAAAAAACCTTGCAAATAAACAACATCATTATCTGCCAACATAAAAATATAAGAACGATCCTCAACAAATTGTCGGCGTTTTAATGAACTAGAGCCAATATAACGAGACAATTCTGCATCGCCAGAGTTGCTAATACGACTATGTAAACTTCAAAAAAGAGCAAATTTAACAAAAATAAAAATTCACAAACTTTGAAAGAGGAATGTAAAGTTGACCATTTTTTTGAAAAATTCCAAGTAAAAAAGAAAGTGCCCGCATTTCTTTTTCTAAAGAATAAGTGTCTTTGCCGTTCTTTCCTGTTGGCATATTATTACTTTCAAATGATTCAATATTTAATTCTTGATCATCATTTGTTACACCGTTAGCCAAATCCTTCAAAAATTGAATTTTAGGTTTTAAAAATTTTTAAAAAGAGGCAAACCTGTTCACTAATTGGACTAACATAATTTGCAATCCACTCACTACTGCTATTTGGAATGGCATGAAAAGCTAAGCGAAAGCCCACTCTAAGATATTGAGTCAAGTCGGTGACACCCGAATCACAAAAATCCTAGAAAACGAAAAATGTTAAAAAATAGAAAGATAAAATCCGAATAGGAAAATTCGAAAACTTGTGGATCTATAGAGAAGGAAGACCGAAATCTAGTCTAATGAAAATTGCTTGGAATCAAGGAAAAACCTAGTAGATTCAAAAATTGTCTATTTAATATAATACAGAGAAACTCCTAGACTTAACCTAAACCAAGCTCTGCTCTTCTACTCTACCCACATAACGAATTAGCGAAAAGAATGCAAAAACGGTTAAAAGGGTCCTAGAAAACGAAAATCCAAAAACCAAAGCGGAATCGTACGTTTGTAAAAGCAGGGAAAACTCCATCCGTGACATAGCCCCTCTAAGTTTCTACCAGGGGTCAAGCCGACATGAAAATAATTTCCCGATTTCGTGAATCAAGAATTCAATACCGAAAACAGACGGGAAATCGGGTCGGCTAGAACCCTGGCTTCTATTATTCCCACATAAAAAACAAGCGAAAATGGTTAGCAACCCAGACCCCGCAAATTTTAAAAAATTCAAACAAACTTTGATCTGGAAGGAAACAGTTGCATGAACTGGCTTTGAGCAATTAATAAGACCCGCTTTTGATGAGAGCCAGTAGAGAATACCTGACCCACTAAAAATGTAAAAAAAAAATAATTAAAAAATTAAGAAAAAAATAAACCGAAGCATGCTATTCGTTGTAGGGAAAATACCAGGAAGAAGTGAAGGCAAAGGCACGTCCATTATTTTATGTGAATATTTGCTCTGATTATGAACAATTAAATGAATAAAAAATTGACAAAGTAGAAAACAATATATTTAACTAGCTTTTCTGAAAAAAATGAAAAAATATTTTTGCGGACAAAATTTGCGGACAAAAAATTAAATTTGCGGACAAACTTTTTCAGAGGTGCGCAATTATTTTGCGGACAATTCTGCAACTTTAAATGCGGTTTTCAAGATAGATTGATACATTTTGGGAGAAAAAGTAAAGGGATTGCTCACAGAAACTTTCCCATGTCCGTCTTCAAAACAACATCAAAAGTAACATTTTCTATTGTTTTTTTAATTTGGGAAAGTTAATGCAGATTGCTACTGGCAATAAAACAAAACAATAAAAATTGAAATAAAATCAAAAGAAAAGAAAATCATTTGGTCAAAGATCAATTTTAAAACGAAATTAAATTGAGTGTTTAATTTACGGAAGGAAAAAGGATGAAAAACAAAAAAATTGACGTCCTTTATTTTATAGTAAACGGAAGTAGAAATACGTTCTTTCAACGTTAAATATCAAAATTAACTAAATGTGGACAAGGTCTCTCGAAAAAAAATTTAAAAAATCCACCGGAAGGATTCGAACCCCCGTCTCATCTCCATTTTTCAACCCCCAAGTCAGACTACTAACCAACTAAGCCACGTTCACCGCACTAAAACAGGGGTAGAACCCACTACCTATTTTTGGCTAAAATAAAGAAAGCCTTAATAAAAACGACTAAAATACACAACAAAGCTAATAAAAATAAAGTTTTTGTTTCTTCTAGAAAAAGGAATAATCTTGTCATTATTTTCAAACAAAAATAAATTATTTTCCTGAAAAGTAAAAGAAAATAAATATTTGACTATGAAAATGTTTGGTTGTTTGATTGCTTTGCTATGATATTTATTGAGTGATTTCTATTATGGATGAAAATGTGGTGGATGGAAGAAAGGGAAGAGGAGAAAATGGGAAGGAGGAGGAGCTATGATGTTGGGTGTTGGGGGAAAAAAGTAAAAAGAAAAAATTAAAATGTAGTAAAAGAGAAAAAGGGCAGCGCTTATTTTTTCGCTAGTAATGGGGAGGCGTTATTGGGATTGACGTTTTGTAGGAAGAGGAGAGAAAGAGCAAACCATAACTGGAAATTTAGCTGGAAATTTGACATTTGGTCAGTCAATTAAAAATTGAGGTTTTTGTCACAATTGAAAATTGACGTTTTTAATGTTTCCAAAATGATATTTTCTACAATAATCGATATTTTTCTAAAAATATCATTTTGTAAAATTACATTTAGCCAGTGGACATTTCGCTAACTGATATTTTGTCAGAGACGTTTGGCCGTATTAAGCAGAATTGAGATTTTGAAAATACAGTAATTTGACATTTTGTAATTTCCAAAATGACATTTGATATTTTGATTTATAAGAAAATAAATATTTCATTTTGTATCTAGAGAGAGGAAAAGGTAAAAAAATTTTTTCGGTAAATTGGGAGATTTTGATAAATGTCATTTCTTCCCCAACTGGAAAGATCAAGTCTGCTCACTCATAAAAAACTACAACCCTATAACTGCAATTATTTTTCTATTTTTTCAGGTAATTTTTATTTTATTTTTCTACACTTATTTTCTTTATAAATTCAACCGGGAGAAATGGCCGATCGTCTAACTCAAATTCAAGATTTAGTAAATGACTTGGCAAATCATATATGTAATTCAATTGGTGTTTTACAAGCTGATCCAACACTGTCTTGTGATTTTGGTTCAGTCTCGAAGGTTTTTTAAACGAATAAAAAAAAGAATTTTTTTCTCTCAAAAATTTGACATTAAATTTTTAAACAAATTTTTAAAACTTAAAATAGAAACCCTAGAACCTCTCTTTATTCAAAATACTCCCAATAACCTCTTTATATCCTAAATTTAATCTTATGTTAGAAAAAGAAGTTTCCTGTTTTCTAAAAATCAAGTTCCATGTTTTGAAAACCAACTGACAATTTTTCAAACAAAAATAAACGGGGCTAGGTTCCTAATCAGAAAACAGAATTTGTAGAAATATTGAGGAGCTATATTCGTCAAAGTTTATGGCTTTGAATTGGCTCTGCTTTGGATTTAGATTCAAAATTAAAAATGGAAGAGGTCTCGTCTCACCTTCTTACCCTTCTCTCTATTTTTTAAAATGAGAAACTGATTTTTAGAAACTAGGAAAATCTCTAATTTCTTCTTCCCCATAAGTTCCTCTCTTAAAATATTTTTTTCTTGGGAGCCCCAAAAATTCTAGTGTTTTGTAAAACAAAAAATAAATTTAAAAAATATTTTTCCTTTTAAAGGAGGTTGAAGACGAAAAAAATTGTCAACTATTTGCACAACATATAGCACATACTTCCAAAGATATTGAAGTTTTGGTAGAATCCTTACCTCCAGCAGAACAATCACTCGAATTACATGAAAAAGAACTTTTAGAATTGGATGATCAACGTGCACAAGCTGCAAAAGAATTGGAATTAGCTGTTGAAAAAGCTGAAAAACTTACTGAAAGAACGAGAGAATTACTCTCAAAAATTGCTTATGCACAAATGATGTCGAGACCAAATGCTTAAAGTGTAAAATTTTTTAATATGATTTTTTAATCGTTTGTAGCTTTTTGGTAAATATTTTGGTACTAGTAAATATTTGTAATATTTTTATTTATTAAGCTTTTTGTGTAAGTGGGTTTTTTTTAATTGTTTTTTAACTGAATTTAATTGTTTTTTAACTGAATTTAATTGTTTTTAACTGAAACCAACATAAATTTTTCTTAAGTTAAGTAAAAAGTAACCTGGACTTGCTTATAACTTTAAAAGCTTATGTTAAAAGCAGTGTCCTAATTCTTGAAAATTTGTGTCGGATTATCTTATGTAAATTTCAATAGTTTAACTAACGTAAGTGATTAGACTAGAAAATCAAACAAGATCGAGAATACCATATAATCACTAATCTAGTCTTGATTTGAGATCGCCGAGGTTTGGACCCCTTCAGTTTTTACTCAAAAACCTAAAAAATACTCATTTCAGAGTCTAAAAATCCCCACAAAATTTTCCCCTTAAAATAAAAAAAAGATAAAACCTTTAAGCATTAGTGATCATCCTCTTCAGTTTCATCATCTCCTTCTCCAAATTCTTCCATTTTCATATATTCACTTTTACAAGCAAAAATAGCTTGGCGTTTTTCCAAAATTTCATTTAAACAATTTGTGTCCATTGCTGTTGAATTTATACCAAAAACTCCTCGACTTTTAGGAACAATTTTTTCTTCCTCATCTTTAACTGTCTTGCCTTTAAAAAAAATTTTTAAAAATTTCAAAAAAATTTTTTTTTCTTACAAAAATTAAAAGGTTTTCTATCAAGTTCTTCTTTCTCAATTTCTTCAGGTAAAACACCTCGTAATTTTGCCAAAGCTTTACATTCCCTTTTTAGACAAAATTCTTTTCTTTCATTCAAAACATTTTTTAATTCATTTGTAATAGCTTTATGAGAACCAAAAGGTAAAGAAGAATTTGATGAAGAAGGCTTGAAAAAATATAAAAATTTTAAAATTAAAAGAATTTGTTGAATATGTAACTCGATTAGAGTCGTATAATTCTAAAAAATTTTTAGACAAAAAAATTGGGCTTTCAAAAGGCTTGAGAAACTCGTTTTCCAAAAATACATTTTCCCTAAACATATACACCCTTCTTTATATTTCTCAAAAAAAATTTTTTGGAAAGACATATTCGATTAAATTCGAATATTTTTTGTTTGATTAATTTAAGACAATCTTATTTTTTTCTTAAAAATTATCTTAAAATTCACATCAATCACCAAAATTTTTTTAGAGACAAAGGGCTGAACCTCAGGTTTCAACATACACATTGTATGCAAAAACCAAAATTCAAAAACCAAATTTTGACAAAAAACCCAAAATTTCGGATTTCGAGAAATCGAGACGGCAGGATCCCTGACACCTACCCAATTTTATGGTAGACCTCTTTATAATCCAAAAAAAATTTCTTACGGAACATTGAAAATTAGTTTAAAAAAAATTACACAATATACCTAGTAGTGATCCTGCCGAAAAAACAAAGATTCCCGATTTCGGGACGGATCGGGATTTCGGACCTACCCAATTTTATGGTAGACCTCTTTATAATCCGTAAAAAAATTTTTTATACGAAACAATAGAAATTAACTTTTAAAAAAATTTACAAACCTGTTCAATATTTTGGTCCTCAAATTCAAATCCTTCAGAATCAATTTTAGTAAATTTTGGATTTAATTCGAATATCTAAATTTTCACAAAAAAATTCCAAAAAATCTCACAAAAATTCCAAAAAATTAAAAAAAAACCTGAAAATCCTCTTCATGTTCACCATCATCTTCTTCATTTTTAGTCTCACAACTTAAAGTAACTGTTTCTTGTTCATTTAAAGCTTCTTCAATTTTATTTTCTAATTTTTTATCATTCTCTTTTGAAGTTTTTTCTATATTTTGTTTAAGCAAATTGATAATTAATTGAAGATTAGAAATTGTATTTAAAGCAAATTGTTCTGATATATGTTCAGTTTCTTGTTCAAAAGAATTGTTGTTGAAACTAAAAAATAATAATTTTTAAAAATTTTAAAGAAAAAAAAGGTACCCGAAAAATAATCAAAAATCGGGAATACCGATATTTACAAGGAGGGTACGGCCCAAGTAGGCGCACGGCCAAGTAGGCGCAAAGTCATAACTTGCTTCAAAATTTCCGAATCTTACCAAATTTGGTAGTAAACGATTCCTCTCATCGAGCTAAAGAGAATGGTACCGAAATTGTTAAGGTCCATAAATTTTTCAGTTAGTTATGGCTTTGCGCCTACTTGGCCGCGCGCCTACTTGGGCGTGTCCCTTCCAAGGACGTAGACAGGGGGTCGATTTCGGAGGGGCTAACATTGGATGTGCACCAAAATTTTGGCATTTACTTATTGTTAGGCGATCTGAACGCAAATTTTATTGTACACACATTTTTATTTTTCCAGCTAGGCGAAATTTTTTAAAATTTGGAGGTTGTAACTACGACCTTGATTCTTGAAATAGGTAATTAATTTTTTTATGTCGACAGATTCTTTAATAACGTGTCGACAACAAAAGAAAAAAAGTTGCACTATTCGAATTTCTGTTGCAATATTCAACCCGACTTTTATGAAGGGTTGTCCCCCGACGGGAGGCACGGGGAACAATTTTCGGGGAACTATTTTTACGTAAACATTGCGTCATAAATCTTACTCACTTAAGCCCTCACCTAGACATTTAAAAATATAATAAAAACCTTTCAAGTATAAATTCCAATTGTGCTTTACAAATAGCAAAATCACTCAAACTTTTCCATTTTCCAATTTTTCCTTTCAAAATTTTTTCTTCTTTAGGTTTCACTTCAGTTGATTTAAAAATTAATTCTTCTCTTTGATTAAATAAATCCAAATAATTAAATGTTTTCCAAAAAGTTTTGAAGAGAATAAATATATTTTTGAAAAATTCAAAGGGTTGAAATAACAAAATATTTTGGTGAATATTAAGCAAAAAGAGACGTAAAAATTCACTTCTGACCAAAAACATGCATTGCCATAAACTCTGAAAAAAAAAAATAAAATTTTTCAACAGAAAATATTTTCTGGATTATTGGCAACCGGTAAGTTTTCCATGTGGAGAAAATTCAATATTCAGAGCCAAAAGGAAAATTAATCGGTCGCCAACAAAAATAAACTTATCCAAAGTGACAGCGTGGTTAAGTGGGAAAATTAAAAATTTTCTTACAGAAAATGAGCAGGGTTCGAATTCTAATGATGGATTCGAAAAATTTTTTGGATAAAACAAAGAAATTTTAAGAAAAATTTTCTTAAAAATAGAAAGAGCAAGTTTAACCACCCGGCAGGATTGCGACAACGCTGACAGTGAACGGTCGGTCATGCTCACGCAAATGCAGGTGCTCTACCACTGATGTGAGCTACCGGGGTAGACGACTAATGCTTTCTCTTTTATCCTTTTAAATCGTTTAACCCCTGCCTAAGCGGTGAACGATCCTTGAAAAATTTTGGAGAATTTCTTCAACCCAAACCAGAAAAAAAAATAAATTTCAAACCTTTAAAGCTGTTATACACAAAAATGCTTGTTCTTCACCCTCACACCCATCATATTTTTCATAAATAAGTGAATGCATCTCTGGACCAATAAAATTAATAAAGAGTTTATTGGCATCATCTCTAAAAGATTTTTCAATTTTTTAAAAATAAATTTTCAAAAAAAATACCTGTTGGAACAAATTGATTGTGAAGCCGAATGATATGTTTTGATATAATTGCGAAGGCATTTGAGATAATTTAGGCGAGATTGACGAAATGGTAATGTAGATGATGAACTGTTACGATGGTTAGAAGGTTGCAAACTTTAAAAGAAGAAACTTTAGAAAATTGATATGGTGAAAAAAGTCCGCAAGTTTTGTCCGCAAAAATTTTTTTTCGTATAAATTCCATCATAAAAAGTTTATATCTATTCTATACAGTGAAAGTTCTTTTATAATGACATCCTTCAGGTCGAGTTAACATAAGAAAAGTGAGGGGATCAAAAATTACCCAAAATACCCTCCTGGACAGAAGGACATAAGAAGGGAGATCATGTGGGAAAGAAGTAGTAACGGAGAGACTACCACTCTTCCCTGTCAAGGGCGTAGCAAGGGAGTCGATTTAAGGGGGGCTAAAATGGGTATCATCCCAAGATCTTTCACTTTTCTCCATTTCAAGGGGGCTAAAGCCCCTAAAAATCTCCCTGGCTACGCCCTTTGATCCCGTAAAATTATTTGTCTTAATTATTAAAAAAAATTTCAAAATAACCTGAATAAACATATTTCTTTCTCTCGCAATAATGAAAGATATGAATTGAATTTGTTATCAAAATTGATCCAATATTTTGCAAAAAGTATCGGAATTTGGCAAAAAATAGGCCAAATAATTACTTCAAAAGTCAGCATACAAAGAAAGGGAACGACAGCAAACCAAAAAACTAAAAAATATTTTTTTAAAGTTAAAGGGGGTAGAAAGTTCAAATCCGGTTGGCGGACAATATTTTTCAAAATTTTGAAAATATCTAACAACAAAATGCAGAATTGAAACTAGAAAATTGGTACAGTGCAGTTTCCACTCACTGTCCAATTCAATTGGTGGCAGCGGTGACTGCGTGTTGGACCCTGACCTGCGTGTTGGACCATGTATAGAATCAAAGGTGTGACAACAGAAAACTCCATAGGCATAAAAGTGGGATGTCACAGGTTATACGAAATACTTGAAATTTCGAAATTATCCAAAATTCCGAAGCCAGTTCAGCCCCCCCCCCCTTCCCACGATTCGAAATTCCTCCCGACTTTTTCTCTACCGAGATATCCCCGGTATAAACCCTCTCCCTATTCCCAAAAAAAAACAAAATTTACAAGGCCTGTAGATCATAGTACCAATCAATAGAATGAACGAAAATCCAACATTAAATAAGCCTTGAATTTGATTTCTTTCGAGAACACCTTCACAGCAGTCTCTCAATAATTCAATATCTCCATCATCTAATA